CAAGTAACAGTTCAAGTTTTGCAGGGTCCATAATCGAAAAACCACCGTCGCCAATTTGTTATGTTTCGTTATTGCTTGAATGCGATTACTGATGCGTCTTACTCGAACGAACGAAGGATCAATGATTCAGCGACTCGATAGACTATTCTGGTCCGTTGTCCCCAACTCTGCTAACTCGATCAAGAAGTCTGGGTAAGGTGTAGAAAGTGTATTCTACAGACAAACAGCAGATAACAAGTCAGGCAGGCAGATCAGATCAAGCATACAAGTCAAGCGTATTTATACAATTATTTACAATCGATATTGTCATAGAAGATTTTTGAACATTAATCAACAATTGACTGCTATTTGTACATTTAATCGATAGTTCATCAATTGACCTATCTGCACATTTAATCGATAAGTAAATTACAAAATTTGAGTTTTGGGGATCTATCGTCCCCAACACTTAATGTAATCATTCTGTGGAACGTTGTGTATTCTTCTCCACGTAAAAAAAATAGACCTATAAGATCTGGGTTGACTGGATCATGAAGACGTCAAAGTCTGAAGGGAAGCGGTGATGCAGTTGGATGATCTAGACTTCGCAGATGATCTGGCCCTTCTATCCCAAACGCAACAACAGATGCAGGAGAAGACGAACATTGTGGCAACAGCCTCAGCAGCAGTAGGTCTCAATATACACAAAGGGAAAAGCAGGATTCTCCGATACAACACAGAATACACCAATCCAATCACAATTGACGGAGAAGATTTGGAAGATGTAAAAACCTTTACTTATTTGGGCAGCATCATCGATGAACAGGGTGGATCTGATGCAGATGTGAAGGCGCGAATCGGTAAAGCAAGAGCAGCACATTTACAACTGAGGAACATCTGGAACTCAAAGCAACTGTCAACCAACACCAAGGTCAGGATTTTCAATACAAATGTCAAGACAGTTCTACTATATGGGGCAGAAACCTGGAGAACTACGAAAGTCATCATCCAGAAGATACAGGTGTTTATTAACAATTATCTACGCAAAATACTTCGGATCCGTTGGCCGGACACTATTAGCAACAACGTACTGTGGGAGAGAACAAACCAGATCCCAGCGGAGGAAGAAATCAGGAAGAAGCGCTGGAAGTGGATAGGACACACATTGAGGAAAACACTCAACTGCGTCACAAGACAAGCCCTCACATGGAATCCTCAAGGCCAAAGGAAAAGAGGAAGACCAAAGAACACATTACGCCGAGAAATGGAAATAGACATGAGAAAAATGAACAAGAATTGGATGGAACTAGAAAAGAAGGCTCAGGACAGAGTGGGTTGGAGAATGCTGGTCAGCGGCCTATGCTCCATTAGGAGTAACAAGCTTAAGTAAGTAATAAGATCTGGGGACATTTACAACAAGCGATGATAATAAAGTATGGATTACCGTGATCGAAATTTCATATTTACTGTATCGGCTTTCCAATGAACTTATTTATAGAAGTAGGACACTGGTCTTGAAGTTAGCTACAATGGTACAATAATATCAAAAATAATAGAAATCTTTGAATGTGAGCAGTTCGTGCTAAAACTTGGTATGTCAGATTAAGATCAAACGCAAAAGAAACCCACTTATCAAATTAGTAATAGTAACTTTTAGACATTAATCTAGAAGTTCGGCTTTATAGTATGTCAGTACATGATTTAGAAATAGATGAATTTAGGGTTTTGTATGGTATCCTGTTTAACTTACCTTCATGAACTTTTCGAATATGTCGATGGAGGGCAAATTTTGTGGTAAACTTTCGTCCACATGAGTCACATTTACATTCTTCGAGACCTGTGTTTCCAAGCAGTAATGCCAATTGGATTAATGTTTTAGTAAATGATCATAAGAAAAAACAAAAAATTATTAGCAAAATAAATTTACGAATTGTGAAGATAAATCTGGATTAGTAGAGTTCTACGGCGTATTTCATTTCGATTCTTACTTACCTAAATGTTTATGAAAGCTAAACGGTTTAATCTCACGATATTCCTCATGTGTACACTATTTTCTCCAGCAGTACTATACGTCTATTCTGAAATACTTACACTAGCAAGGTTGATGAACGAGTCAGTTTCTTCTTTTGATCCTTGACGATGTTCAAATAAGAAAACGCAAACAATGCTGCAAGTGTATAAACATTTTACGTCTTTTGTGAAGAAAAATTAAAACGGCCTAACGGTAGAAATATAAATTCAAATAATCTACGGTATATATTTAAGCCTTCATTATTAATCACATGATATGCATGATAGTTAGGGAAAATACTGGCTGCCTAATTAATGACCCATAATTTAGGATTTTTGTGTGATCTAGCGACCAATAAATGTTGACAAGACCAATTAAGCGGAAAAATATAGACCTTCCTGTGGGGTTTTACAAAGCAAAATATTTTCGTTGCAGAATCAGACAATGCTACATTCGAAAATGATATGTATAAACATATAATATTCAGAACTCACCTTCATGAACAATTTTTAAATGTCTAGCCATACCGTGTTTAGTAGAAACAACCTTTCCACACAAGGCACACGCCTGGTCATTGAACGCTAAAGTAAAATGGAATAAAAATTTACTAGGCAATAGCTACAATTCATCTTACATCCGCCTTAACAAAAGGTTGTATTTGTTGACCATCATCGGTTCCGATCTCCGTTGTGAATGATACATCAAGTAGAAACATGCCCAGTTCATTCAGTATTACAGAAATAAGTGTAGATATATTTTTGAATGATTGGTTAAATAAACGGAATATACCTATTGGTTCCCTAGAGTCGATTGAATAAATAAAATGTATCATTACACTGATCACTTAATCTACTGGACTTCTAATAGTTGATATGAAATTAAGAACATATAGATTAACAAAAACTCAACGGGGCGTGTTTTTTTAATTTGAATGGTTGCTTTTTCTATACAAAGTATCAAAAGAAAATCATAAACAATCCGACCACATTGTTTTCTAACAAGACAAACCAAATACTCAGAATTATACTATCTAGAAGTATCACGAATCCGTATTCCTCTGTGGCATATGAAACTTTTTTCACACAGAGCTTGTTTCAAAATATATTTGGTCTTATCAAAAATCGGAACATGTTGTTACTGGATGAAAAACAAATCCGGATTTCCAATTTTCGGTTAAGACGGAAAAATACTTTGTAAACAAGAGGAATGAGTCATCATATGTGGGAATTATATTTGAATGAATTTTAGTGAATAAATTTTAAATTATTCCAACGTTTTCTTTAATAATCGCGTCTGAACTTCTCTAGGATAATCAATTATCCTGTGGATTAATAACCTCTTCCACATACTCGGTACCCAACTTCTTCAAAACTTATTGCTTAAATATTGATGGATATTTATATAAACAGGTATAAGTGTTTACACTGCAACAAATAGTTGTAAAAACTTTGGAGCAACGAAATTAAGGTCTTTAGTGTTATATTACTTTTGATGCTACTCCTTGAATAACATCCGCAAACCATAATTTCTCCGATTACTGTATATAATTTTACTACCTCTACAACTATGCGATTCGAATCGACAATTGTATCTCTGTGTTACTGTGGTATGGCAACTTGAACTAATGTACGTACGTACGAAGTTATACGTTGTTGCTGACTGACTGATATATATAACACATTAGATAAAATTATCTTTCAGGTATCATTCCCTGTTTAGTGAGTAGTACTGAAATTAGAAATAAAACTCCACCACATAGGTCATTCGATGAAGCAGTATATGTGTCACACACATTATTCTGCCTCCAAAAATTCATGAGTGCCGATTCTCGAATATTTTCAAGACTTCAAATGTAAATGGAACTGAAATGTTAAAATTCACGAAACACTATCTTTTTATTTTATTTCAATTAATAAACAAAAGTTCCGGTACAACTAGGGATCAAAAAGCTGTGCACTAACAAAATAAAGAAATGACAGTGATAGATAAATAAGGGGAGGGGAACGGATCATAAACAAGTTTTGGCCTGCACAAAGCTGTAGGAGACGGCCATCGTTACTTAACGCGGGAAAAATGACCACCGTCTATGCTTGGGAGCCCGGCTTGTGGGCTTGAACCCCCGGGTAGCACTGCATTATCTGTCGAACATACTTTCTTGAAAGCATTTAACTGATGTTAGACTTCATTGTTTATTGCTTCCAAGCTACAATCCGTTTAAATACAACTAGAGACAACATAAAGACACAGTTTCTTTTAATCTTAATGGAACCATCTAACCTAACAGAACAGTCATTATGACTGGATCTTAAGCTGCTTTTACAACTAAAAATTTAGTCTCCGCTAGATAACGAATCATATAAAAGATGTCCTGGTAACTACATTTGTCTGACAAGCCAAAGTGGTAAGCAGTTACTAAACCAACTGGAGTGAGAATAACATATAAAGCAGATTTTCCCCAATCGTCTGTTACATGTAATTAGACCTTCAGTAGAAATCAATTGGTGATACCTGTTGGTTATAGATGCTTAATTGTATGACATGGTAAGCACGTTCATACGATGAGTTATCAATTAACTGATGTTGAATACCACAGTCTAATCAACACAAACCTGACTGCAAAACTAACTAAAGAAATCGTATTAAAAAAGGTATGTTAATATATCAGTTTAATCTATTCCGGGAGTCAAGCAAACCCTTATCACCAGTATTTACTTTTAATTCGCGTCGTGGGAGTTATAGTGGTTTCTCTTTCCAAGTATAAGCAGTAGGACTGTCAACAAAAACATTTGCGAGGGAAAATATATTTCAACGCACATTTATTATGTGCTAGAGATACATTTAATTATAGATGCTAAACAATTTCCCTTTCGAAAAGCTAGTAAACGTATATGGTATTCATTTAATTCAATTTAGACGATAACTCTGGCAGTGAATAACTAATAGCGTAAAATACAATAGCCATATATACATTTTTGACTTACAATTCATGAGGATTGAATAATATTGAACCTCAACGATATTTGACTGATAACAGATCCAAATAGCTAAAACGGCAAGTTAAAAACAACTTGAGAATTAATTTGAAACCTTTTCATGCAGGATAGATACCCAGTGACAGGGAGGTTAAACCACGATATTGTATAGAGATTTATATGCCTCGGAAGACGTGGTACAGCTTAGGGAGGGAAGATTCTGTTTTCCCTCTAGATATGGTTTCATGTAGTCACACAAATATAGACACCGCCAGGGCGGTCTTACCCTCATCTCGCAGACAGAAGGAAGTGAACGAAAGGCGAATGCCTGGCGCTTAAATCGGGTTAGTGGATGCTGAAGATCCACGTAGGGGAGCTGAAAAGGTCGGCTTTCGAACATTAGGTGCACGAAGAATATAGGATCCTGAGAGATCGGATGACGTATGAACCCATCCTGTTCATCAGGTATCATGAAACATCTCGTGACGTTGCTCCAGTGCATTGTGGATTAGACTCCAGTCAAAGGCTAGAAAATTGGCCCCCCAAGATAATCAAATTCCCCGGTTTGGGTGCTGGAGCACTATTCCAATCCAAACAAATATGATTATTAGTGAAGAAAATGTGTTATTTGTACAAACGATGCATGTAAGTACCTCATTACAAACAACTTTATTTTACGCATCATTATCCATCTATTCTGTGTTTACACTTCTTTTCAACTTACATCTCGCCTATGTAGAAAGTAATCTCGTCTAAATGATTTTAAGTCTTGACTGGCTGGAATTCTGGAAACTGCCAATAAATACCAACTTCGAATCAATTATCTTTAAGACAACGAACTCTTAGCAGCTGGGTTCTTGACCACCACCCTCACAACTTAGTGTAGATATATTCATATGGTATTACTGCTCTTTATAGACGCGTGGCTGAAACCCAGGTACAAGACCACGAACTTGATTACTGCATTGAGAATTACATCGAGGTCAATAAAGGACGTTTTACGTTAGGATTGCAAATTATTTGTTACATAAGCTAGTAGACATACAAAACCTAAGATTGACAGCGGGTAACCCAAAAAACCGCATAATTTGCATGCATACAAATTTTCGAACAATATGATACTAAGAAACGCAATATGTAACTGTATTTTAATGCACTGAATAACAGTGACTAGAAATATTAGGTTGGAAGTGTCAGACACTTCTTTAATATAAAGGCCCTAATAATATTTACACAAAATTAGGGGTAACAGCCGGAAACTGAACACAACAGAACGGGCTGTAGGCAGGGTTGATTATGGATACAGTGGTCTTGAGTGCAGTTAGAGGTATGAGGGCAGTTATCACTTCCCTATTGACCAAACCGTGGAAAACTTATCGAGGTACCTGAAAAGGAAATTAAATTAAAGGTGGTCTTAGAGACCTAAGAGTGTGACCACAGGGCCCAAGGGACAACTGCTTGAGGCCGGTCACACAGAACCACTTCATGAGTAATTTTCGCGCTAGCTCCGTACTTGTTGAGACCTTACCGCCGGAGACGGAAATCCGTGAGGTAAGGTGAGGTGTGGCATTTTTAGGGTTGACCTTTTCTAACCCCTTCCTTTCTTGTGAGAAGGCAGCATCGCTGCAGATGCTGGTTGTCCGAGGGAAACACCTTACTGCTGTCACACCCCTCTACAGTCAGCAGTACGACTCCGCCCTCAGACCTTGAGTTGCTGCTTTTAGTCTTACCGTTCTCCAATCGACCTGACTGGCATGGTAGAACCTACAGGAACGGTGGAGATTTGTAGTTCAGGTGGATGATTTTGGTGGAGTTTCGTTCTCTGAGCTGAATGGTTTTGTCGTAAAGCTTTCATCGTTCTTCTGAATGACATCATCAGCACAAACTTCAGATAGAATTGAAGTGTCCGAATTTCTCCATAAATGTGTTTCACAGCTTGTTCTGTGCACCTCGATGTTGATTGGTTTTATTGACCTTAAATTTATCATTGTTTACTTCTTTGTTTTGATTGTGTCTCCCATTGGTTTGATTTTTGTTCCTATATTTGTGCATGATTTTCCTGATTGGTTGGTAAACTGGATTGCTTTCAATATGCTTGTTGATTGCTGATTGACCTAAGTGCCAGGCTTCTAAAAATTCTCTGGTGTTTTTGGAGTTTTCTCTGTCTAAGATTTCCACATTTTTCCAATCGAATGAGTGTCCGCAGTTGTCCACATGTATTGATATAAGTAAGGAGATATCATGGCGTTTGACTGCTAATTGATGTTCGTGTAGGCGAAGGTGAAGGGGGCGTCTGCTTTGTCCGATGTAGTGTTTTTCGCAGTTGGCACAATTTATTTTGTAGGTGATGTTTGATTTGTTTTCCTTTTTTATTTCATCCTTTGGTTTGCATAGGATTGATTGTAGTGATTTTGTCGGTTTGTGTGCCACACCTATCCCGAAGGTTTTCAGCAGTTTCGTTGCGGTTTCTGATATTCCTTGTATGTATGGTAGGGTGATCCTTTTGTTGATTTCTCTGCTTGACTTGGGTTCGGATGCTGCGTGCGGTTGGTATTTTTTGATGAGGTTGACTGGGTAGCCGTTCTTTTGAAATACGTCCTTCAAGTATTTCTCCTCATTTTTTCGTGCTGCCAGTGTGTCCTCGACCTCTTGAACAAAGCGTGTACGCAGTTGATTTTGTGAGTTCTTGGGTCTTTGCTATTTTAGTTGAGGATTTCATCTGTATAGGTCGGTTTCCTATATACTTGAGTTTCCAGTTTTCCTGTGTCGATTCTAGTGATCAATATATCTAAGAATGATAGTTTATTGTTTGACTCCTGTTCCATCGTGAACTTGATGTCATCGAAAACGTTGTTGATCAGTTTGTTGACGATGACGAAAGTGTCGTCTACATAGCGAATCCAAGTTTTTGGCTTGATCACTGGTAGTGTCGCGGCTTCTAGTCTTTGCATCACTGCCTCTGCGATCAGTCCTGATATTGGTGTGCCTTTCGTTTGTTCGTAGATTTTGTTGTTGAATTGAAAACATGTTGTTAGGCATAAATCGATTAGTTCCAGTAGACTTTGAATTTGAAGCTTCGTGTATTTAGTGAGATTTGTGTCGTTGTTGAGCAGCAGAGATATAGTTTCTTTTGCTAATTTTGGTTCAATTGAGGTGAATAGTGCTGTTACGTCGAAGGATATCATCAGTTCGTCGTTGTTGATTTGAATGTCCTTAATTTGGTCCAGGAATTGTGTGGGGGATTTGATGGAGTGGTTGACTGAATCTACTAAATGTCTCAGTATTCGTGAAATTGCTTTTGACAGATTGTACGTTGGCGTTCCGAGGAGTGCTACAACTGGACGTAGTGGAATGTTTGGTTTGTGTATTTTGGGTCTGCCGTAGAATCGGGGGAGTACTGGTCCATTGGATTTAATTCTCCATTGGTCTTGTTTTGTTATTTCTCCTGCTTTGACTAGCTTGTTTAAAGTCTTTGAGATCTGGTTGTATAATTTTTTGACGGGATTGGTATCCATCAGTTTGTATGTGCTCTTATCTTCAAGTAGTTCTTCGGCTTTTTTTACGATTTCTTCTTTGTCCATGACTATAGGACAATATCCTTTCTATTTCTGAGTTCCTTCAAAGCCTTTTGCTCTCGTGGAGTCAGTTGATTGTTTTATTTCACCTGTTGAAATAGCGGTACTATAGTTTGTCTTATTTCCTGTTGTGTTTCTTCACTCATTCCGAATGTTTTGAGTAATGACTCTAGTGCTGCGAAGAATTCTAGCTTTGAGGCGTCGCTTGTATTGTAGTTTATTCCTTTTTGGAGTAGGTGTTCTTCTGCATAGAAAGGACATTGTCATAATACCAGCGGACAACGGACGCACCACAGAAGTCATGTTTTGTTATTCCATGACTGAAGTTTGTGCTGATGATGTCATTCAGAAGAACGATGAAAGCTTTACGACAAAACCATTCAGCTCAGAGAACGAAACTCCACCAAAATCATCCACCTGAACTACAAATCTCCACCGTTCCTGTAGGTTCTACCATGCCAGTCAGGTCGATTGGAGAACGGTAAGACTAAAAGCAGCAACTCAAGGTCTGAGGGCGGAGTCGTACTGCTGACTGTAGAGGGGTGTGACAGCAGTAAGGTGTTTCCCTCGGACAACCAGCATCTGCAGCGATGCTGCCTTCTCACAAGAAAGGAAGGGGTTAGAAAAGGTCAACCCTAAAAATGCCACACCTCACCTTACCTCACGGATTTCCGTCTCCGGCGGTAGGGCTCTTTGAAGAATGGTGCTAACACGTCAAAAACCTCCCATAAAAAGGCCGTGTGCGACCGGCCTCAAGCAGTTGTCCTTTGGGCTCTGCGGTCACACTCCAAGGTCGTTAAGACCAACATTATACCGACTTACTTTCCAGATTCCTCAAGAAATGCCCTTCCACATTGTGGGCAGCCGGGAAGTGACATCAGCCCTCACACCCGTAACAGCACACGAGACCAAGTTGGCCACATTCAAATCCTTCCTAGACCTCCTAATAACTCTCTTATCTCCATGACTAACCCTTCTCACGTCCCTTTATCACCTCGCACCGCTAGGGCAAACGATTCGAGTACGCGGAACGTTATTCCTGGTCTCCTGAAACCACGCTCTAAACTACACGTAGGAGCTTCCAACGTCCGAACACTGTGCCAAATAGGACAACAGGCCTCCTTAGCTAGGACTTTAGAATCTCGCGCCATCGATGTGTGCTGTGTCTCCGAAACGCGCATACAGGATCCGAGTAGTGTCATTCATTTGACATCATGTCAAAGTGACGAACCAACTCGATTTACGCTTCGTGTATCTGGAAGCCCTGATGCTGCTTCCCGTGGCCTCACTGGCGTAGGTATAGCATTGAGTCCTAGGACAGAACTAGCTCTCCTAGATTGGATCCCAGTAGACAGTCGTTTGTGCGCTGTCCGACTGAACGGAACAATAAGGACTCGGAAATATAGGCACACTCGTCGTCTCTGCCTACTCTCTCACTGACTGCATCTCAGACGATGTAGAAGATGAGTTTTACAGAAAGCTTCCCGATATTCTCCGAAAAGCTAGGCACTCTGATGTAGTAATAGTGGCTGGTGACTTTAATACTCAATTAGGTAAATTAAGCGAAAGGGAAAGACACCTGGGCAGATCTTATGGTGTTGTGGCTCAAAGAACAGATAATGGTGACCGTCTATTGCAGATTTGCTCAGATAACCGCCTCTTTCTTGCAAACACTAACTTTAAGCATAAGGAAAAACATCTTTTAACATGGCGACCCCCTAATTCGTCCCAACGTTGGACCCAAATAGATCACATCGCTACCAGCCACCAATGGAGGGGCTCGATAGAAAACTGTCGCTCATTCTGGAGCACATGCTTAGACTCAGATCATACTCTAGTGCAAGCGCGTATTTTTCTGCGTCTTACTGGACGTAGGAAAGATGATGCAAGGAAACCTCTTAGGGTCTTACTTAATAATAGTCAAACTAAGAGTATATTTTAGGAACAACTAGAAAAAGTTAGGCATCCATGTCAGTGATGCCCACCCCGAGGCAGCGTGGAATGACACCCGAAAAGCTGTGGAAACAGCAGTGATATCTGCAAGTACGGCAAACCACAAGGTCAGGGAGCAACACTGGATCTCAGCAGCATCTACCGCATTGATAGATGCTCGGAAACTCATTCCATCTGGCTCTGAATATAACGAAGAGTGGAGTCAGCTTAGGCGCAAGCTGACAAGAAGCCTACGCACTGATCGCGAACAGTGGTTGGTAGCGAGATCAAGAGAGATGGAAAAGGCAGCGGCGATAGGTAACAGCAGACAAATGTTCAGAATTGTTAGGGAAACCGGTATCAGGAACCCAACTGTTAGCGAAACACTCTCAGAAAAAGATGGACGTATTATACATTCTTAATCTAGGAGATTGGATCGATGGGCAGAACACTTCAGCGATCAGTTCAACTGGCCTTCAGCCACACTTCGGTTTCCCACGATCTCCAGTCAACCTGAATGGCAAGTTAATGTAGGTCCTTCGTCCCTTTACGAAGTTGAAAAAGCCATAGGAAATCTGAAACGAGGGAGAGCATCAGGCCCTGACAGTTTTACTCCTGAGATTTTTAAGGATGGTGGTTTAGTATTAGCAGTGAGATTGACTGAGGTCTTAGGTAGAATTTGGGAACTAGACGTAATCCCATCTGACTGGTCTCAATCACTGATTGTGCCAGTCTATAAGAAAGGACAAAAGTCCTCTTGTGACAATCACAGAGGAATCAGTTTGACAAATATAGTGTCTAAAATATTAGCTTCAATAATACTTCGACGCCTAACTAAAGCTCGTGAACAACAGACTAGAGAAAATCAGGCTGGTTTTCGACCTAGACGTGGTTGTATAGACCACATATCCACACTACGTCAGGTTCTAGAACACAGACACACATTCAGACGCCCCACAATCGTAGTATTTCTCGACCTTAAAGCAGCATTCGGCTCTGTCAATCGTAAGGTTCTATGGCAGTTTGTCACTGAAAGGAGTACCAAAGAAGTACATTAACCTTGTAAAGGCTCTCTACTCGAACACAACTGGTCGAGTGAGAGCTTATGGCGAACTGTCATCAGAATTGATTTCCTCAAGTGGTGTTCGTCAGGGCTGCCCACTCTCTCCATTCTTGTTCAACTTTGTCGTCGACGTACTTTTAGAAATAACACTTTCCTCGTCTAAATTTCCAGGGGTTGAACTTCTACCGGGAGGTTCACTTGTTGACTTAAAATATGCTGATGACATAGTTTTATTTGGTGAAGACGCTGACAAAATGCAGTCTTCTGACCACTCTAAGCAACAATGCAAGCATGTTCGGAATGCGATTCTCCCCCTCGAAATGCAAAATGTTGCTTCAGGATTGGGTTACATCGACACCCGAACTAATAATGGGGAGTGAAGTAGTTGAGCGTGTCGACAACTTTACTTATCTTGGAAGTCTCATCAGCCCTTGTGGTCTGGTGTGTGACGAAATCTCAGCAAGGATACAGAAGGCTCGACTAGCTTTAGCCAACTTGAGTCATTTATGGCGTAGGCGAGATATCCGTCTATCAACCAAAAGACGTGTTTAATGCGCAGCAGTTCGTTCCGTCTTACTTTATGGCAGTGAAACATGGCCGGTAAGAGTAGAGGATTTTCGTAGGTTACTAGTATTCGATCATAGGTGTCTTCGAAGCATTGCTCGAATATCATGGGACCATCGAGTAAGTAACACAGTTGTTAGGAAACGGGTACTAGGTAAGGATGGCAAATCAATTGATGAAGTAGTGAAACTTCATCAGCTGAGATGGCTGGGACACGTGATACGTATGCCCGACCACCGGCTGCCTCTACGTGCGATGCTCAACGGTATAGGAGTAGATTGGAAGAAAGCTAGGGGTGGCCAGACCAAAACATGGCACAAATCCATGACGTCACTGACAAGTGGACTGAGCCATGTTGGTAGGTGTAGACTACCTGGTTGGGATCCGCGAGATGATAGCAACCGATGGTTAGAAACCTTGAATGACATAGCTCAAAATCGTTTGCAATGACGCAGGTGCATCTACCAAATTCTAATCTTTTTGAATTCTCCTTGTCTCTTTTTTCTCTTTCCAAATTTATTTCAATGGATTATACTTTTTGGATAAATCTTCAAACCCTAATCTTCCCGACTACTGCTTATACTCTTTCCACGTTTTCCACTATGGGATTTGAATCGATAACTGCACCTCTGTGTGACAACTCGAAAGGTTATACGTACGTACGAAGTTTCACGTAGTTACTGACTAAGTGACCAGACACCTGGACCGTAAGACTTTAATTGTAACCGGATGGTTATGAAAGTTGAGCTAGTTGGACAAGCTGATGGCTGAAATACGATATTTGTGTGCCAGGTACCTAGCTAGGTTTTCTTAGGCGATAAGGATTCCATTCAAATAAGGGACCGATCAACGTTACATAGTTTATTCAGGATATCAAATTGAAATTACGATTAATGAAAAATTACCCACTTAAAAGTGAAATTGACATCCCCCTAATAAATTACGAAGCTAAGCTGCTTGTCCACTCACAATATGGGCTTTTGGTGAAACCTAGTAATCATTCGAGCTGTAAACAACTCATGCTAATCTACGTGAAACCACAGATTTTTAGAAACATAGCAGAGACAAAACCAAGAGTTTCCAGTGACTAAAAGTATTTCAAACATTTTTACACAAAAAACAGTAGTGTCCACTCATAAAACACCATTAGTCCACATACTAAACACAATTTAACAACGGTAAACTATCTAGAAATGCACCAACCGCATGACGCGCGTTCCTTCAATATTCAACACAGTCAAATAGAATGAGGACAAAGGAGTACAACATTTGTATTTACTCTGAATAGAACAACCTTCGTAAAAGACTAAAATTTTACTCAGTATACTGAAAGGAGCTGCTATAGAACGACAAGTTAGTGACTCATTGTAATGTGATAGAAAATGTTGTAAAGGTATTTGAAAACTGTTAAAACTAATTGTGCTATGTAGCATTTCGTCCATCCTTTAAGGCACCACATTTGATCTTGAATGCGTTTGGCCTACAGTCTTGCGGCACTTGCGCCGTTGTCTGTGTACAAAAACCTTCATAATTTACAGTTACCAGTCCACTCAAATCAGAAATCGAAAAAACTAGTGAGTTTGAAGCCAAATTTGGAAGAGAATTATGTGTTGAAATGATTTTGATCGAAGTTGACTAGTTGTTGATAGGTATGCGCGAAACAATGTAACAAATCGTGGCCCTTTGTGGACGCATGTTCGGCGCCTTCAGATAGGGTGTGTCCAGTGAAATCTGATGATGTTAACATTAGTGTTTAAGATTTACGGAACTATTTCTCCTAAGGATTTATTTACGACTCCAGACAAATCTCAATAAGTCAGGTTTTATTTAGTTTACTAATTTGTACTTCCTTATGGTTCTTACATTGCTTATCTTCGATTTTTTATTAATGGCTTTGTAGCGGTAAATAAATCCCCAAAATAAATAGCACTAAGTTTTCGACATTGGATGCTGACCATATGTTTTAGTGGACTCATCTAGCTGAAAGCACTCGGTCAGGCATCCGCACCAGATCACGTGTGGTAACACCGTTCTCAACACCGACCGCAATCGCTAGCCAGATTAGATCAGAGAATTCCGAAATATTGGTTATCGCCAAATACACTCTTCCGATTTTCTCGATTCTGTCTTTTGATTTCTCTGAATGGGAACGAAATATATTAGAAGGTGTTACTGGTAAAAGCGTTGTCAAACACTGAATACCTGTGTCATCTTCAGCTTTATTCAGAAAATATTTTTTGGTACAATATAGAATTATCATCACAGGGTATTTCAACAACTTACTTAGGCAATAAATCAAAAACAAAGACAGGAAAAGGAAAAAAAGTTAAAAAATGGAAAAACTGTATAATTTTTCAAATTAAAGATATGTTAAGAATACAGGTTATTGACTTGGTTAACTCCAATCTGTTCGTCAAACAGTATATTTGCTAAGTAAGGTATTACAGAACATTTATACTTTTGCTTGTGTGCATGGATTTTAATGTAATTACGTCTCGTTCTACCAGAACATATACAAGAAGAAAGATAAGAGTGATGTGGATGGTTAACGCATGCCGGGAGTCCGCACGACTTTAGATGTTTATCCACAACCATATTACTTATGATCTCGAAGGATTCACCACACACCTTGCTAACTGCCTTCAGCACTCTCCACAATACAGCAGTCTTTTCTCAAAAGCACGGGAAAGAATAATGGAGAACGGTAAAGAATACTAGGTAATGTGCAAGAATTGACAGATTGTGAGAGTAAATGACGAGTAATCCCAAGAGCATGCAATCTCTCTATGTAGTAAGTCAGACGGAAAACCTTCTCCGATAACAATAAAACGTGAGAAGACCAAGAGAGATCAGAGGAAAAGGTAACACTAAGATAATTGACCTTCGACACTGTATTTATCAAAGAGTCTCCAATGGTACAAGCATTATGGTTTCTTAAAACGGTGCTTGGATGCCGTTTATGTCTCATGCTAAAGTTAACAGCTTGACATTTAGACGGATTAAGTATGAGACCATTACCAACAGACCAACAATCAAAAGTGTTTTCTGTGTATGATGGCAGATCATGCAGGAAAAAAAAGAGGAAAGAAGAGGTGAAAGAACAGCTCCTTGTGATACACCTTCATGAGACAGTAGAGACTCTGAACACTTTTCTCCAAATACAGCGCACTGTTCCCTTCCAGAGGTAGGAACATAGCTAGTTGGTTATTCAGCTGTCAGTGTTGACGCTGATTAACTTGTTAATTGAACATTGTCTTGGTACAGAATCAAAAGCTAAAGTATAGTCCGGAAAAGCGTATCGAACATACTTCTTACCCTTTTCTAATTTGAGCAGTATATTGTGATGCAGAACTGCAACAGCATCTAAGGTGCTTCTTTTGCATCTGTAAGCGAACTGATACGGACCAATATGCTCTTTTATCGCAGGCTGAAGTTGAAGTACCAATAATTTTTCCATTGTTTTGAGGAAGGGTGAAGCTATTGCAATAGATCTAAATTTCACATTCTTATCACCAGATACTTTCTTGGATACAGGGATTATCTTCATCATTCTCCCCATTTCCAGTATGAGATTAGATGAGAACGATCTGTTGAAGATAGTCGTGAAAGGATAACATTGGACGTCAGCACATTTCTTAGAAAAGAGGTTCGGGATACCATCAAGTCCTTAATATCGGGATTAATAAGTTAGCTAAAGACATCTTCAGATATCAGTCTCAGTGAAACTAGGAACACAGTTATTATTTAAACTTGTGGATAAAGGGAGCATTACATCTGACGACTGGGGTAAAAAAGACTTAAGTCACAAATATTCAACTGGTTACCGCTCCTAATCTGTCTGTCACCTGCAGGTTCTTTAAAGAGTTTCCAAATACTTGAAGAGTTTTTGCGATACAACAGTTTTTCAGTAAACATGGAGTTGAGACGTATAATCTCTAGGTTTATCAGACCATTTAGATCACAAACTTCATTAGAGCTCTTCTTCTTGGACATTCTTTCTTTCACCCTTCGTCGCCGCTTTAGCTGTGAAGATGTAAGTCGATCAAAACTTACAAAAATGGTTTCAGTGGGACAACAAATATCAAAACAAAATTTAAGGTAACAAGTGATAACGTCAGTAGTGATTTGCAGTGAGTCATCTGTAAATAATTACCAGTTAGTCGTATGAAACATGTTTTGCAGATTTCGGATATTTTCTTCTAGGTAATTCCTATATATGTCTTTCTTCGTTTGATGTAAGAGTGTACTCGTTCCATGCTTTTCATATACTTTAAGTAGAACTGGAATTATACAGTTATCAGAGCCAGACAATAGAGCACGTTTACGAGTCACATATATACCCACATCATTAATGAAAACAAAGTCTAAATGAGCATCCAAACGGGTAGGAAAATCTACTACATTTTGGTGACTTAGTGACGTAAGGAAGCTACAGTCACATGAATTGAAATCACCACATACAACTGGAAGTGAATCAGTGAAGCCAGTAACAGCGAACTCAGTGAATTCATCAGCAAAAACAGATAGTGCAGATGATGTGCAATCTGGAGTCACGTAGATATTGGTCACATAAACGTATTTGTATTTATTCAGATGTTTTGGACGACATCTTAGAGTTAGACAGTTGATAAAGTCATTTGAAAAATTGAAACACGCAAACGAAGATCGACACCAGTTCATGTTTTGCAAACGTAGCTACACTGCCGCCACACCTCTTTTTGTTGTTTGATCGATCCTGACGATATATTATGAAATCACGTAGTGATATTAGACAGTCGTCCCGTAACTCATTTGACCATGATTCTTGGATTGTGATGACACCACAATTACGATACATAACTTGACTTAGTAGAAATTTAAGATAGTCCACTCTGTTGATTAGTGACTGGCAGTTGGAATTTAGCAGCTCGGGAATCGACATGCGATTAATGTTCATTCTCTTTAACGCATATTGCCAACCACCGCGATGTCGTTTGTAGTACTTTTTTGCAACTTGCACAGCGAAGGATCGTAGGCTTTTCATAAAAGCGCCTGTATACGTTACGCGATTGATGGACATAATAAGACGTTAAAAGAAACGAAAAAACAGATAACCTGTTGAAATAATTAGATGGCAGAAACTGGTAGCCCAGATATTTAAGCAGGCCGCCGATGAGACAGATGTCACTATCCTCACATCTATTACAACAACATCGCAAATGCTAGTAGGGCGTTCTTCTACTGCATGTCATCAAAAAGCGACTAATCTGGTAGGATAGGAATATGCGAACTACGAGTCGTGTATGCATTGTTAGGTATAACATCACGCAACGGCACTTAGTAAGCTGACTTAATTTTCGCTATCAGTATTCATGTTATCAGTGCATCCGTCCTCAAATTCCTTGCTCAACAACGCTAAAAGACTGTTTACACCTTGCATCACCAACGTCTTACTCGGACAACAGAACATACAAAGTTTGGCTTCGAGTATTTTTTTTAATTAGTGGGATTCAAACAAGTACACATACCATAGAATGAATTTTGGGACAAATCACAATAGACTGATTTCGACGAAAATAGAAAATCTCTCGATGGTCAAAATTCCGAGTAGAATCGGCTATGTTGGTGGGATTTTGAAGGAAAAATTGATAAAATACACAGGATGATCACAGATTTTGCAACAATCTAAGACGTGAATACCACAGGACGAACTTAAAGAAAACGCAAAACGTTAACCAAAGTAATTCGAGCTAAAGCCGATCAGGTACGCTTTCATTATATACTCAAAAACAAATTTAATTTACAACCAGTATGAAATCCTCGCCTTTTTAAAGCACGCGCTTATATCTATGTGATTGGTCGATTTCTGCAGATTATTTCTACTGTTTAGAAATTCGTAAATTTTACTGATAAAGATACCGATACAGGTAATTTGCTTTTTGTCTCAAATTTATGTTTATTGAATTTGATATTTCTGTTGTCATGACTTGTTGTACAGAGTAATGGCGGATGTTTTGGACGTGAATAGTGGATCGGCAAAAGTGCCCGTTCTTTTTTATATTTACACAATTTTTGATAGTTTGTCAAAAAAGGTAGAAGAGCTAAAAAAACGGTTAAAGATAAAGATGATCCAATTTCTAATGAGTTTGATCCACATAAAGCTAGTGATATAAAGGTAGGTTTTTTCGTGATTCATGTGAATAAGAAGACCACTAACCTTCCGGAATGTAAAATAGGCGGTTGGAACGAGGGTGAAATTTTGCACAGCGTATTTTTTGGAAAGTATCTATACATTTTAGAGTGATGGTATTTACTCATAATTTTTTTCCAGAAGGTATGTACTGTACAGATATCTCAACAAACACTTTCACAGAGCTGATGAAGATACATTAGATTTTTGCAAAGCTTTACGTAGAGAAGGTAAAATTATTCTTTAACTTTATGAAGGATACAATCTGGAAATTATCTTTTAGAATCTGATGAAGAACTCGGTAATCTTCTATTTATGTGTTTACCAATAAACAGAGATACCGATTGTTCCTGATTTAAGTAGTGTTGAGGACCAGTCCACCGCATTTCAGGGTGCGGTCGCACCGAGGTACATGAATTTTCTGTCAATTGCCTTATCAGTTTCTTGTATGTGTTATTAAATATTAATGAAATTATGAAAGTTAAAATTTAATTTGTAATGTATCTTTTAGGACTAGAATCTTTTGATATTTTGACTCATGAAAGTTTAAACGAGTCTGCACCAGCCTTTATTTTTAACACTTACTTGTTTATTCCCATCCCTTTCGAGATTTTTTTGTAGGTAGATTTTTCCATATTCTGTGTGATCTTCACATGGTCATAAAAAAATTCAGTCATCAAAATAGTATAAGAACAGTGTTTGTCGTCGATTACTGATGTACAAAAGTACTTTTTGTGTATATTTTGGGGAGTTCACTTGCTCATTTGTTAAGCTCTAATGCCTTGTGGTTAAGTAAGATCTGAATTGACTGAAAAGAAATTTATTAGATCGAGTATTGGTCCCCATCACCAACTTTTTGTACTGTTCTTCCTATATATCCAAGCTTACTTCATATAAATATTATGCTTAATGGGCTTCTTTTGATTGTCTAACGGATAATTTTCCGTTACTTCAGCTTCCGATTTGAATAAGTTTACAAAGCAGTCGATGCCACTTGCTACTTGTATATGTTAATGTAGATGGTTGCTTGGTGGGCGTTATGAATAGGTTTCGTAAATAGATTTGGTAGGGGATTTTGTGATTGGTTTAAAATAGCTATCTGTAGAAGGCGGGTAGGGTAGAAGTATTAACATCAAGGTTGCGGGACAAGATGACGAGTGACAATTCAAAAATAAAACGGGGTAAAAAGATGAGATTATTCTAGTTAATGTTCATAAAAAATTCGACCATGAACTAAGTAGCAACATTTCATACACGTCATATTGTATTGGATTTTTGTGTAAATGAATCAAGGATCTTATCAGATGAAAATTTGAGGTAGTCCAGTGTTGTACTCAAATGTGTTCTCCATTATGAGTTCTAAGGTCTGTTATGCCATCCACTGATCAATCCATGTTATGTTAACTTTTAAAGTGGATCTACGCTATTAAAAATTATACTAAACTACCACGCTATTAGATTAACAAAGTGGCAACACGCTTAGATAATATAAGATAGAAATCCAATGCACTTTGGCGCCGCAAGATGACCCAGGGTTCACTGATTATTTAGGAAGAACCTTATATCAAAGTTCTTTTAGATATGAGAATTGGTCAACTTGCTAATCAAATTTACTCAATGGGTTTTGTACAAGCGCTTAGTGGACTCATTAATTCCTTTGTCTGTACCGTACAACAATATGCTCAAACTTCCTTAATATTAGAACCATTTTTGGTATTTTTAAACAGCCCGGTAAAAGGTTTGACAGGCTTATCAGTTAATATGACGAAACAATAATAAGATGGATGCAGTTTATTTTTCTCTAGCCAAAGTTTAATAATACAAAATACGTTTTTAGTCTTTAAATAATCATGTCTAATAGAGAAACATGGCAACGATTCCTATTATTTCTTCATTGAATATTTTAACCAAGAATTTAGCTTTTAAAAGCTTGATTAGTTTTGAGAACTAACTATACTACTAAAGTTCAGAAATAACCAAAAAGTTGGTGGTGGGACCGCAGTATCAAATCTTAACCGATTCTAACATAAAAACCTCTTCCAGCATATTTGTCATTCATCCAACTGGTTTTTAGGTACATGAGGTTGTATATAATCTCATGACCAAAACATACACTAAAATGGATTTGCAGTGAGTTGTTTCGGGTTAATAGATACATGTTTATCTGTCAATAAACACAACATATGCTTTCCACTGGTTTCTATTTAATGATCTGAGCCATTGTTTTTGGAGTTAATTTTGAATCAAATGTAATCTACTTCTTTGTTACTGTTGATTGATCGATTTATGGGTCGGCAAAACTAGTAAATTTCATCGTCTCTTTGCTTCTATCTACTGCAATGGATATAAATTTTAGTTATAATAGCTGAGAGGGTATCTAAATTCTTGAACCTGAGGAACATCGTGCAATATATATTTAATATTATACACTTCTATTGTTACATATGTTAAGATGTATAAGGCTAGGTTGAGCTAATATATTAAACAGAAAAGGTTATAAAATATTTAAAACAAACAGTGTTTATAAACGACACGGATCGTTGGGCCTTAAATTTTATTCCTATTCAAGCTCATCTTTATCGGTAAAGTAGATCTTCTGAGCTTGTAGAACACATTTACTGGTCGCGTAGTACATTAGTTCATGGATCTATTTCAATTTTTACACCACTAGGCCTTGGCCACCATAGCAGAATTGTTTGAAAACAGGCCTTTATGTACTAATGTATATACACTCGGATGGATACACGGTAACCGGTAATGTTGTATAGCAGGGTTAACTAAGTAGATTGGATTTAAACTAAAGACTTGATTTTGAGTTTTCATTGTTGAAAGGAGTAAAAGTAGGATAAAAAAAACCTCTAAGCATTTCACTTTAGTTAACGGGCAAGTGTCTTTTCAAATAGAATGAGGAAATGTAGCTTTTTTAATGTATGTACATAGCTGGACTTAGACATTTTTCATGTATTACCTCATATTTGGTGAATTCATGAAACTTATCTGACCCATTTCTGTGGTTTCGTTTGCTTTAGTGTGGTCATAAACAAAATTCCAGCGTACTGTGAACTTACTCAAGATCTACTCAATCATGGCACTCTTCAGTTATTGGTAAGATAACATTTTTAAAGTGAAGATAGTGAACTCTTTAAAATATTTTTTATCATAATCCATCTCTTTTTTAGGACGGTGATATTAACTTGAGGGTTTTGACGAAACATTTATTCTCTGAATCTGAATTGCAAGAAGTAAGAGTATAATTATTTGAACGATTTAAAAATCTTTTTAATTGTCACAGATTGATGAAACATGGAGTTGGGACTTTTTGTTCTCTAAATTAAAGATACTGAAATAAGATTGTAAACTAAACTTATTTATATATTTCATGTTAACAGATCAAACCGTTTGTAACAGAGATACAAAATATCGAAATAATATTCTCTTTACAGTGTTAATTTTGGCTTTCACGTAACATTTACCACGGGATATACTATAAACAAAAATTAGCTTGTATTATTGGTCAATGGAAGTTACAAACTAACCAAGTGAAGCGTAATCAAAGATCCAACCTAGTATTTTGGGGTCTGCTAGCTAGTCGTTATTTACGGTTGGAGACCTTGGATGACGTGGTTCAATATCAATCGCAGTAACGCATGTCTATTAATTTTCTTTCTCACTTCAGATTTTGACTTAAGCGATCGTTTTCACGTATTCTTTTTTTAACCGTGCTTTTTATCCTATTTTCACGAACAGTGATACTAACTTTTGGGCTTATTAGATTTTTTCCTATTGGTTTTGTCTTCTTGTACTGGTATAAAACTTCACAGATTAGGTCTATGGATATTTGGTCTAGATCTTATGTTGTTTATAAATGACTGATTAACGAAGTTTTTTGAGAAGCCTAAATAACATCAATAAATTATCTATCAGTGAAAATGTTGAAATAAAAACTGATAAAGGACAAACGTTTAAAATTTACTAACAGTAATTTCACAATGGTGATAATATTTAACATATTTTATCTCTGATTAAGCCAAAAAAAACAATTATTGACCGTAATAAGATGGTTCACTAAGTACGTTTTTCAACCAACTTTGCTTTTATTTCCTGAGTGTTTCAATCTTCTTCTTTGCAATTTAATATTTTTCCGTATTTGTTTGAAATCTCTACCAATAGTGGCTAAATCTAGCAATAAAATTAGCCCCAGAAATATAAAAACCATAATGAACATAATTGAGGATAATTTTGCTGCAGATTCAGCTTCTTTTGGTTCAGTATAAATTCGTCCAGTAAGGCTCACAGGAACTTTCTCAATTCTTGCTATAAAAAGTGGATTTCAGAAAAAAACTGTCTTATTAGATTAATAAAGTGGATGATTGAAATAACAGTAACTAACCGTAGAAATGATTGACCATTGCAGTTTGGTCATTAAATCTCGTACCAGGCTATCTATTTTCAGGTCTGCTTTTTACGAGCTCAAGTAAGACGTCGGGTTAATATTGAAGCTAATACTTTAGTTACTACACTGGTCAAACTGAATCCTCTGTGATTATCACGAGAGTTTTTACCCTCTCCTGTGAACTGGAATGATCAGTGATCGAGACTATTCAGACAGGATTATACTCGGTTCTCAGGTTTCAGCTAAGATCTCAGTCAATTTAGCTGCTAAAACTGGACCACCATCCCTGAAAATCCCGAGATTTTGTTCATCAGACCCTCCTGATCTCCCTCCATTTACATTGCTTGTAGTCTTCACAACCTCACTAAGATTTGAAGGGCTTGCATCAATTCACCATTCAGGTTGACTGAAGATAGTGGGTAACCTCAGTGTGGTTGAAGGCCAGTTGAACTGCTCCCTAAAGTATTCTGCCCTTCGATTTAATCCCATGGATTGGAAGTGAGTAATAGTCCCATCCTTTTCCGAGATAGATTCACTAACAACCGTATTGTTAATGTCCGTTTCTCCCTGAAGTCTGAACAGTTGTCTTCTGTTATCTTTGACTGCTGCATTTTCTATCATTTCTACTGTTTTTGCTACTGACGACCATTACATATGCTTTTTGTCAGCCCACTTTTAAGCTTCCTCCGCTCCACATATTGTTCTGAGCCAGGAGTGACAAGTTTCCGAGCATAAACCAGTACCGTAAACGCCATTAGGATCCATTCTTTTTTTCAACCTTTTGGTTCAACTTATCTGCAGATACCACTGCTGTTTCCCCAGCTTTTTTCATATCATGCTAAGCTGCCTCAGGGTGGATATCACTTTCACGGTTGACCAACTGCTGCTCTAGTTATTCCTGAAATATATTTTTTACTTTTTCGTTTTTAAGTTGGACTCTTTTTTTGTATATATCATTCCTAAAATATCTATTTATTATGGTTGTTTTCCTTCATACGATTTTTCTCTCATTTACTTCCCTTTTACTTTCACACACCACTGACATGACTGTCAGGTTTTGTACCCTTTTGCTCATATTTATAAATTGCTTTGTATTCTTGTTGTATGTATGGTGATTTCTCTAAAAAGAAGTCCCAATACATATGTAATCTTATTTGTCGTTTATGAGATGTATTCACTTTAAAGTGCTGAACATTCAAAGAATAGTTTTAATTACTCTAATAGTTATTAAGTATTAAGTACTGTAACACAAATGAATACTAACTGAGAAAAGAAGTCGCGAACTGATGAATTATTGCTTTTCTAATTAATACATTCTTATCACAGGTAAACATTTGGACTTGACAGGCTATTTTATCATCAAATATCGATAAAACAAATAAGTGTTGAGTCAGCGAACGGCAATAAAGTCATCAATATGTTTAGAAAGGTTACAGAGTTTTCCTGTATAAAGTTGTTCGATGAAAACGAGTTATGGATAAAATAGAATACCTAAGGGTAGCTTACTTCTCGCTGTATTTTATATGGTCTTTGTTCCATAAACTGGAATAAAATTGTGGCTTATTACTGATAGCTACAATTTCTTAGTGTATACCTCTCGAACTAATTATCGACTGCAAGAAACGTTGTATGATTAGTAGTCAGTGAAATATACTATTACTGGTAAACAGTGAATCACTCAAATTTTCATTTGTTTGGAAAAATACAAATGTACTGTTAATTATTAATGCAAAAGCCTATTGGATCTACAGAGGGAAATTGTAAAAGGAAAACAACCAAATATTGTTTGATTACCAATACAACCAATTAGCTGTGGAGTCCACTGGCCGTAATTACCGCATGTGATATTTAATTCGGAATTTTGATGAATACTTTCGTAACCGTCTTTGCAAAAGTATCGAATCACTGTTCCACGTGGATATTGAACTCCACTGTGTTTCGTTAAATTCATCACGTCTATGTTACTTTTCATGACAATAAAATATGGTTCCATATTATAATCCGATTGTATTACGGCTTGTTCATATAAACAAGTGGCCTCTAAAATTTAAAAAACGAACTTATAATTTTAAAAATCAGACTCTCGATGTTAGTATCTAGAAAAATAAATAAAGTACAATGGGGGTTAGTTAGTCAATAGAAACCAATATAATCTTCACTTTATTTCACTAGGATCATCATCAGGAAACTAATGGATACACATTATATGCATGTACATGTTGCAAAATTATCATATATAAGCATGTTGAACGGTTTTGAGAATTCATGATCAGTGAGTTCACGTAAATGACATGTTAACACAACTTTGATAGAAAAGAAGCGAACTTCTGCTTTTTTTTAGCCGAAGAGGTGAATACGTTAGCATCACAAAAGGGAAATGAATAAACTTGAACAGAAACCCACTTTATTCGTTTGGTACTATAGTGGTCCATCTTTTGACGTTGCCTCACTACCTCTTAGAATCAAACTTTCAGTCAAAGGACCAGTGATAATCATTTATGAAGCCATCTGGTGTGGTTTAGACTTACAAAAGTGTTGACAATTTAAACAAAAAGTAGATGAAACAGTTACATATTTTAGCTAATAAACACAGACTGTATTACTAAGCGAAAAGTAATTTCATTGCATTTTGCTCTTCTCATCTTTAATTATATTGGATGCGATTTGTACATGTTCCTAACTTAATTTCTTTTCATTTAGCTTCTTATCTTTTGGAAGTTTTGACTTAGTTGAAATCTGAAGTTGCTAAATAATTACCTTCCGAAATTTTTATCCTTAACGCTGTGAGTAATGCGTATACTTTATAACCGTTCATAATAATTAAAAATAATATTTTCAACTGTTTCATTTATTTAAAAAGCCCATGGGATAAGTACTCACTCTTGTTGATGTCTGAGTTTAGTTAACTAATAGAGCTAAAACAATATTGATTGACTGAATCACTATATATATTCGTTCATGTGCACCTAAAGTATAAGCTAGAATCAAGTAGTAAGGGAAAAAAGAAACAACGAATTTTCAGACCTTAAAACGCTATCGAAAGAATTGAGGAAGTGTTCTTAGTTGTCAGTGAGAAGTCTTTAACCATAGAGTGGATACTAGGAATGATATGCTGGAAATTATTATGGATTACAAAATATTTTTGGCCAATACAACTAGTATGTTCTCGTGTACTGCTAAATGGCGTCATATCTCTGCAATTCAAATAAGTCATGTTAAAACCAGCTACAACTAGTATGGATGTGTAGATAACTAGCGTTCTTTCTAAAGCACCTGCCGGTATTTTGCTACTGTTCGAGTATTTCCCAAATGCACTTTTCTTCTCAATGGTTAGAAAATTTATCTCCCTAAACAGTTGAATGAGAAGAACTGTTTCTGTCTATCAATAGAGGATACAAAGTTACAGAACGTTGATTACAAGTGTCTTCAAAGTATTGTTGTATATTTTTTTATACTATTAAAGAAGCTAGTTGGGATCCGGCTGTAGACGTCCTTTGAATCTTTTACCAACGTTGTGTTGCTTTCGGGAAGATCTATTTTATTGTCCTGATCTTTAAAGTCACATAGTTTCCCATTGTTCATAAAGTTTAGTATCATGTTACAGATAGGACATTTCTATGTTCCTCGTTGTGTCAAGCTTTATTCGTATAGTTATTGTGTATTATCCATTTTGTTGATCGAACTTTTAAGAGTTGTGATATATGCATCCTTGAATCTCTCAAGACAATTATTGTATATGATTAGGAGTGTTGGTTTAATTTAAAACTACCAAACTACAAGTGTGTAAACAAACCTTTGGGTTGCTGATTGTCTATATGATTCATGAAAGTTGTAAGCTACATGGGAGCAAAGCTGAAGACGATAGTTTGGGTTCGGTTTAGATAAGAAACAATGTGACTACTAATAGTTAAGTGATGTGGATGTACTTTTTTCTGTATAATACTAATTATTCTTTAAATGCGACATATTATGCTATTTTTTATGTATCTTTGTTGTGTATATTATATGGAGAGAGCATGGTATACTTTATTATTACTTAAACAAAGGAGTGATAACCATGCTTGCAAAAAACATAATAAATTCAGTGCTTATTATTAGTTACTTTTAATCTACATATAAGCCAATAACTCTAGTTAATTTGAAAATTGTTTAAAATTATGAAGCAGACCATATGCACGAAATATTTGAAAAAATAACCTACCTTGTTGAATTACCAAGTTATTTAAGAATAGAAATGACAAATCAAATATAAAATACACCAGCTATTTATTATTTTGTAGATTTCACACTTCTGTCAAATTGTTATTTGCATTTTAAGTAATTTCATCTATTACATCTTAAGTGCAGTGCTAATAATTCCAAAAGTTAGAAAGTATCTGACTAATGTTTGCTGTTTTTCACATAAAATAACTTGTCATGAAGCAAATGCGTATCAGTCATCCATTCCATTTACATCCTTAAATAATCTTCATATTTATTTGTTATTTGAAAAGTAATGTATTAAATTTACCCTACATCAAGCACCAACAATTAGATTTAGGGGTAGTAGTTTTCCGTGAAGTTGCTCGAAAGTAAATAAATATAAATGCGTGATTTCTCACTACTTTGACATAACACAAGAATTTATCTAACTCACCTTGACATTCTGTTGGTAATGGTAGTAATGTACCAGAATAACCACGATATTCTCCAATTGTATTTGAACCAGGCGCTAATTCACAAGATACCTGTTTTTCTGTAGTACGATCGTTAAATAGATATCCTGGATTACATCTGATAGAAATCACATTTCCATATGAATAGAATTGATTAACCTGATGTAAGCCAAAGACTTGTTCTGTGATACGATTACGTGCAGTAACTAACTTAGCATTTTTAGGAATAATGATGTCCAATTCCGTTTCATTACAACGCACAGCTACAAAAAATGTAAATATTTGATGATGGAATTCTGTTTATATTTCTTTGTTTGGTGAGTTTATCAACCTGAGGGAAAAATTTGGCATATGTGAATAGTGGTTAGCAGTGAAATTCAGAAGAGGCATTTCGTTTTTTATTGGTCGCGTCAATTAGATTTATCTTTATCTGTGTTGATGTTCACACCGAGACTGAAACTCTGTAAATTTCGCTTCAAATATCAGTCGCTGAGTACAGATAACAACTAACCTATGAAACAGGTACGGATTTATTTTGTAGTTTTTATTCTCGCGTTTTATTATTCAGTACCAAAACTGGTCAGTCTTTATTGATAAATGTGCGTCCTGAGCAGACTATCTAGATATAGCAAGGTGACAAGTCTGAAATGTGATAAAATGCTTACTTTTGATTCTGGGATGAAAGCAAGCCAACATAAACTGATTAGAATTAAGTCACAAATATCAACAACTGTATAAAACAAATCCTTACTGGTATTCCGAAATGACTGTGTCGCTAGTGTGTGATAATTAATTTAGAAAATTTAATTCCGGAAAGGTATTCTCTTGGTTTGCGTGAAGACGTAAGCTTTTGTTTATGTACAATAGCAGTCATTGTAGCTCACTTAAAGAAATGCTTTACGACAGATTTTTCGGAAGTATTCGGAAACCATTATCATCCCTAGTTCATTTGCATTTTTTTTCTTTATTAGCGTAATCCCATTTTTACAACGTATTTCAACATATTCAGCAACGTCAACTGATTTTAGTTATTTTACAAGTGAGAGTTAGAACTGAATAGAGAAAAAAAATTTTATGAATCAATTAAAAATAAAACAGAAGTGTTCACCAACACTTGAAAAATGGTAGCTGAAGCTTTCTTTAGAGAAGTCCACAAATGAATCACAAAAGTATTACTAATCTCTAGGTTGCATAAACTTTTTTATCCTAAAATTAGCATAATTACTTAGCACTTTCAAATTAACATATTTTAGAAACGATATAACAGTATATACTTAGACTTTAATATTCCTTATTTATTGTTATCTAACTGTTTCAAGCTAAATATATGAATTTACAAATTTAGAAATGACCACTGAAAGCAGAGATTTATAGGAGTTAACAGTAGAATACAGGACGCGCACTTCGTCCCATTTGGGACTCGTCAGCTGAATGTACCTGCTTCCCAGAGTTATCCACTTCAGGACTAAAACCTTGTGTTGTACATCTCTGCTTTAAATGCTTGTAACTGAGTAGCAATATAGAGGCAACCTACACAGGATGTAAATATGTCAGAAAGAGATTGATCAATTACGGTCCTAAAAGTCGATCGGAGGATTCAAATAACCAGTACAAATGAATTTATAAATGACCGTTTATATCATACTTAAAGATATATATTTTGCGATAAGAGACTTGAGGACAATTAAAAGGCCTCACATTATTTTCCATTCAATTTTACATTAGTTAAATTGAATAGTTGTTTCTTTATGGAAGTTTTTTAAAATGCAAATCCAGTTTTACCAAATGGTTTTTTATTTGTAAAACCTGTAGGAAATTGGTGACTTTTATTTAGCAGTTGTTCTATAGATCGACAGCTTGACTTTTCACGAAACAAGGATAGTCTTGTTAAAAGGCTAAATTTGAAACCTACTAATTTAGTCAATTCTGGGAAAAACTGAATAGTTGCAGCTATGTTGGAAGGGACATTTATGACAACAAGTTTTCAGTTTCAGATATTATATTAACTTCATAAAATGGTTTAAACAAAATGAAACTTCAGAAAACTATTTAAAATCTTTCAAAGGTAAAATGTCATTCTAACATTCATGTTTGTTTACGAGCAGGAAAGAAGTAAAATTGTTTGAGATTATCTATTTAAGAAGGGATTAGAATACATGAAAAGTATTCTCAACAATCCACCGACTAAGTAGTATAAATACTACTTATGGATGTAAAAATTAATTGAGCTTGAAGGTATCTTCCAAATTTATCAGTGTGAGAGACCAAATAAAAACCAAACTAGCTGGAGATCATCCGAAAAACAATGGGAAACAATAAATTTGCCTGTCATGTTTATTCAGAAGAATATTTAAACGGAATTTATAGTCATTGTTTTGAATTGAAAATGTTGTAGTTGATGGTTTTTCGAGGTGTCAGCACCTGTCACTAGTTATAAGTAACTAGAAAAATCTAAGGTATCATAGTGCTTACCCACATATCATCTGAATAAGTTTTAATATTTTATTATATGTTATCAGTTGTTAAGAGTTCGAATGCAGAAATAATCGAAGGAGCCTCATAAAATTTAGAATTTTTTGTCATTCAGCTGACAAATGGTGGCTAAGTAATGATGAAAGTTTACTCCTACAAATTATTTTTCAAATCGTGTAGTATGATAGTGTGACGGTAATATACATAAAAACCACCAGAGACATTAAACATAGTAAATATGTATCAGTTCTCAAATAACTACAATGTGCTCGTTGATTTTCATCAGAACGTTTGTATCACTGGAATTTAACTCCTCAATGTATCAGATTTCTGTTGATATGAGTGGTTTGTAAACATTATCGAATTTCGTTTTCTATATTGCTCACTAACCCTAAGCAAACAATGAAAACTAGGAAACATTATACAGTTGTTTCATCCTAATATTGAACTGTTTAGCAGTACGCATCCACGACTCTGAGAAGGATTGAACCCAGGACTTTTAGATTTCGCGGTGACAGTTCAACCGCTAGATCACTGAACCGTCATCTGATGATTAACATTTTTAATTTCATTCGAATTACAATATCACTCGTCAGATTTCAACAGGATATTGTTAGTGTTCAATAATATTAAAATCAGAAACTGGTTCAAAAATGACTACTCAGTAAGAATTATTATGGTAAAGATTAATTATGGATCAGAGATTTTCAAGCGAACGATTAAATACTACATTTCAACGACCTTCAATATCTTTGGCATGAAATCAGGGCAGATATTTATATAGTCCTAGAAACAAAGAGGTACAATGGATATTCTGTACTCTAGTATAAACCATATTAGCCGTAAAAGAGGTATTATTCTATCATAAAACATCAGATGATTTGTTGTCAATCTTAATTGACATTCAACCAAATATTGTTGCTAATGTAGTGAACAAGAACACGAGTGGGGACAGTCGAATATATTAGAAACTAAATTACAGAACATCTCACAATCAACAAACATATTGAAATCAATCCAGTTTACCAACCAATCAGGAAAATCATGCACAAATATAGGAACAAATATCAAGCCAATGGGAGACACAATCAAAACAAAGAAGTAAACAATGATAAATTTAAGGTCAACAAGAACCAATCATCATCACCCAGGACCTATTGGTCTCGTGCGTGAGCACTTAACCACTAGACCACTGAGCCGGTCAGCATCCAACGGTGTTAATGTATAACTTCAACTAATCTACGAAATTGAGTGACACATCTACCATTGTCTCAGTGAGTTCCTATCTCACAACTGACCCGGTTGAACTCCACTGGTCACTGCTTCTCACTAGAACTCCGGGATATACATCTTGAAGCCAGTCACTAGTGAGCATATGTCGATTAGTACCAGAATCCCGCGAGGCGGGGTCGTGGGTGCGCACTGCTGAGGTGTCACACAATAGGACGAAATGGCCATCCAGTTCTTCCAGGTTTTCCATGGTGGTCTAGCTTCAATTGACTCATGATCTCAACTGTTGAAATTACTAAAATCTCCACAAAACCCCTTCTGATAGTAAAAAATCTTTCATCATTTTGTCTACCCTAATCACTAACAACTTGATCATGTTACTTATATCTTATCACTTCATGATCTTTCTTGTTTAATATATTTAACTATTAATTGAACTTGTATAAGTATGAAGAGAATTTATAATAAAAGCAATTTTTTTCAATAGTTAATTAGATGCGTTGTGTTTTTTGTTTCACAATTTGTAAAACATTTTGTTTATCTATCCTAATCAATGTGTAGGTTGTTAAATTCAAGTGTATGAAATGGGATGAACTCACTTCATTTTATAATTATTTTCAATCGAAAATTTGTAAATTATTTTAGAAAATGAATACCTTCTTTGGAAATTTATTTTAAAGTAGACTAACTCAAAATATAATATATTCCAAGTACCTGTAGAAATCTTATCACACTCAATTTAAGTAAATAGAAGAATAAAACTATTATGATGCTTGATTTTCATCGTCTACATGGATGGAGCGCTAATTTGCCTTAGACGAATATCTACACTAGTTACACTTTTAGTGACTATTCTACAGGACGTCAACACAACTCAAATCAAGAACATATGACTAGCCTGACTAGAACCTAAGTATATTTTCGCATCGAAAATCAACAACAGTCACAGTAATAATAAGGGTAAGAGAACATATAACTCATCTAGTACCTGTCAGATTATCTGTTAGTCTAGCTAAGTAAACAACCAATCTCTATTTTTCTCGCTCACACAGCAAAAACAATTTAAATGCTGAATAACATGCAGTTGATTTATATAGTGTTAAAGTTTGACAAATTACTTTATTCACCTCATGGGTAGAGCATCATCTCTGAAGAAATCTCAGAATACCAATATGTTTCCTTAAAACTTATTTGTTATCTAAATTAAGGAATGTTATAGTGATAAAGTATTAAAGTATTGTCTATTGCTTTTTGGTACTGATAATCGAAAGGTTTCTGAGGCCTTGAAAAATTGATCAAACGTTAAAAATTCGAATTCATTTCATTTAAGCACTTTACTAATAAACTACTCGGATTGCAATTAAACTAATGTAAGACTGGAATAAGTATGAGAATGGTTAAAAAAGAATTAACAAATATCACAATATGTGATCTTAAATAATGCAGTAGTTTAATTGACTAGTTTAAAATGAAGTCGTTAACATACGTAATCCGATTTGTCCACTGTACTGTTCATAATGATGGAGAATTGGAAACAGTTGGCATAAAGCCCCTCAAACTACGTCTTGTGTTTAACTGCCATCTGAGAAAAGAGTTTATCTCAACTTTGAGATACATTTAACTCCATCAGATATTCAAAAGCTAAGTTTACAAGTCTATTTCGATTATTTGCAATTAGCCAATACTGGATGCAGCCTACCTTAACATTGAGTAATTTATATTACTTGAAAGATTGCATATTAATTCAGCTGAAATTTGACTAAATTGAACACTATGGCTGAAAATGAGTTGTTTTTCAGCTATAAGTCAAGGTATAATTTATTCATAATGTGTACCCTACAATCTAGAGATAAATGTATATATTTGATTATGAACAAAATAATTATCCCTTTAATGGTTTTAATGTACTGGGATGGATTTTCACAACATTTTCATAGTGAAAAATAAATATCATTTTTGAAGTACAAACTGAATTGTAATATTATGCTTTACTAATTTTATTAATTACTACCAATAGTGTATTCAGATCTTGTTTATATTAAAATCATAGTCAGTTGGTCTGTCAATAAACTGTACAAGTAACAAAGTTTACACACAGCCTAAGTTGACAAATTATTGTTGTGTACATATGCTCATATTAGTTAAGATAAAACTTTAGCCGTGGTCATACACTGGTAAAATGTGAGTAATTTTGTAATTTTCCTGAGTATACATTATAAGATCTGGTTTCTAGCTAGTTTCTGGCTTTATCCCAGCATCTAATGTGAATAAAATGCAGTCAATGGTGACTTTTTGAATTAGCTCTACTTTCGAACTGTTTTCTGACTATTTCTATATATTTATTTAGTTTTACCTATAACATAAACCTCATTCGTAATTATGGTTTTTTAGTATCGAAAATTTATGCTTACTTAACAAAAAAAAACAAATAGATGGAATATACAAATATTTCTAAAACCTAACGTTTACCTACCTATACAAGCCTGATAATTTTCCGGGTCCCATAAACCCAGATTAAACGTCGTACTAGCGTGAGCACAGACCATTGTTGTTAATGTACTATTAGGATTTTGAAAGCTCACATAACCTCGACTGCATTGTAATGTAATATTTTGTCCATAATCATAAATAAGACTATCTGAACCAACTGGAACTTGAGGCTTATTTTCTATATTATCCAATAATTCTGGAAAAAGTGGACATTTCACATCTACAGGGCAAGAATTTTGTTATATTTGATTAGTACTATGCATATTCTGTCTGGTGTTCTATTTTAACAAAACCAAATAATAATTTCATTTGTTTTACGAGATTTTTTTATTTCTTGAAGTGATAGAAATTTGTAAGATGGTTGATTAAAAAAAATCACTGTATGATCCAAAATAAAAAATATGTAATTGTCCATCTTATTATAAAAGAGGATAATTTAGTGTTTGGGTGGATGTAACATGACATTTATACTGTGGAGTGCAACCGTAAGGTAACTACGCCTGGAGCCCCTCTGGGGCTGCTGTCGGTCCCAAGCCCGGATAAAGGAAGAGGGTTGGGCACAGGGTTGGCGACCCCATCCAGTCGAAAACTAACTCGCTAAAAAAATTCTAACCAGAAGTAACAGTGAGTTGTTTTCACTACCTCATTGTATGGAAAAAATGAAAATCTAGATCAACAAGACGAACGAGAAGACGAAGAAGAGTAAACCAGAAAAACAGGGGAAAAGAGAGGACAGATAATCAATAACTTCTGAATGGTAGTAACAAATCGACGATATAGGACTCTTATTTGACTTCTTTCAGTTAAATATTTTCATCATAAATATAGGGAATCTTGGAGACTGTAAATAACTGAACACGTCACCTTTTAAATATCAGAATTTTAATGAACAGTTCACCGGTTTGTTCTTAAGTTGATCGAATTATTCTAAATCAAGTCGGGATTTCTCAAGAAGATTAGTAATTGAGACTTATAAGGGGAATATTTAACAAATAACTTACAGATTACCGAGATCGACGATCTATTCGAATGATAAATTTTCTTTTAGTCTAAATATTTACTTGATTGTTCAATATAACAAAAGTTGTTCTGCAAATGCACTTGACACTAAACCCCTATCAGCTTTCCATTTCACTAACTTTTCTTGGGTAGTAGATAAGATATAAAGTTTACACTGTAAGTGAATGAATATTCTGTTGAGTTTTTTATTTTTAACATGTAATATTTATAGTAGTTTCAGCTAGTGATATACTGCTTGTTCATGTCTTGCTAATTTGAAGTTAAAAGAGATGGAAATTACAGTAACTATCCATTGGAAATCGGAAGCCATTACAATTTTAAACATCCTATTAAAAAATTAAATAACTTCCAATAATAAAATTAAAAATTATTGAACAGAGACTCCTAATTGAAGACGAAATCAAATGAAATAGTAATCATTCTAGAGAATACGATTTTGTCTAGTAAATACTGAGTTAGACCTATTGAATAAGGACCAGTGATACAACTAGAATAAAATAGATGTATTGAAACAAAATATTGACGCTAGTAAATTGAGAAACGGTAAGAAATACTACCTAATTTCATTTTCAAATCTTTATAAGATATTTCGCGATTATTCTTATGCCCATGACAGGTTAGTCAAATTTAAATGAAATTTAGTACAAGTACACACACTTAGCAGTACAGTTTAAAAGTAACTGAATCGAGTAATGTCACATGAGATGTACAAATGTAAGAAATTAAATTCTCTAAAATTTTATTCTACTTTTAAAAGTCGTTAGAATAGAAGCTACAACTCAATTAGAGAATTCATAAACTATATAGTAACACCTTGAAGGCTATATCTTTTTATGTTATGCTTACTGAATTAAACAAATTATGAAATTGGTGATAAAGTACATGTATTTAGTCCACTGGCAGAATGAATACTGAAAATCACTTAATGGTTATTATATGCGTTAACAGTTATGCAGATGATAACAATTAGTTAGTCATTTGCAACCTGCAACTTGGCAGATGTGTTTATCGATTCATTTTATCACATCATGTTAACACAGAGAGATGAAATTGTCAAGAAAATTTCCAATGTAGTGAAATTGGTAACATTATCAGCAGTAGCAAAAAAATTAGACATAGATAATATGATTCGAAAATAAAAAACGAATTTGTGCAGTGAAAACATTGTGAGACAATTTTGAATTTTATGATTTAATGTAAGACAAAGAATGAAACTATCTACACCAATGTAATCGATTTTGAGCCACATGGTTCAACTTCTTTAACCATTGGTTACGAAAATCATGCGAACCACAACCAGGTAACCTGTGTGCTCCGGTTCAACACTCACATATTTCATAGACTGATATCGTGTCTTGGGTTCGGCCACCCCCAGCTTTCTCCCGAATTAATCCATCATTAACTATCATTGAGCATCAAGGTAGGCTGGGAATGAGTATATGCGGTACATTTTCAGCCACCTTAGTCAATGAATATTCACTATCTTACCAATTGATTTCCCGTTTTTGCCTAGAACCCTGTGTCTAACTTCAGTATTTTTCACCTGTTGTTCTCAAAGTGCAAGGATAACAATTTGAAGGCATGCGTGATCTAGCAAAATAATCTGACAGACGTCAGCCTACCCTTCTAAATCTATGTCGAAGACTTCATCAGACACCAAGTTAACAGGGCTGATAGGACTTCTAAATTAAATGAAGCGGACGACGATGTCAACAACTTTATTTTTTAGAAATCTCAGTTCAGGCGTCGATGCAGACCAATCCTGAGGTAGCATTTTTCATTCAGATGAAGAGAAGCGCAACCCTAAAACGTTCGATAGTTTTGCTCAAGGAGATCAGAAGATTCTGCATTTTGTCAGTCTCCTACAAACAACTATCATAAGTCTATTCTAAGCCAACTGATAAAGTTTTTGGTGGGAGATAATCTGAAGTTTACACTATACCGATAATAATAATAATAATAATAATAATAATAATAAGAAGAAGAAGAAGAAGAAGAAGAAGAAGAGGAAGAAGAAGAATAAAAAAAACATCAAGGATACACCATTTATTTTGAACAATGAATATTTCATCTTGTAAGCAAAGGCTACTACCTTAAAATTAACCAATTTCTTTTAAATAATAACATCTATGATAATTTTGTTTATACATAAATATAAAAATAAATAAGTAAATAATTAGACTTTTTAAAATTAACTTATTTACACTGAAACACTTACATGAACATGTTGGTAGTAAATAGCCTGAATAGAATAGTTGTGGTTGAAACTTTAAAGGATCTTCAGGATTTGGATTATTATTAAATCGTTTCCCTGTGCATTTATATGAATTTTCTGATAAGCTTAAATCCACATCAAAACCGGATAATCGGTTATTAGATGTAATAGGATCTTTTAATGTACCAGGTGCACATTGTACTTGTACAATAGATCTTGGAGCCATGATAGATGGTTTTATGATCATTGTAGTTTGATTAAAGCCGCCTGGCGGATTTGTACAAAGTGGAACTAAACCAAATTGATGAAAAATAAAGTATAAAAAGAGGTTTTATATTAGGAAGATATCTATTGAGCAATTAGAAGTGTATAGGACTTTGATTAATTTGATTTTAGTCATGGACTTGGATGAACCAGAGGGAGATTATAATTTAAAAAAAGCTCCAATAAGAGGTTTCATAGGAGATAGTTTGTGATAAATATTACCTTTCAGCTGATCTTTACAAGACTATTTATTCAAATAATAATCTAGTACTAATTGACAGGTATCTTCGGAGTGGATTGCTTAAAACTCCATGAGTAAACTGTAATTTGTGGCATAGCGTAGTATAATGATTCAGTGATTATATTTTTATCAGAGTCGTACCATACCATCAATTGACTAAATTTAGAAATATCTTAGTGCAGTTTTGTTCTCTGAGCTGGATAGCTTGATCGTGGGGCTTTCATCGTTCTTCTGAACAATATCATCAGCACAAACTACAGGTAGAAGTGAAGTGTTCGAATTTCTTCACATATGACTCACAGCTTGTTCTGTAGACTTTGATCTTGATTGGTTATTGTTGGTCTTTAGCCTGTCATTGTTTATTTCTTTATTTTGGTTGTATGTCCTTTTGATTTAATTGTTGGTCCTATATTTGTCTATGATTTTCATGATTGTTTGATAGATTGGATCGATTTCAGTGTGTTTACTGAATGCCGATTGACCTGAATGCCAAGCTTCTAAAAATTCTGCGGTCTTTAGAAATCCCTCTATCCAAGATTCCAACATTTTTCTAGTCGATACACTTTCGAACACTTCACTGCTACCTGCAGTTCGTGTTGGCGATGTTGTTCAGAAGAATGATGAAAGCCCTACAATCAAGCTATCCAGCTTGGAGAACAAAACTCGACCAAAATCATCCACCTGAGCTACAAATCTTCATCATCTTAAAAATATCAGCTATGGCATTCCGATTTATAGGTTAAATAATATCTAACTAACTGTCATACCGGAAAGCGTTGATTTCAACCCTATGTGAAGTTGTCGGTGTCAATAATATATCAAACTAAACAAAAAGGTATTTCAGTGCATATACGTTTTTGAAAGCTTCCCAGTTTAAATAAATCGGTAATTAAAACTATCACCAAATGTCTTTGATTTATTATTGTACATAAAAAATTGAGCACAGAAATTATGGTTTTTAGAACATTTCTCTGTCAAACTACGAAATCATAATGTTAAAGGGAAAGAAAAAGCAATACATAACATTATGCAAAATGCTTTATATTCAGCTTTAATGATTTCAAATTAATGCTGAGTATTATGACAATCTACTTATAATAAAATAATTAAAGCTAAGAATTCAATTTTCATATTTACACTGAAAATATATTATAATAAATCACTATGTGCTAACAAACCTTTATGTTCACAAATGAATGAACGCATCATATCACATGGTTTATTATCGATCGTTTTAACTATAGTCCACTTATCGGTTCCAGATATTGGTTGAGTTGTATATGAGAAGCCAATACAATCTCCTGGTTGTGTTCCTTGAGACCAATCAGTGTAGTCGAAAAGAGCTGTACTACCATCCATATACCAAATAAATGGTTGCTTCGCATCTAAAATATGAGTTTAAAACAATCCTGTTCCGTTGACGTTTAGTACAATTAATATCAAGTCTTTTGACCGAAAAGTCAACGTAAAAATACTGTCGTTAGTCATTAAAGACCAGTGCATTCACTGAGTTAATACTAGTTTATCCTAATAATATCCTACATTATCCAATATTATTTTATAAGACTTCAAATGTTTAGTTAATTTTTGATGGGTTTTGTGTTTGCAACTTTACATTATGGATTTACTTGATTGATGAACACATTATTAAATACATCAAAATAAGCTATGTCCACCAATTGAACCTTTTAATTGAAATAGTGGAATACTGTATCCTTTATTTATACACTAGTTAAGTAATCTCACAAATCTTATTTTCAGTGACTATTAGAGGACTAACGTAGATTGTAATACAAATACTGTGCAGTGATACATATTTTAGAAAAATCCAAATATTTGAAATACCAATACACTCTTCAATGTAATCAGTGTAAAGTCTATAGCATTAGTTGTAAGAAAAAAACACTTCAGGTTTCTGTACCCAATCAATCAGTTTGTATTCATTAGTGGTAAAATAATTTGTATGGTAAAGTTCAGAAGTTAGCAATAAAGTTAACTATCTTATTGTCTCATTGAATACAGTAATCACCAGAATATGAGAACTGAGTGTAAACGGTGTTGTGTGAAGCCAGTTTGATGTTTTCAGATATCAGACTGACTTTATTTATGAAGGATTATACTGACACTGACAACCGTCATGATTATATGGACAGAAGTTTCGAAACCACATAGTTTATGTAGAATGATCAAATTTTCATGCTGTCTTAGTCTAAGATTGTTTTCAACTTTATAAATCCTAATCAAACTAATAAAAGGTAAATGGATACATTTGAAAATATCTTACCACTACGATTAGCTCCAATCCAAATTGTTTCTTTAAAAGCATTTTCAGACAACAACTTCACAAATGTATCAGCTTCATTTTCATTAGATAATTTTACTAAATTTATTGAAACTTTTGAAATATTTTGCAAGTATGTTTTGCATGCTTGTGAAGCATTTGAAAACGGTAATTTCTGTGCTCCCATTATTGGTTTATAACATTTTCCCGTTTCGTTTGAAAAAAACCATGTATCATCATAACAAGGAAAATCTAATGGGATAGCGTATACTTAAGATGAAATAAGAAAAGTTAAATGACATAAGATATTCTAAATTATTTCAATCTTAGAATAAGTTCAAAACATGTCTAACAATGATAATAAACATTTGAAATTTTTATAATATTAGTTTTTTACAATTCACTTCAATAGTTCATTGGGATAAAGGGTATATTGTTTGATTTAATTGTTAGTACGGATAGTTCAATTTTAAAGCATTTTTTTCACTGACTGACTTCAGCTGGGAAAAAAACACTGTAAACCAGTAAGCACTGGACATCTCTTACATTGCTGTATATTATTGAAAAAGCCGAAATTAGGAGGAAACAACTACACAGTAATAAAAATTAGAGATAAAACAAAGTTATAAATAATCACATCATCAATGTAGTCAAAGATTAACTCTTGATAGTCTTTGGATTACAATTTTCATGTTTTAGCTTTTTATTTGATATAACCTCTACAAATTATTTATTATGTTTCGATAGTTTCTAGTTTACATTTAATAATAAATGAGAATGGAACGATTTTCAACAACAACAACAACAACAAAGATTGAAACATTATGAAACAACTTACTTGATGTAATCAAAATCAATATTAATAACATGATACCAGAGAAAAAATATATTCTGAAAACGTTTCCTTCCTTTATCACTAAACAAAATTAATTTACATGAACATTAGGCATAGACAATGCTCAAAAATTACTGTTAAAGTAAATAAGTAAAAATATGAACCAATTAGATTTCAGATGTAACCATGTAATTGGTAGTTTTATGAACATGAATTTATTACTATTAGTAGTATTATTCTTAATATCATGAATAGTATGTTTCTTTTTAGAAAAAAAAAGAAACAATGAATAGGAATTTATTGTTCACGTAGTCATGACATTTAGTAAGATATAACTATTGTCTTTTTTAAAACTAAACTATTATTATTAAATGTTTCATTTTTCAAATAAAAGAATAAATGCCAAGTAAAAACAATTAATTTGTTAATCTCTTCTTAATACAATACTTCTAAATGAATATGTTAAAAGATAAATAGAGGATTTGGAATGCATTTTATTGTTTATTATAATCATTTATTAAGTCATTTATTGTTTTAAAGTTTATTCAATAATAAATGTTAATTGAATGCATTCATTACATTCACCTTCACTTCTCAATATGTACTAATACACCGATAAAAATAATTTAAAAAAGGAACTCATAAACTAATTAATTAATTAATCAAACAGATTTATGGTAAAGAATATATTACCTAATTTTCTAAAAGTATGTGACTTGGATAATCTCAAATGTGTATTATTTATTGACTAATAATTAAATAATATTGTCCACTCTATCTTGATAACCATTCATACTAGTTCAGTTGTAGCTCAATAAAATCTCGTTATTGCATGAATCTATTACATCTATCAAAATCTTAGCTGCTTACTTTATAGAAATTTTGTTTATACGCTAGGCTGTTTGTTGAGATTATTTCAAAGCAGTGGTAAGCTAAGTAGTATTGGTTTAGATTCTTAATGAGGACGCTAAAAATTATTACAAAAAAAGTAGTTTATCGGCACAAGTTTGGGATCTAATAGCTGATCAATATTAAGAACAATTACCATGTCAATTTAGGTGTATTTTTAGTTAACATGCGACTGTACGATTAAAAGTAAAACTCAGACTGATTCAAAAGCATGAGACAAATAACTCGTATTTCTGGAAGCATACAGTAATTACAAATGTGGATTTTGATTTATTGAACATTTTTAACTTTAAAAATATCCAATTCCTGGAACTTGTCTACGGTAACTATTGGTCCCAAGCTAGGGTAAGGGAACTGGGCTTAGGATTCGGCTACCAGCTCGAGCTAGTGTAAAATGATCCTACGAAATATCTGACCAGAGTAAATGGAAGAGTTATGACCCTTTGTTGTAACGTGTGGACTGCAGGGTTTTATAAGCAGCGTATTTATTGATCGTTTCGGTGACAGTGAACACGTAAGGATGACCTCGTGCCCCGATTGGCCCTGCTTCGCTGTCTGTCCCAGCCAGTTGAGTCAAGAAACACAAGTCCCAGCCTCTGAGTTATGAATCATTATATTTCAAACATACTTTGTTTATATACCAATCAAGCATACCACATCGTACCATAAAAATAGAAAACAACATTTTGTACAATATTCAACAAGTGAACAGATATCGACCAATAGGGAATGTCCATTTAAAGTCCAAGGACACCATTGGACTTAACATGATAATTATTGGTCTATTCCTCCGCATCCACAACACCCTTCATGGTGAAAGCTAGCAGTTTCTGTAAGTCACAAGTTCGAAACCCCCTCTGAAAACAAGAGGAACGGTGAACATAGAGACATGAAATGTACGAATAATGCAAGAGAGCGGGAGGTTCATTCAACTGTTTGTAAGAATGTGAAGATACAACCTGGGTCTGGTTGTAATAAGTGGAACTCGTAGGATACAATCTCTATAGAAAATACTAACATCAGGAGAGATGTTGTATTCCAGTCACAAAGGAGAAACTTCCCCTAAACGAACGAGGAGTTGGAGAGACGTTGTCCACAGAAGTACAAAAAGTGCTTATTGGAACGGAAACTCAATACTCCAGAATCATCCATCAACCTTTAAAGAAAAAGAGGAAGAACTTCAATGAATATCATCCAGTGCAACGGATCCACTAATAGTAGCACCGAAAAGGGCAAAGAACAGTTTTATAATTTTTCAGTCCTACCTAGAGAAAATTACAGAAAAAGACATGATCATTCTAATGGAGTATTTAAACGCTAAGGTCGTGATGGACAACATTGAGCACGAACGCATCATGAAGTAATATAAACTGCTGGAAACGAATAAATGATGAGGGATTAGCAAATCTATATTCAAAGCTATAAAGCAAATCGGTAATAACATATCAGTAAGACTAGCCTGGGTACCAACTGAAGTACTAAAGGCGGAAATAGAGGCAACTGAAAAAAAACATTTTGTTTACTCCAGAAAAACCCATCAAGCTTTATTCAAAATCAAGCCCTAATTTTGGATCCTCAAGAGAAAGAGGCAAGCCAAAACACATTGAGAGGCATCAAAATCATGAGTATCACTTCTTAAAAACGGAAACGGAACGCGCAGGACAAGGATGCTTGATGATCTGTAGTCGGAGGCTTATGTCCTATGAGGGTCAACATACCTAAGTAAGTAAGTTATCAACAGCTCAGTTAAATCTTGAACCATCAAAACCTTAACCAAAAATGATGTTTTAAGAGAGCTGATTACTGTTTTCGCAACCTCAAGTAAAAAAAGTGCAGCTTATCTTGTTGTAAGTAGTCGATTTTACAGATAAAGAAAATAACTATTATTCATCTTAGGGAACATATGTTATCTATTGGTTAACAACTACTAGTGAATCTTGTGAAACCAAACTAAATTTAGTAATTCATATGAGTGACAATTATTTAAGTGTACTTTGATTAACAGAATAATCAAGTGGATCAAAGAATAAATAAAGTACAAGCATTACGTTTGTATTTTTCCTAAGTCATTCCAATCACTGGTTAATAGTATGGTGTGTGCCTCTGATGTCGACAGACATAAGTATTATGTATCATGAATCGAAAGTGAAATGCCTGGAGGCAGAAGGTTAAGAAGATCAAAGAAAAAAGAACGAGAACAGAGAATGATTGATATGGAAACGAAGGAACAATTAAGTCTGAGACGATTGACTGACATTTCGCAAATGAAGTATTTACTGTATGGTTCTCAGATTTTACTAAGATTTTCTGCAATTTTGTATTTAAATACATCCCATTGTCCCCATTTGTGTTCTCGTTCACTACAATAATAATCAAAATTATTTTGAGATTATTAGATATTTCAAAAATCCACATTTTACAGTATTAAAGAATTTTCCGCATAAAACTATGTCGAGATTTTATTTTAACAAGAAACTATTTCGACGTAATTAACCTCAGAAGTGTATTATCTAATGAAAACAGAAGTGTGATCATTTTTATGTTTTACTATTTGGAATACCGTTGTCAGTAAATCAGTGAAAGAAGTCTGAGTAGTGAACATCAATCGATGCTTGCATGGAATATTTCATGAAAATAGGAATGATAATTCGATTTATGTGTCTTAGCTTCTATACTTGCGACTGATGATGAAGAAATTCGAAGAAATGTTTCTAGATCAGAACTATTCGGTATGGCTTACCATATACATACATTGGGATTAGGTTAAAATATTAGATGACATTTATGACAGTAACTATCTATCTTCGAATACCAGAAAATGTCTAGAAACCGAAAATGGTTTATGATTATAACTTCTCAACATATTCAGTTTACTAATCGAGTTTATCTTTTAAAGATGAAGAAACGCTGCAAAACAGGATAAAACAGTTAGACATCTCAAGCGTTCATTTCCGTTTTGATGACGATTTCGTAGAAAGACTGTGTAGTGACTCACATTTATCACGAGAACACTACTGGTTTAATAGAAACAATTATTATAACCAACTGTACCAGTGTTTGTTTTAATGTGCTTTTGTTTGACTGTGCTAATGACAGCTATATTGTGCTTCCATTCTTATTCTTACACTTTGATTGTGACTTCGCGCGAATTCGGTTACGTTCTGTAACCAAGCTTGTATCCTGGCACGATCTCGGTATCCTTTCGATGCCACGAGATCGCCAGCAAATATATCTCGATTTGGTCCATTAACTATCTTCTGATATTTGGCTTCTCGGGGATTTTATGGATCTATTTACTTACGTTCGACCTTCGCCTTCTGATTCATTTGGCACGTGTTTCTTTGTAGCGGTGTTCATAGTCAACCGCGACTCGACTGCACGCTACAAACCCATGGAGGTGTAATGGTTGTCTTGAGTTTTATTTTTTCTGAATCACATTGGTAGGATAATCAACATGGAGTACTCACAAATTTAGTTGACGAGATTTATACAGCACATAAACGACAGGTAAACACACGTTATTTAGTAAAAAGATATTACTCGTATTCACTGTATTAATTAAACTCGTCCGAATCCTTGAGGACATTTAGGACAGGTTGACAAAAAGGAAAATATTCTAATTTTTCTTTCGGAAAGCTTACAAGTGATCACGTACCATAAGGTTTCTACCAGAGAACATTACAGGGTGATGGGTTTTGTTTGGAAATGTATGGACGTCAAATGATAATATTAAACCATATTGTACTATTAAGGGATGAGTGCTTTTACGGAATCCAACCTTTGCTGCTACCGTGATGTAGTGGTCAGATTTGGCTATCACAACTGGAACAATCGTTCCCCAAGGTCCTACTATGCCAAGCAGGTAGACTGAAGAACGGTAAGGCTAAAAGCAATAAATCCAAGATCCGAGGACGAAGTCGTGCTGTTGACTGTACAGAAGTGTGACGGCAGTAAGGTGCATTCCTCAAAAAAACAGCACAACAGCAATACTGCCTTCCCATAAAGGGTGGGGTCGAAACTGAAAACACACACCTGGCCTTATCCCACAGGTTTCCGTCCCCGGTCATAAGGTCCCAACAAGTACGGAGCTAACACGAAAATTGATCAGTAAGGTCATGTGCGACTGAATTCAAGCGGTTGTCCCTTTGGCGCTGTGGTCACACTCTCAGGTCACTAAAACCTAAAAAAGGAGCAATTCAGCTACCCGCTATTTTCAAACAGCCTGGATAAGCATTGATAGGCCACCCAGCTTTGATTGATCTTCAAAAAGCTATAGTAATCTGAAACTAGGGAGAGCAGCTGGTTGAGATGGAGTGCCTCCAAGCCTTTAAGGATAGTGTTCCAGTTTCAGCGATTAGGTTGACTAATATTTTAGCTAAAATCTGGGAACTAGACGTAATCCCATCTGACTAGTCGCAATTATTGATTGTCCCAATATACAAGAAAGGATCGAAATCTCCCTGTGATAACCATAGAGGGATTAGTTTGACTAATATAGCGTCTAGAATACTGGCCTCAATAATTATCATCTGATTTTGCAACCTCAAGTGGTGTCAGGTAAGGCTGTCCACTTTCTCCATCTATGCGGAACTTCATCATAGACCTGCTGCCGAAAACAACGTTCTCGCCGACTGAATTTTCAGGAACTGATCACCTACCAAGATGTTCATTTATTGATTTAGAATACATAGATGAAAGTCCTGTTTGGTGAAGACGCTGATAAAATGAAGTCTTTTGGTAGCACTGAGCAACAATTCCAGGACGTCTGGGATGGGTTTCTCACCCCCTCTAAATGCAAGTTGTTACTTCATGACTGGCCTGCGTCAACACCTGAACTAAGAATAGGGAGTGAATTAATCGAACGCGTCGACAACTTCATTTATCTTGGAAGTCTGGCCAGCCCTAATGGGCGTCTGATAAAATCTCAACATGGATTCTAAAAGTTCATATTTGCCAACTTACGTCACTTATGATGAAGGTGAAACATCCGTCTATCAGTTGAAAGATAAGTATATTGAGCAGAAGTTCGTTCTGTACTGCTTTACGGCTGCAAAACCTGGCCATTCAGAGTAGAAGATACTCGTAAGCTACTAGTCTTAGAAATATTGCTCGCATCTGCTGGGATCACCGAGTAAGTATTAGTGAGGTTAGAAGTGTAGGGTATTAGGGAATGATGGTAAATCAGTTGATGCGACCAAACCAAAGATGGCATCAATCCACAAAGTCACTAACTTCTGGCTTGAGCCACGCTGATAGATGAAGACTATGTGATTGGGGTCCACGTGACTATCGTAACCAGTAGCTGGAGACTCCGGGTGACATGGCTCAGAATCGATCACAATCGCGTAGGTGTATACACTCCTTGTCTTCCCTTAGATCGTGAGAGTAAAATTACTTTATGACGTTTTTCTTACGAACTAATTATTTCTTCCTGTATTATATCCTTATGTGCAATCTTTTTCCACATATGACGACTATTAAAGTAACTGCTTCTATGTATTCGGTGTTTATCCTGTTGTGCTAATGAGGTATGGCAACTTCGACCGATGTATATATGTGCCTGGTCAGACGTTGTAGATGACAGACGGATGTTTACGGGAATAGAAATTTCAGTGAATAAAGCCCATCTACTAGTTTATTGATTACAGTTAGAACTTGTATTTATTTATAATTAAACAAAATGACTTCCTATTACTAACTAGTAATCTTACTAGACACAGCCTGCAGACAATATCGAGTATGTCCTACTACTAGCATCAAGTCAATTTTTTACTCAGTAAAACAGACACAGGCGAAATATGGATTCACTCATATGAGGGACTAAATTTTTCTTCACACTCAAATACTAGATTCCCAAAGCAATATCTAAAGGTACTCATTTATATACGAACTTACTTATAACTGATAAATAGTTAAATTTAAACAACCTTAGCATAGACAAATACCGTACTGAACTAATCTATGCTTGGAATTATTAGGTAATAAACGAACATCATGGTAAATCAATCCATAATCTCAAGCTTAATCCCAACCTAAAAGTCACGCACATATTCTCAAGTAAAATCAAAACGAACAAGCTTCATTTCACTATTAAAAATAAAAAGTTCAATGTATATGTACAGATATTTACAGACTAATGAATGATTAGTTACATCCACATGAAAAACAGTAAACAGGTACAAAACGAAGATCTCCAGTTCAATATTCAATATTCTAAAACGTGATAAAAGAAGCAAATCATAACGTGCTCAGAAATATATATATATATATATATATATATATATATATATAATAGATTTATACAGAAAAACTACCATAGAGGGTTGAATCACTTGAAGCCAAGGGTAAGTTATTCATTTCAAGCCATACTGAATTCAGTAAGCCTATACTATTTTCAAAATCCATGGAGATGCTAAAAAAGTTAATTTCTTTTAGAAAAGAACATAACACATTATATTATGTTTGTCAATTGGTAAAAACAATCCAGAAAAATCGTATTATTAACAGGTAACCAGTAACCAAAATCATTTTCATAGACTAGTCATGGAGTATGTAAAAATGCACAAATTTCTATGTGCCAGTATATGTAAATTGCTTCAAAATTTTCAACTTAGTTAGGGTCGTAAATTTTTGTTTGGACTAAAGGTCACGAAAACTTTCCATTTTAAAACAGATGGAAATATAGGAAAAACATGACAGTTGTATTATTTGAGAAGATAAACTTAAGTTTTACTTTACTGAGTTATCGTAAGTCGGGTCTATTTATCATCTGAAAAAGCGACAAGTAAAGGGGTGAAACGTGACGGACATTTATTACAGACAGGAGAATGAATAAATTGAATACACCCATGAAATCATACACAAAATCTATGTTCGTGGGTGAATAATTTATCGGTTGAACAACGTATTTCACACAAAGTTCATGAAAAAAAGCAATCGAGACACAAACAAATTATTGCACTTATTAAGACTAAAAACTTCATAAATCAGTTAACTCACGTTTACCTTAATCATCTTCATCATCACTTAGACGTTCAGTTCGCCTTTTGAAAGTGTTCGACGAATCATTCAATTCTGAGAAATTTCCAGTTCTGCTTCGCTTTAGATCAAATTGAGGATTGAATTCTGACACTGTGGGGCGTTGGATTGAATCTCTTTCTAACTTCATAGTATTTGCGTGCAACATCTCACACTCCGAGTAGTTATCTTCTAATTCTTCATATTCTGGATGCATTTTCGAAGGAGGAATTCCTCTACCGAAGCATTCAGATTTATATTTGTTCAGTTCATCAGTATAGTCTATTTCACTAGCTTTAGAATTGTTTTCAGATATATTAAGTACAGATCTCCCTTCCTTGACTCTCACTAAAAGCACACCTTCTGGAAGAGGAAGACAAGTTGGGCGACGATTACCGTAAAGTGTGTAGTAGAGTTCAGCGACTGCACATCTAAGTCGTGGATCACCGGTGCATCCATAATTCATCAGTGTCCAAAGTCTTTCAACTAATTGAGGAGTATCTAATCGACTACCCGACTCACCACGTTGAAATGGTGGCATGCGTAGTAATAACTGCACAGCTTCAAAGCGTAGGCGAACATATGAAGCGTCACTGGCATCTTCTCGTTCTATAATGTTGCTAAAGAGCCAGTCTAATGCTGACTGATCTCTCTCACCTCTGATATAATCCACAACAGCTTCGATTGCTGCTACTCTGATATCACAATAAAAGTTTGACAAAGCATATTGGTAAAACAAACTTGGATCTATGGGTAAAAATCCAAGTCGTTGTAGCCGTCTTATAGCTGCTAAACAGACAACGGTTACAGTACCTTTATAACTAATTGTTTCTGTTTCCAAGTTTAACAAATGAGAAACTTCTTCGATAACAGTACGGGCTTCAAAAGGTAGTGTCGAGGCAGACATTACCCCACGAACAATAATTGCAGGTGTCAGAGTATCTTTCATTGCCTTTACAAGGTCGGCAAGGTAATAACTATCAGAATATGGGTTACGCGAGTTATCATTATGCCTTAATAAATCACTAATGAAAATCAGTATATCATGAGGGCAGACTTGTTGCACACGCAAAGTTGACAAAGCTTTGACCATAGCTCTCTGAAGAAAATAAAGTTGTAAATTAGAGAAATTATTCTGACGAATTAAACCACGAGCTGCTGGTGAACTAAACAACTGCCAAAACATTGGCAACAAACAAGAAGTTACTGTAGCCGAAGCTGCTGTAGGGTTGTTACTGAGAGTACTCAGTTCGTTCACAACATGACACAATGTAAAGCATGCTTCCATTCTAACATGATAAAAAATTCTGTCATTTAAAATAATATTACTTAAAACATGACGCGTTTCAGGAGAAGCAAAATCTTTGAGAGCATTTACTGCTTCCAGTTGACCGAGACAATCCCTATCATGAGCTAACATAAGATGCCACATAAAGTCTGGTTGATCAACGTGAATATCATGTATAATAGCTAAGTCTGGATCTATTCGAAGCCAGAGTAAAGGTGATTCTGGATCAATACGAGCTAAATCCATATCAACTTCATCGCCATTGGCTAACGAAATTTTCTTTTTACGATGTTTTCGACTTTTGGAATGACATGGTAAATCACGAGACATACGGCCTTCTTCTAATTTGAAAGTATGTATAAACGCTCCATCCAATTCTTGGAGCATAACTGTAATTGGTCCAGTATAATTCAGAGTCCCTCTGGATTGTAGATCCTAAAATTTAATTTAATTTTTAAATGTTTAATCCCTCACAGTAATATGTAATGCAAGTTTTGGTCTTAGTATTGATTAAAAATGAAGGTTGAACAAAATTATTATACATCTTAAAAGTGTACTGATAATGGGAAACCTAATATTTAGAATTATTGTCACAAACAGCTGTCAGTTTCCACGAAATATACACTTCGGAACTGTTGGTCAGAGTCGTTCGTTTCAAACTGAATCCAAATAAGTGGTCTCAGCTCAAACGAACGTTAAGCCGACAAGTTCAGCTTTAATAGTTTAGCTTTTCTAGCTAAATCCATAGAGACGGCTACGAAGCGAATAAGACGACGATTCAGGAACTGGCTACAATTGTTTAGTAAGTGCAGGTAGTGTTTATAATAAACTAATCAGTAAGACTAACAAATTTTTCTATGAGACCCTGAATATGTCACTGATGGAAGTCTCGAAAAAATGATTACACCATATTGGTGAGTTCTGAAATTCTATATAAAAATAAGTAGTGTGAACCGTCTGTATCAGAGAGTCTACTTTGAACTTACGAGGGGAATTTTCATAGTTAATGCAACGAACTGATCTTAGTTAGACCACTATTGAAATCCTAGAAATACTGGACAACCGTTTCGTCCTAGTGTTGGGATCCTTAGTGGTGCGCCAAACCTCTGGACCACTGTGACGATATCCGACGGTATTAATGTCTAATTTAAATCAATTGACGATGCTGCACAACCCCCATCCATTGCCTGCAACGGATAACTGTCCCACAATCGACACAGTTTAACTCCACTGATCAGGGCTTTCACTAGATCCCCAAGAGTCGCATCTTCATGCTAGTCACTAGTGAGCGCATGATTATTATTAGTATAGGAGGGTTTGTGGAGAATTTAAAGAATACATACTTAGCTAAGTCAGTTGTGCAATAGAAATTACATTTGGCTACGCTTCGCGAAGTTGATAAGTGATATAAGGACCTAATCCGGAGAAAGGGTAATAAAATGCTATTCTAGTGGCAGTAACACGTTTTATGAATTGCATATCCATTAAACCATGATGTTGCAGTCTTTTCTACATAGTCACTCATTCATAAAAAGAAGATCAACAATAAAAGTGTTGTTGTTCATAATAATTAGTTAGTGGTAATATTAGAATTTTATACTACTTGAAGTTATAGGCAAAAAATAAACCAGAGAAGCAAACGGAAGTCGTATGTATTTAATTATTAATTAATACTTTTGAATAAGTAGTTATTTAGTCAATAGATTCTTTCATTGTAAACATGTTACTACCGAACTGGTTGGGTAGTAATCGACTTAAAGAGATTCACCAACTAATACTATGTGATTAACTGACTTTCATCTGAGGCCACCATAAAAATCATCTTCCGACTAATGAAAGCTTGTAGTCAGTTAATCAGTCAGCTACAACGTAGGACCAGGCACATACATGCATCGGTCCAAGTTGCCATACCTCATTGGCACAACGTGATGAACACCAGATTCATAGGAGTAGTTAAGTCAATGGTGGTAATATATGAAAAATTGCATATAAAGATATAGTACAGGAAGAAAGATTTAGTACATAGAAAGGAAGATATGAAGCAATTTTAATCTCTTAGTTTAAGGGAAGACAGACAGTGTATACACCTACGTCATTGTGATCGATTCTGAGCCATGTCACCAAGAGTCTACAACCATTGGTTATGATAGTCACGTGGACCCTAACTGAGTAGTCTGCATCTACCAACATGGCTCAGACCAGATGTTGGTGTCTTCAAGCACTAATGCCACGTTTTGGTTTGGCCACCCCTAATTTTCTTTCAACCATCCCCAACACCGGTTAGCATTGCACGTCGTGGTAATCGGTGTTCGGGGATACGTAACACGTGGCCCAACCATCTCAGTCGATGAACATGAAGCTTGTAACCGACTAATTACTATTCATAGTTCCTCAAAACGACGCTAGGGAGATATACGTCTAACCTAGGTACAATGCGAATACTTTGTGTATAAAGTCAAAGTAGTCAGAAGTGAAAAGAAACATTGAATAATGAAAACTCATCACAATCTCTACTAGACTACATACAAAAAAACACTATCTGATATATCATGGACGGATTCTAAAAGAGAAGCTCAAACGTCACGGAATTCGAAGATTCAATGCTTAAATCTGGAGAAGTCAAGAGTGAGGGCTTTTGACAAGTCCGAAACAGATATTAAGTAGACTTCTGATCCTATAAATTCTCTGACCAATATCAGAGAAAGGTACACTCACCAACCGTTTATTAAAATTTCTTTGGTGAGACATGAAAATTTTATTACACTTTATAGAAAAATGATCACCTGTTTCAATTCTAATTCTACAACATTCCGTTTACGGTTGAAATGAAACTTAGCAAATATCCTGACATGACCAGCATGACAAGCCCACTGATTTAAGAAATTTCGGATATCCTGACCTGTAACCATAGAAATAATCCTCCGAAATGAAGCTGTAGATAGGAGAATATTGGCTCTATGTTCATCTGACATACAGGGAGGAACTGTAGGATTTTGTTGAGGTTGAGTATTTGAAGTTACCGAAACAGAATCACCTTCGTTTCTCCCACATCCATCTAATCCGACCGACAGACTCTGATTTCGATCTGTAGAAGAGAGGATTGATTTAGTCGAAAGTCGAGCAAGTACAAGCAGCTTGTTAAGAACTTGAAGCAATACGGGTTGTCCCAATCGCAATTCCAACATACGAATAACTAAGTGAGATTTTTTCTTATAGGCTGATAAATAATCCGGTGATATCAGCTAGTAAAGTGGAACCAAGAACGAAATTAAGATGAAATTACTATAGATTTACTTTAACAATTTGCATTACCTAGTTTTGATAGTCTTATGTAACAAACTAATATAAAGACTAATACGCTGCCCTATCCACGAGATTCACGATTATATACGAAAACAACTGTAAAAAGACGTCATCAACAGTATAGGTTGGTTAACTAGAATCACGAAAACATACATTACAGATAAGAGTGATACTAAACCGGATATTCCGAAAGTAACTAGGGAATTGAGTTTTGTCCACCAGTATCGTTGTAACAGGTTATGAGAAGAAGCGAAACGAATGACAGTAAGGGGATTACAAGGAAGTACTTACATCAAAAACAGCGTTAACAGTCCATACTCTATACCCATAAAGTAGAGCGGAGCGAACTGCTGCGCAACAAACCATTCCATTAGTTGGCAAACGGATATCGCGCCTACGCCACAAGTGACACAGGATAGCAAAAACCAAGCAAACCTTCTGAACCCATGCCCAGCTTTCATCATACACCAGCCTATCAAGACTGACGAAACTACTACGATAAGTGAAGCGGTCGATACGCTTAACTACTTCACGTCCGATTATTAATACAGGAGCTGGTACAGGCCAGTCCGGGAGATACATCATAAACTAAAAGAGAAACGCATTCGAAACACCCTGACATTGTTATTCAAGGGGATCAGAAGACTGCTGAGTTTGTTAGCGTCTTCATCGAACGGCACGGCCATCTAAGTAAGTGTACCTCTTGGTAGAAAATTAACCCCTAAAATATTAAGCGACGAAAGCATCATTTTTAAAAGAATTTCAATAACGAAGTTAGGTAAAAATAGGCAAAGAGGACTATCCTGAAGAACACCACTTGAAGTAATCAATCCCAACGACAGTTCGCCACAAGCTATGGCTCGACCAGTAGTGTTCGAGTAGAGAGTCTGTACAAGGTTAATCTAACTCTTTGACACACCTCTCAACGACAGACACTGCTAAAGAATCCCACAACTGACAGAGTCGAACAGTACGTTAAGGTCAAGGAATATCACTACTGTCGGACGTTGAGAAGTATGTTTATGTTACAGAATCTGTCAAAGGGTGACTATTTGATCTATAAATCCATACCTAAGTCTGAGAGCAACATGCTATTTTCAGGTTTGTTTTTTACAAGCTCAAGTTAGACGTCAGATTAATATTGGAGCTAATACTTTAGTTACTACACTGGTCAAGCTGAGTCCTCTGTGATTATCACCAGAATTTTTAACCTCTCCTGTGGACTGGAACGATCAGTGGTCGAGACTATTCAGACAGGATTATACTCGGTTCTCAGGTTTTAGCTAAGATCTCAGTCAATTTAGCTGCTAACACTGGACCATCATCCCTGAAAATCTCGGGATTTGGTTCATCAGACCCTCCTGATCTCCCTCCATTTACATTGCTTGTAGTCTTCACAGCCTCACTAAGATTTGAAGGGCTTGCATCAATTCACCATTCAGGTTGACTGAAGATAGTGGGTAACCTCAGTGTGGTTGAAGGCCAGTTGAACTGCTCCCTAAAGTATTCTGCCCTTCGATTTAATCCCATGGATTGGAAGTGAGTAATAGTCCCATCCTTTTCCGAGATAGATTCACTAACAACCGTATTGTTAATGTCCGTTTCTTCCAGAAGTCTGAACAGTTGTCTTCTGTTACCTTTGACTGCTGCATTTTCCATCTCTTCTGCTATCTTCGCTACTCACCACTGATCTCGATCAATACATACGCTTTTTATCAGCCTATGTTTAAGCTGCTGGAAATATGATCTATTTGAATTCATCGACTAGTCGATTGTCGGGGTAGCCACGTCATACGATGTTTCTCTCTATTTTTAAAGTTGGTGTTTGCTAGAAATAGACGGTTATCTGAGCATAGTTTTAGTAGACTGTCCGCATAATCTGTTTGCTGAGATGTAATACCGTATGACCCTGATAAGTGCCTTCCTGTTTCGTTTAGTCTACCTACTTGGATCATTAAAATCACCCACACTCATTGCATCACGAGATTTAGATTTTACGAGGTTGGATGGCCTGCTATATAATTCATCATATGCAATCAATGGGAGTGTAAGAAGAGACAACGAGAAGAAAACAACGTATGTTCCTAACTTTTCGATTTCTTACTGTCCCGTTTAGTCGGACAGCGCACAAGTGACTGTCTATCGGATTCCAATCCAAAAGGGCCTGTTCTGCGTGTCAACTTAATGCTATACCTACATCAGAGAGACTACGTGAATTAGTGTAGTGAACAGAACACGGGTGGGGACAATCGAATGTATTTGACTCAAAATTACAGGACTTGTTAATAAAATCTAACAATCAAATAGTAAATACGTAATTTGTAAAATGTCCACCAATTGTCTCAAAATGACTCAGACTTCATTGTTCTTGCATTTTCATACAAATTGCATTCTGTTCCCATTCTTTACTGTTAGATCCTCTTGTCTCTCTGCTGCCAGACCTTCTGTTTATGACTAACACCATATATTACTTATGTCAATGTAAGTAGCACACACCACAGTATCAGTGGGGTCTCCAGATATTCAGTGGGTAAATCATGCTCGTTCTTCATATTGACAAGGTCAGGTCAAATGAATGGATGTACATGGATCCTGTATGCGCGTTTTCGAGACGCAGCATACATCTATGGCGCGAGATTCTAGAGTGCTAGCTAAAGAAGTCTGTTGTCCTACCTGATACAATGTTCGGACATTAAAAGCTCCAACATATAGTCTAGAGCGTGGTTGCAGGAGACCAGGAATAACATCCCGTGAACTCAAATCACTAATATTGGTGGTGCGTGATGAGAAATATAAATGAGAGGGGTTAGTCGTGAGGATAAGAGAAGTATTAGGAGGTGAGGGGGGTTGATAGTAAAAAAGATTATCTCGGGTGCCGAGAGAGGTATTAGGGCGGTTACCACTTCTCAGCTGCCCACGTTGTGGATAAAGTTTTCCTCTTGTGGGACCTGAAGAATAATCTGAATTAGTGTTGATCTTAGCGACTGCAGAGCCTAATAGACAACTGCTTGAAACCGTCTACAAACAGCCATTTTATGGGAGGTTTATGATGCCTTAGCTGTACACTTCAAAATGCTTTACTACGGAAACCAGAGTCCGTAGGTAAGGTGAGATGTGACATATATAGGGTTGACTATTTCTGATCCCTTCCTCCCTTTGTGAATAGACAGGATCTCTTTGGATGCTGTTGCTAGATATGAACAGTTTACTGAAGTTACATCTATCTACAGTCGGAAGTAGGACTTTGTTCCAGGACCTTAAGTTGCTGCTTTTAGTATTACCATTCCCGAACCGTCCTGCCTGGCATGGTAGGACTTTAAGAAACGTGGTCCAAACAATAACTAAGCCCGACCACTACGTTAGGGTGGCAGCTACAGTCAGTTAGAATAGAAAGTTAGGGTAACATGAAACAAATTTACTTATAATAAAATAACTACGGTTGAAAAGTGCCATGATTGGAGTGCAAGATGAGTTGTTTATTAACTTCATTCGAAATTATCAATTGCGTAAGGACAGTGGTACTGCACACTCACCCAAATTCGCGTAAGGGTTTCCTTGTGCAGTCGTCCACCCCCGAATTTTTAATTCAAAAGTCTAAGCCACAGAGCACTGAAGCATTTTCAGAATACGGATTCCCATTGTAGTTTTACATGGTTTTATGTGATCAATTAACACGCTATGGTTGAGTATCTGTTTTGAAAGAGAACAGCTCAATGACAATACCAGACTTACATAAGAGAAATAAGTTTTCTTTATAAAATACTCAGACTGTAAACGTTTTTTGACAACACTTAAGCGTTTACGGAATTCTCAATCGGTGGTTAGAATATTTTTCAAATGAGATTGAACATGCACTAGTATATGTTAATATCTAATCAACCGGAAGTATGTCAATGGTTGTTTATGAAACTATAGTAATGAACTCAATTTAGCATACATGAAAACATTTACAAACCACTATTTTTTAAAAATCGTTTTGATTAAAAACACCAAACAGTTCATCAAGGAAGAACTCAACAGATACTAATCTGACTACCAAAATTAAATGTCCGTGAAGTTAGTTAATCTGAATCAAAAAAGCAATACTATCTTTGGAAGTTATGGTACGTTAACCGATAAACAATGATGTTATCCAAAAAAACAAAGATTTTGAGGACAAAGTCAAAGTTACTACGCTTGTATTAATACATGGGAATCTTAAAATCTAAAGTAGTGCTATTAGATTGTCTTATCTTGAGGGCGACAACAGACGCTCTGGGAATTTTGTTTGAGTGTTTTATACACTGTACTTAGAGATTAAAGTATCTGAAGTTAGTAGTGAGCTGGTAATTTCTGTATTTACATGCAGAACAATCAAAACTAGAGACGCTAAAATATCATAACAATGAAAAATCGAACGTAAAATGAAAGTTACATTACTTACATGGGATGAGCTCAAATCAAAATAGGTTAACTTTGAAGTCAATTTTGATGGATCAAGTACAATCCCATATCTCATATTCTCGAACTCTGTTACGAAGTGCATTTCATCAAGAACAATTTTACGATACTCGTTGTTTCCAAAGACGCGTTTTTGGTACAGACCAGATAAGTATCCTGCTAGACCGTATGTAAGCCAAGCATCACACCACGTCTCCATGATAAGAAAACACCCGAAGAACTGATGGGCCACAGCTAATGATAATATTTTACGTGTTTCGATCGCTTGGTCAATAACACTTGGCGAGTGCAGTAGATCAAGAGAGAGAATAATCAAAGAAGCGAATGACTGACATTTTGAAAAAGCACAATCTACAAATACACATTTTATCGTGGAAAACGGATACTGTGACGCCAATATAGACTCGTAATATTCGATCATTTCGGAGAGAGGAGATATTGTGTATTGTAAAAGGTTTAATAGTCCATTCGGACAGAAGTGTGTTGCTCCGTTGGAGAGCCGTGGGTCGGGAAAAATCTCAAAAGCCCCAACAGCCAGTCCAATACAAGGGGCTGATACTGGTTGGGAGACATAAAAGTGGTAGGTTTTGTGTGTTAAATCTTCAGTGTAGTATGGAGCATCTATTAACTCTCCAGGGGCAACAGCAACTAAATCTTCGAACACTGTCACTTCAATTTTCCAGGTACATGGTTCCGAGCAATCAATACAAGGAAACCATAAACGAGAACAGTTTGGTGTAAAAGCTGTAAATGCATGTACTCCACGTTCACTTAACGATCCTTCTCCATCAGGAACAACGAAATAAAATCCAGACTTGGGTTTATTAAGAGAAAATTCTATGGTTAATATAAAAGGAGATTTTTGAGAAATTAACGGCCAGAAATCTGAAGGTAATCGAACTGTTACTTCACCTGCATCTTCATCCGGATCGGTTGACATTACAACGGAGTTATATCGGCGTTCAAAGCTGTCCAAAGTTCTCAATTTAATATCACGTTCACAAATTTCTAAGGTGGGATCAGTATATAGGATAGGGAGATCAGTTGGCGATGGGATTAATTTGGTTTTCGAAATACCCCAACTCGAACTCCGCCCTTTTCGATCACTTTCGAACTCTGCAGACTCATTATCAGCTGCTTCTAATAAAATGCGATGAATACGACACTGACGGCAATTTATGTGAATACGTCTCAAGGTTGGTGTGATAGGCCATATCACTAACTGAGTAAAACCTACGATCAAACGTTGCTCGAAGTCAATGTGGGTGATACACAACGTCTGGTGGGCAAGCCGGTACTGTCGTTTAGAAATTGGCTGTGTAGGCGAACCTGGACTTGTGTTAAAAAGGTTCCAAGATTCATCTGAAATTAGGCATTTTTATGTGGAAAAGCATTATTAAACTAATTAACCGAGAAATAAAAGCATGAAGAATATTTCAGTTACTTAATTAGTATCTATTAATTAATCTAGAACACAATATAATTGGTAAATAAGCCACGCAGTAACGAAACCTCATGACAAGTAGATGCTTTGCATGTACGGCAGCGTTCTTAACCCAAAGAAACCAGAACGAAATACAAAATGACCTGAACTAAAGAACAGAGCAAGTATAAAACCAAAAGCTTTTTGGAGAACAGAGTCGATTCCTACTAGTCTTTTATGATTCATCAGGAGATAATAATCCTAGTGATATTACTTGACCTGACTACTAACAGTACTCAAACATGTAATGAAACACTGTTTTAGATAGTTGTTTAATAACCAGTTTAATTTCAGAATTCATGCCCGTAATCAGGAAAAGTTGTCATCCAAAATTAACATCCTAGTCTTATATATGTGTATTGGTGTGCTTACAGACAAACCGCTGTCTCTTTGGTACTAATCAGTTGACATTATTAGGTTCATATAACCAACATTAGAGTTGAAATCAAAGACAATGTAATACGTCGGTTGAAAACACGTTGGTCAAAAACAACTATAGATCTCCTAATGTTGTCTACGACACTCATCTGACGTTAACTGATAGAAACATAAAACACATATAAAAATTGAGTTGTAGCACGTATTTTGATTAAGATAGAACGGTTTACAAAAGATTCAATTTGTGACTGTCATTCCAGAGGATGAAATTAGAAAACTCAGGCATTATTATGATATTGAAAAACGACGCGCTTTTGTTTTCCGATGAAAACGTATGTCACTGACAAGATATTAAGATACTTTAAATTACGTACTGATCTTATTAAAACAACTATTAAATCCAGGAAGCACCGGATAGGTGTTTCGTCCTAATATGGAACTTCTAGGCAGTGAGTATCCGCAACCCCATTAGAGACTGAAACAAGAACCTTCGGTCACACGTGCCAGGCCCTACAGACCACTGGGACGCTATTCAATGTTGTCTAGCATTAATGCATTCGCGGAATTGCGTGATTAGCTTCCATTGTCTGAGGTGGACAATTGTTTTACACCAGATTTTGTTGAACTCCACTAGTTAGACCGAAGACCCTTGGATTGATCGGATATGGGGTTGTGAATCCGCGCTATTAAGGAGTCCCGGACTAGGGAAAGACGGCTTTCCATTAATTTTTAGCTTTCGATAGTAGTTTAACTAGGATTAGTTCGTGATGAAAACGGTTAAAAGATGGCAATCTCCACAAAAAACCCCTATGCTAAAAGCTAGGTATATACTGTGTTCCGTTTCACATAATAAAGTCATTTGCCGAATACGAACTGCAAGTTAGTAGAACTACCCACCTCCCTAAAACAAAGTAGACAGATACGAGTTTGTACTTACTTTAAACAGTAAGCCACCACTGCGAACAAAATTGTCAAGCCATTGGCATATAATTGTGAGTGCAGTGAATTTTCTCGAGTCATTAAAACATGCCACTTTGAAAAGACCGAGAGTACACTATCGAACCTCATGAATGCTTTCGAAAGCTAGAAAAATCATTTGTTCGGAAGATTTAGTAAAACTACAGAGGCACATTCAAGTCACTATGCAAACAGGGCTGGTATTTAAAATATCATCTAAATTCAGTGTTCCGTAACGCAAAATTAACCAAAATCATCGTTTATTTAGACCTGGAAGCTCTTGAATATATATATATATATATATATATATATATATATCACTGTGAACAACGAACACGCATGCTATGACATTCGAAAACCTGCCCACAATCACCGGTAAACTTTGTGGATTTTCGATATTTTGTTCCAACACTTCGGCTCGCAGTTGTACTAGATAACACATGAGATTTTGGATGAAGACCTTATTGATCACTTATTTTCAGCTTCATGCAGAAAAACCCGATTAAATGTATCAAAAGTTAAGACCGTACTGCACAAGTCCAAAATAAAGACACAATTGGAACTTGTGGAACGCTCCCGACCTATTGAAATTTTGCAAGGTAAAGAAGTTGAATTTATCTGCAATCAACAGTCGATTTGCAAAAAAGCACGACGTATTAATTAATACATCGTGCTGGTCTGTAAGAAATTATGTTCTCTTCAGACAAAGTCCAATACACAAGTAAGAGACTTTGAAAGTTTCATTATAATTTTTCAATATTCATAGCACAACCTAGCGTTGTATGTGAACTATGAGGCTTCAAAACTAGTCCAGACAGAAACAAACGTACTCATTTGAAGATCCTCACAAGGAATTTCAATACTCAATTACTATCCAGTGTTTATCAATGATTGTTATACTTCATTGTCCCTCTTATCCGAATTACTCACCAATGAATATAGTACCAGTTGTCCAACTTTAGTCTTCCTGTTGCAGTCCATAAGATGTAAAGCGAAAATCCGACTTGCCATCCATGTGTGCTTGCATAATATTTTTGCTTTACAGTTCTCATGTAAAATTGCATTCCACGACATAGATAATGATTGCTTGTAAACTGGGAAAAACATAAAAGGTTGTTTATAGTAAATTTTAATTACTTCAGATGTGTTATAAGAAGTTGTAAACCTGAATATATGTTATACAGATTTACATTGAATCTCTTTGTATCAAAGTCTGGGAATGAATGTGTATCTTATGTGTAAATAAAAATTCACACTAACGTCTCACGAATAATTCGCTCACAAAAATGTGATATATCCTCCACTAAATCCGATTCTGTAACATTCTGGTGGCGGCCATGGTTATGTCTCGATTTCCGACCGGTGAGAACTATATAGTATATTTGAGCGTCTTACATACATTTTAAATAGATACATGCGACGCAACCGTTCGTAGTTGTAAATAAATTCTCAAAATAATTTGGTTCGTATGTCTTTGAGATTGATGCTGACCTTATTATGTTTACTGGACACACCCTAGCTGAAGGCACCTGGTCACGCATCTGCATCAGATCACGGATGGGTGCACCCTGTTAAGCATTTACTTCAACTACCAGAGAGCTTAGACGGAATCCTCATCAACATAACAATAACCTTCCAAATATATATTAGAACCCCTACATTTCTGACTTCTGATTTGGCTGCTTTGGTATACTCTGATTATAAACGTGCTACGTGTATAGGAGTGTGAAACTTCAGATATCTTTTGCATCTTAAGTCCGGTTTCCATCAAAAAAATTTTTCAAACACCTGGATTTGAGTAAATCTGCGTTTGACGAATATGTCAGTGTGACGAATTCCCAAATTTTATGAGATTTGTCCCCTGAAATGTCCTTTCTAGTGAGTTACACCCTTGTGTGAATCACCGACCTTTCCAGTGAACAAGAAAATTAGAACAACATACATAAGTGGACAGAAGTGTCTTCGATTACACTCTCATCTGATCTACAGGAATTTCCAGTAACATTTACTGCAGATATATATGTGCTAGCCAAATATAACAATTGTTGCTCACTTTAAGAGTATCTTTAAGTACTGAACATGCCTGATAAGAAATTACAGTTTATAAGACAGAGAATACATTGATCTTAATTAAGTACAACTTGCAATTCTCGACAGCAAAACTGGCACACTGAGCACATAAATTTTAAAAACCTCCAGTCTGGCATTTGTACACAAATAAATATCCGCCTCAACAATGTGGGACTTTAATGTAGGATCTCTTCGTTTGTATCTGTTTGTGAGTGTCTGGATAGGAGTGAGAAAGCCCCAACTATATACACGTGATATGACTTGAAACATTATTTTCTCCTTGACCATAACTTTCTTATCGACGGAATTTTGCATCCAACGTTATTATTTGATCCAAGGCAAAGTTATTGATTATGTTTGAACAAAGCTGTCTTTCTCTAAATGTATTCCATTATTGATATATTCTTTTTCCCTTGTATCCCAACTTCATTCCACGTTTTGAATTCCCCGTCGTTGTGCTAATTTGATATGTCCCCTAATATGGAATTGCTTTAGTTACGAATGTTTTGTTGAACGCACTCGGTCACGCATCTGCATCAGATCACGAGTGTGTACTCCTTCCAATGCATCCCTTCCAATTGTTAGTCAGCTTAGACCAAATGTTCGTGGACATGCTGATAACCCTTCAAATATCACTTTGAATCTCTTCAGTTCTGATATCTGGTTTGAGTGAGTTGATATTCTTCAACTGTAAAGGAGTTGACAAACTCCGAAAAATTGTTGTATCCTTACTGGTGACCTCAGGGTGATCTGGCACACCAAGCAGCAAACTTTCTATTCCTTATTATTCACTTTCTGATTTTTGTTTTACATATGGTGGTATTATTTTCATATTTTCGAATGTTATTTTTTCTCGATCATTGGTAAACTTCAAATTCAGTATGACGCAATTGACTCCTAAGTGACTTAAATTTTAAAATGTTTTCACTCCCTCGTTTCAGCTAATGTCATTCCGGCCAGATATATCAAACCCCGGTCCCGCAACGCAGAAGCTAATTTCACTATCACGGCGTAGCGGACACACCTGCACATACCCTCGTGTTAGTAAAAGCAACCCAGCGCCATTTTAACCGTCACGTAACACCTAGTATGTTAACTAGCGATGATTCGGAGTCATAAGACAATTTAGGGAAGGCTATCCTTAACTGTGAAGACCTAACGAACCGTCAAATGTCGGACAAATCCTTCCACGACAACAAACTACAACGTGGCTCAACAAAAGAAATGTCGCTGCGTATGCGGGAGGTCATTAGTCAACGAACCTCTTACAAGGGCCAGTTCAGACAGCTTTGTTGTCTAAGCCTCCCCAACAAGCGCAAGTAGTGCTTGTCTCATTTCAAAACAATGCTATAGACAGCCAGGCTGCATTTATGGACGGAATTCTGGAGATCACCAAAACATCTAATGTCGAGGTTTTTTCGATCAAATAAAATGTTCGAATCACACGAAATGACATTACGGAACTCCGAGATACTCTGACACGTTACCTTACTATTTTTCATGAGCAAATGTACACACAAAATTTCGAAGCAGTATTTCACGTAAACGATCTGTCTCTAGCTCACGAGAGAAAGATAACCTCAACTGGTACTGGTATCATAAACAGCACGGGAAATTGCAGAAAACCCAGCAGTTTTTTGAACTCTAAACATACAGTCGTGAAAAATGTTTCGGTAAACTGCACAGACGTCACGCGTCAACGGCAACATAGTCATCGTTTATGCATCACTGATGTAGTTATGAAAGTTCACTACCTCGTAAACATTGGAACAGGAGTTGGTGTTCTTAATGACGATTCTAACGACCGACTGCACGAAAGAGTTTTCAACGTACACGCAGCAAACGTAAAACCGCGTGTCACATACGGGAAGCGAAATGACTACCTTAACATGGGTTTACACACACTCACTCGTTGAGTTTTGGCTGTTGCGGATGTTTCTGTGTTAATCATTGTTATAGACCTGATACAACCCCATAATCTAATTACTGACTCGCGTAAACAGAGGTTAGTAGCGGGAAACGTTGAATTATATGTTTGAGTAACATTCTTTCTGGTAGTAGATTGTGCCTAGTCGCTGTTAATGACGCAAATGATTCATACTAACGACACACCCTACAAGTTCCTCGAATTACACCAAACGTAACCAGAGTTACTGTGTTTAACCAGCAATGTTACATATCACATCTTGACTACAGGTTCACACCGATGAGCTTCCGAAAAGCCGAAGTCAGCTAAAAGCGAATTTGAGCACACTATTAATTTGGAATTTATTCGGCCATCGATAAACCTGTGGGCTGCAAAATCTGCATTTATAACGTTTAGTGTTCTACATTCGCACTAATTCCATCGACTCATGCTTTCTGTGATAAAGCTGTTATTGTTAAATAATGAGGATGGAAGTGTTTGAATTTTTAATTATTTATCATTATCATTTCCTCAAATATTTTTCGTTATGATGTATCGACTATAGAAAGGCACATTAGGCAAAATTTAAATAATGTATTTGTTTTCGTGAAGTCAGTGTACTTTCTGGCCATGGACAGTAAGCTTAGGTCTAATCACCATATTTTCTGCCTTTAAGATGATTGTGATGACCAAGACTTGAACTCTAGTCCGGAAATACGAAGAGGTTTATGTAAGTAATGATTTTTACAACTATTTTTTAGGTAAATCTGACAATAACGATTCCCTATTTCGAGATTTATATCAGTTTCCTCGTATGTAAAAAACATTTGGCTGATTCTTTTCACTAAGTTTCACCAGATATCAAGAACTCTACACTCAATGCCGGTGATGGCGTTAATATCACTGATGTTTCCCAACTAAAGTTTAGTCCTATATGTAAGTTTTAGAGATTTTTTCAAATGCTTAGATTCACCGTCTTATAAGAGTTCATTGGTTGACAATAGTGGCTTTGATCTAGTAGACTCTAATGACACTTCCTTTGACCATCGCTCAAGTTTATTTGATAATTCTGATGATACGACGTATCATAATGTTTCGAAATTGAAAAGAATACCAGAGATTTCCATAAGCCAAGTTCCTGAGAGGTATGCATTTAGCCATCATATTCTTATGTTTTCGATGAATTACAAGGTCATTTTTTTCAAAGGTTTTAACTTTTAGAAATAACTTACATGTTTTTACAACGAAATGGTGCTAAAATAGATATTTTACCCATGTACTTTATCATTTCTTTAGTTTAAAAGCTTTTATCGAGTACAATCTCAACTCTTACATGTATAGTAGTGATTGCTTACACTCATACATCAGAACATATTTCTTTTTAACTGATAACGTATACATTTGTTAATTACGATATCGTGACCTCTTACAAAGCTCTCATTTCAGTTTGGAAAGGCAGGAGGCTAGGTGTACTGTGTCAGTCCTGTAAACGGTAGTCGCCCAGTTCATCCAACTCTCTTTTGAGAGCATCGATAAATGGAGGTTTAATTACGTGTTGAGTTAATGAATTCCATTTGTTCATGATTCTATGGGAAAGTCGATAGTCAGCTGACAAGTAATCTGTTTTGGATATATGAACGTTTTCCTTGTAAAATCTGTTTTGGAAGACAAAATAGTGAAGGCATATCAAATACAAATTTATCACTAAGTAATTTGAAAATTGTGATCAAGTCACCTCTGATACGTCGATATGACAATAGAAATATGTTTAGCTTTGCCAGTCGATAGTCATATGAAAGCTTTGCTATTTATGAAATCAAATTAGGCGCAGTTTTCTGAACCTGTTCCAACAGCTCACTGTCCGTCTTTTTAAGCCTGTAAAGAATAGATCCTCATTTAGCCAAGCACTTTGCACATATGTTTGAGTATTCAGTGAAGTAAGTTTTGAATGTTTCTGTTTATCAAATGCTTGGTGGTATAAAAAGCCTTGATAGCGACCAGATGTTAGCCAAAATGAGACATGGGGTTGAAATGAAGTAAATACTTCCCGCCAAAATCATATGGAGATCATAGCTTACATGACGTGTGTTTTCTTGGTGTTGGGAGTCAGTATCCGGTGACAACGAGTAAATCTAGTACAAATCACCTCTATGAACCTGTTGTTACTTCGTTCATATGTAGTTGGCATTTTTTAAGTATCGTTTGGTGATGTAGTTGAACAAATGACATTTTTCTTCTATCGTTTTATACACCTTTGCTATTGCTTGATTTTTTGGTGGTAAAGGTAATAAACCGGATAGAAATCTCAGTGTTTATCAAGTTTTGTCACTTATTGATCTATTTGGATCCGTATACAAAACAAAAATACTTGGCAAAAGTATGCGTAAAAATTAATTTTCTGAAGGAAGAGAACCAACAAACCCATCAACCATTTTTTTTCATTATAAGCGAGTGCAGTGACTTACGTTTCACTTTTATAGCTGCATTATTGATAATCTTTAATGCTTGATGACATCAGTTGTTGAGAATTTTCATTTCCCCGGAGTTCATGAAAATAACCGTGTTGTGTTACTTTGTTTTCCTTGACTACTAAATTTCATGTGACTTTTACAGACACTCGGAATGAAATAAATTTATATCGAAGTAGTTTTTAAGTTTGTAAAGCTTGGAACATTTCAGATCAATTTCGAACTTGTAATCATTTATCCGCCTGAAAATGGGATAGAGTAAAAATATTGAAGGTGCAATACGATATCATATATACCTAGTCAACTTTATTCGAGATCAAATACCAAGCAAATAGCTCATCAAAGACTTCGTTATTCTACACTTTACCATCTCATTACGTTTTACACAGGAACAGAATTCTTTAACACACGGAATTTGAATGTAATAAAGTTTTGCCGACATAAATACACATCTAGTTAGTGCGTTTCTACCGTAACTTAATTATCTTCAAAGACGTTACTATCAAATTATCTCTACATATTCTAATATGATGCTTCATAACTCTGTCAAGGAGGATGAATCTTAATTTGTCCTCTACCCTTTACTGTTTTATCGTGAGTCAGTGTTGGTAATATTTATCGATGATATCTATGCAATTGCGGAGATAAATAAATTTACTAAGAGGTATGATCATCTATAATATGACTGTTTTACGGTTTCTTGAAGTGATAAGTCGTTGTTACTCCATAAATGATACCCTTATTACGACAGGTCTTAGCAAGTATGCTGCACCATATGGAACGGAAAATTATGAACTCTTATATTTATGGCTAGAACTACAATTACTTAGTTTTCAAAGGGAACTATAAAATTTTCTTTTTGGAAATGCACCAATACATGAAGCTGAGTTTATTGCAAATGAACCATTAACTATGAAATCGGTTTTCTTTTATTAATAAATATAAAATTCCAGATTTCGTGAAAAATGGATATCTCATCATATCACAATTTCGCCATCTGCCTGAATTTTTCATACATTTTGAAAACTTGTCACAAACTGTGATAGCACAAATGTCTTTATTAGATATGAATTGTCATGAGAACAAAGCATCGATAGAAAAGTTTGTAGATTTCAATATGTATAAAATTGTGATGCTTGTAAACTGAAAACGTGGCATGGTTGTTTAGGAAGCATTTGAAGTTTAGCTCGTTTTAATAACAAAAACGGTCAACACTGAATTATCAATATTCTTAACGCTTGATTGAACTTCCATTTTGAGTTTTTAGGGAAAAATAATATATTTTAACTAAAGAGTCATTGATGAATAAATCTTACTCCTTCTAGGACCCTCTCAAATTTAATGCTGGTCATAAGCCCGTATAATAGTGGAAGGATGGGCATAGCATTAGCAATCCCATCCTGAAGAAAAAGTCCTTGCTAGAAAACGCTAACTAAAAATTAATTTGAACCATTTAATTTCTACTCCGAAAGCTGAACGGTTTTCATCTAGAAGAATTATGATGTCTCATCATGAAAGCCAGGATTATTTAAAAGTCACGAGGTTGTTGGCCCTTGTAATAAGCAGATCAACTAATAATTTAGGTTTATGGGATTTTTGAACAATGTGAAAGAGCAGTAAGAACATATTATTAGTTGCATAAATCAAAAGACAAAGTTTGGAGACGCTCGGAATAAAAGAAACCTATTGAAAGCAAGTGGGGCAGAAAAGATTAGCTTCGAGACAGGTGCTATGGTATGCTGGTCATGAAGAAGGAAGTGCTTTGTACACACAAGAAGTTGCACTAATTTTGTTCAAATATGCAATAAAAGCACTTATAGGATGTGAATCTCTTGGATTAAGAATCATTAAAGCATTCTTTGAAAAAAGGAGGGGGTTATATTTTATACCACCCACTGTTATACCACTACCAATGAAAGCGAGGAAGTTGATTAGGATCAATTTTATCAAAAACTGCAGTTAATCACAGAGAAATGGCCAGGGTTGGATATGACTATCCCAATGGAAGAGCTTAACAGTAAGGTCCGAATGGAAACTAACTTATGCACAAAGCTACATGGGTTTCACGGGGTAACACTATAGAGAAACAGACTGAACACATGTAAATCGACAAAACATCCTGAAAGTTCTTAGCTAACATAAAAATAAAGAGAGGAGTTGATATAAATTTAGATCATTACCTGGTTGTGACCTATATGAAACTAAGGCTAAAGAACTAGACAGTTGCAGAAAGGATGCTAACAAGCTCAGTAAATTCAAGATAGCTCTTAACACTAAGTCTCAGGACTTACAAGTTCTGTTTAATGAGGAGGAAAACAATTATAAAGAAAAACGAGAAACAGATAAAAGAACCAATAAAATCAACACACCAGAAAGTGTTAGACCTTAAGAAGCATCAGAGTAAAGAGTAGATTTCTATCGATAACCTGGGTAAGATTCAAGAAGGGAGAAATAAGAAGACAGCAAATAGTAACGCTCGAATAAGCTCAGAGAAAGGTAAGATGCAGGTTGTATACACAGAAGCAAACGAGAGAGTGCAAAGGAGCATTAGAATCGATAAGCGAAAATATGTTGACTGAGCAATAACAGTAGAAAAATCTGCAAGAGGGTGAAGTCTATAAAAACTATATGATACGAAAATATAGTAAAGTAAAGCGACCGGTTAGGAAAAAGGCTACAACCTAATCGCTGAGATTCGAGTGGAGCAGAACAGGTAGGAAGTATACTTTGAAGAGCTCTTGAATAGACCAGCCCACTTTGAGACATCCGTTTCCAATGTATGTTTGATTGTCAATAGTATTTTATGAAGAGAATATTTATCGTATCCAGTTCAATAGAGAAAATTCGTTTCAATATGGGTTTTCTGTAGTTGCATTAGTCATCACAAAAGAACACTGAGACGCATTTATCATCACAGCAAAATACCCAAGTTGTCAGCATTGTCAACGTTTAATGACTTGGTGGACACGCTAAATTAGAAGCCACATTTACTTAGACTAAATTAGATTCAATTGATTGTCGTGTGACAGGTATTTCAATGTGTTGGATAACGCCATATTTACTTTGGAATTGCGAACCATTTCTATTAGTCGGTTGCTTTTTCTACATATTATGTGGCTTCTGAAATAAGACCAAAGCTGGAAAATAGGAAAACCTTATGACATATTTTGTGTTCTTATTGATATGGTTGTCTTTTTCTCGTTTAATGACACATCAAATGAGAGACTGAAGTGAAAATGAGGTGGTGAAGTCAACTGAATAATTTAGGAGTGGCTTTAGTTTCTTGGCGTTATTCCTGAAGAGTTAATTCAGATAGGATTCCGGTTGACTTGTTGAAAACAGGATAATTGTTGAGCATGTAATCGAATGGAAATCATCACTATATATCAGCTTCTTTGAATACGAGAAAGCACTTGATGATATCGTCAATGAGAGAACCTCAAGGAATCTTCTTCGACAGTATGATGTATATCAGATTGTCAACACTATGTGGAATTCATACGACGGACTACACTAACATTTTGTGCATTGAGGATCCACAGGTGTTTTTCAAGTAGAAAATAGCGTCAAACCAGTCTTCTTACTCTCCTTATTTCCCTTTCTTTTGGTGGTTAACTGAATTATGAAGAATTCCACATCTCAGAGGAAGCACTGAATATAATGGACATCTTAGATTAAACTAGGTGATCTGAATTTTAAATATGAACTAACTCTTCTGTTCCATGCGTAGCAACAAATGAAGGCGAAGATAGTGTGGCAGCAGCCCCGAATACACAAGGGGAAAAGCAAGATCTCGGAATGCAAAACAGCACCAACGCAATCACGATTGATAGAGAGGCTCTGGAATAGATGCAAAGTTTTACGTGCATGGGCAGCGTCGTTGATAAACAAGGGGGATCTGATGCAGGCGTAAAGGCAAGGAGGGACAAATCAAGAGCAGCATTCTTATAACTTGAGGACATATGGGACTCAAAGTAACTGTCAGCCAACATCGAAGTCAGAATCTTGAATGCAAACGTCAAGACAGTCCTACTTTAATGAGCAGAAAATTGAAGAACTACCTTAACCATTGTCAAAAAGTACAGCTATTTACAAACGTCTATTTACACAAGATACTTCAAAACCGTTGGGCAAACACCATCAGCAGTGACCTGTGGCAGAGAACAAACTAGCTTCTCGATGAGGATGAAATAAAATAAAGACGTTGGAGGTGGATAATTTATTCTTAGTGTAAATCATCAAGCTGCACCACAAGGCAAACCCTAACTTGAAATCCAACAAGCAACATGAAAAGTGGCAGACAATGGAACACATTACACCGTTAATTTGGGGCAGACACATAAAGAACAAATAGCATTTAGGAACTACTATGAAGTAGAGCCCAGAACAGATTTGGCTGGAGAATCGTAGTTGCCTCGAGTGGCAACAGGCGTAAGTGATTAGCTAAGAGAGTAGATCTGTAACTATAATGATTTCTCCCTAAATCTGAAAAAGGGTTTTAAAGCCGAAATTCGGTGTAAATAAAATAAAAAATCATTGCTGCTGTATAGAACAATTAGATTTCAAAAAATTCATTGTAGGTAAGCACCACTCAGGCTCTAAAGAATTTCGGAGATTAATTTAAACTACTGAAAACATCTAAGACTTGCAGATGTGACAAGTGAAATTGTTAGAACATGACATCAACTGATATTATTCCTAGTTTCTACGGACTACGTAATTAAGGCAGTGTAGTTACAAATCGCATTTACTACACGGAGCGTTTTTTTCTCTGCCTACACTTACTCATGGGTGTTGAGCTAGTTATCACAGGGACACATTGTCCTGAGTTACTGTATGAAGTTAATTGCTGTTGGGCTCAACTGTGTTAGAAATTTCAAACATCTTGGTAGTAATTCAGAAAATTACGTATTTATATTTGAAGATCATGGCTAACATGGGTCAAATAAATGGACTTAGGTGGACTAGTAATATCTTTTCTGCTTGGTCCTAACTACAGTTTTTTATTATCGGTATCACTGATTTCCTTTGGAATTATACTTCCTACACTCAGATTTTGATCACTACTACAATTTTCTTGAATATTTTCCTCCTAATTATGACTATTTACTATAGGCTGAATTGATACATATATATGCTAAGGTTCTCTCTGTTTATGGTTGAATTTAGTCTTTAAACTAAAGTAAGTAGGATCTTTCATAGAAATATAGTTTCCAAAGTTATTGTTAGCATTTTATTTTTGATTGAGTATTTGTAGAAACTAAATGATTTTCGATACGGCCACGAATGATATTCGAGAAAAAACAAAGTGAACTGTTTTTCTGACACTGAAGTTATATGCAGAGCGTATATTATAGTTAGGCAATGTTTTTATCTAGAAGCTACACGAATGTATGTTCTGTATCAGGTGGACTTCACATATAAAATCTCAAAATATTTTCAGTCAAGATATTTATGTGCATCATTTTTCTCTGAAAGTTACATTCGCCTGAGCAATAATCAGCTTTAACATTATTAAAATAAGTGAGTGCGAACAGTCTTAAACTAGTCTGCTAGAATTAGGGATAATTTTGCTTGCAATGACACCTTATACTTACTCTAGGTTTAGACATGATAGATAAAATTTCGGTTTTGACATATCAAATTGTACACTTAAAATCAATAATGTCAGTGACCGATATTTCACATACACAGATATTTGGATAGTGAAGTTTATTCTCTGTCATTAGCAAATAAAATTCAGTCAATATTAGATGGTCCAAGAATTAATTCAGTGTTGTCAGTCAACTAATCTGTTAGCCCCATTTGTGAATGATGACTAGCTTCTTAAATTTGAGGAAAAACTGAACAGTCAAGAAGTTGAACTGAAATTAAAATACTTTGAAATATTCTAAAACCTAATTTACTTTTATCCTTGAATCCTAAAATATAATAGATTTATTCTCGAGCAAATTCAAGAGAGATTCTTTGGGTTTCGGTTAAGTTTCACGAGTTGCCTTAAAAACAGACTCGTTTAGAATTACAACGCGATCACCCAAGACTTTAATATGAAGTCCCTAAAATAATTTAAAATGACCTCATTCCCAACCGCATTTTCAAATATTTTGAACGATTTCGTGTAGCGTATATTTTACTAGGATCATTCGAAGTCTTACAAATTTTATAAAATTGGCCTTAACATATCTTCATAGTGCACAAAAAGTTGTCTTACCACTTGTTCCATAGATATCATACTTTATGTTTTAATGTAGAGGTGGCATTTGACGACTGTTTCATAAGACCCTAAAAAATTTACCTATTACTATATGTTCGTTTGATTTACAGTCAATATTGGGATGAGAAGCAATTTCACACTATTATCGGTCAATCAAATAGGGTTTATTATAGTTTATACACTTCAGGATTCTGAAGTTTATAAAAAATGCATTAGTCTGTCGGGCGAATGGCTTTTATTACTGACGCCTCGCGTACAGTTTTCTGAAAGCTTTTTAGTTTTGAAATAACATTGCGAATGGTTCTTAGTCCATTTTTACTCATTAATACAGAAAGATAACATATTTATGGAAGATTATATGGAGTTATTTATTTTAGAGAGTAGTCAAGAGGGAGAAAAAAACAATTAGTAAGGGCATGATTATTTTAAGTAAGAACTATCAAGAAAGAGACGTCTACCAAAAGATTCAGTTGATGTTTAAATACTGATAGGGGTTATAAATATTTCTACCATATATGATAGCAACTTGAACTTTAAATGACTAAATCTTCAGATGGACAAATATGATTTGTTTGGATTCTTGCGATTCTCACTAATTATTTTCGCTTTATACTCCCATCAGTTTTTCTCTGTATTGCGCAAAACGTTCCGATCCTTCATGGATTGATTTAAACTACCTGATGAACTTTGACCGTACGACTGAAAACTGTTTAGAAACCGTAGATCACATCTGTTTTAAACTGCTAGCATTCCAGTAAAAAAGCGAGTTCATTGGAAATGACATTTCCACTACTTTCTCCATCCTTTTAAATATCTAGACATTTTTCATTTCTTAAAGGATAATATAAAATGCTGGAGCTCTTAAGAATCCGAAGAAGCAGTAATATCACTAAAGTTTATACGAAAGGAATTACAGTTTAGTTTACTTACTCATTTATTTTCACCTTTTTAATAGTGAACAGTCTCGAAAAAGTCTAACTGGTTTTAGTGAAAACGATGAGATTAAAAGGCAGTATTCTTCTGATATACAAAAACAAGTAACCCCAAATCTTCTGCTAAGGACTAAAAATTTCATGAAGAAACACCATGTAAGTAATAATTTAAGTGTTTCTTTTTATTCAGCTACAAAACCTAGATGACTGTACAGAATGCTTAAAGTTGGTAGAATTCTATCAACAACTTTTCATGAGTTTTTTGTTGTTCAAATATTACTTTCACTTCCAGTTCATTAAAAACATAAAACCATCTAACTGGATTTTCTTACTCAAAATGTAGTACACCTGTGACCTAGACAACATGAACCATATTGTGAATTCAGTTTCAGATATTTACAGTTATTTTATGAAGAACTGTTTGAATAAATTTATACAGTCGTTCTGAACATAGAAAAGATGAATGAATTTACTTAGTACAGCAATCATCGCATTTTTATTTCAGATGAAGATTGATGAGTCAAAACAGGATTTTATGGTAATAATAATTACGCGTCAACAGCGCTGTATCATGTTTCGGTTCTTTTCACACAGTACTGTAAACAATTAATAAAGCATAGTAATACTTGTAACATGAGATACAGTATTCACCTTCCTACCAAACGTTTTTTGATTATCATTTTGTTTTAATTCTCTACAGTAAAAAACTAATGTTCTAACCAATTTGTTTGATATGATAATGTTTAGACCATTTTTTAAAATATACATATAATAGGAGACAACTGTTTTGAAACCTGATTTCATACTACCCACTCAATATTAAGAATAAATAACATTTGGGACAAGCAAAAGTATCGTAAGCTGATTTGTATATGTGGTACAAAGTTTATGAGTTTGCTGAAAAAAATTGATTTTTGCTTATTTTACTAGAGTTGCATTGATACCCCTCCAGCTCATTGGATATCAGCACCAGTGGCCTTAACACCAAATCGTGATCTAGTTCACAGTTGTTCTTCCATAGAGAATGAAGTTTGTTTTCTGGTTAATCAAGTACAGAGTACAGACTTTATCACTTCAGTACAATATGCTCCGAAATGTTATATAAAATCACTTGATTACGCACCTTCATTTAGAACACCATTTAATGAGATTGATAACCCACCAAAACTACCGGTAAGTCAGTATGTGTCGAACTAATATTTGTTATAAACTTTATTCAATATAAGTGCTTTTTTGTTTATCCCTTACTATATTTCCGAAATAGAGAAACCAGGTTTCTGATTTGTAATTCAGTTATAATGATAAATTTTGAACAGTGGCGGATGTCTTCTGCTAAACAATCTGCCAGGTGATGAAAGTCAGACATTATTTGTAGAACCATCAACACTATCGCCCATACATTGTAGGAACAACAGTGATGAACTTCACCACAACAAAGTTTTTTCGAGTTGGATAAGTAGTGGGTATTTGAGTATTTATTCTCATACTTTATAAACAATCCCACAGGATAACTGTAGGCTAGCACATATATACAATCATACATAAGCATACGTCTTAGAATAAATAATATATCTGTAATATCCCAATGAGTAGAAAAATTAGATTTTCTCACGTTTCGTGACTTAATGTAAGTCACTTCTTGGATTAATTTTAATTTGGTTATTTATTCTCTGAAGAAGTGTACCCAATACTCAACTTATTCGAAATTATCAAACCTTGGTAATGATACCTATACATCTTAGAAGGTTAATTATATGAAAATGTAAACGAATTATTAAGGATTACAGCGACACATTTTAGTAAACACGGCTCATAACTGGCAACGGGATCTGGGATCCTATTTGGATATCGTCTACTGGATGTACCTGCATCTTAGTGTTTAAGTCAAACCAGGACTCAAACATAGTACCTTTGATCTCAAACTCTAATGTGTTGTCCTCTTATCTACCGAGTTTAGACAGACACAGTGTTTGAATCTTCATGTTATTGACGTTAAGAGTCTCAAATCAATGCCTTAATAAAAATCGACACTAAGATCCAAGTAGATCCAGATGATGAGCCAAGGGCTTGTGGGACAGGGATGAATTTTATTTTTTACTTATGTAAATCCGTCTGTTTCTGATTTTAAAGCCTGAGTTTCGATCAGTCTCTTTTGGAAAATGTGAATCCTTAACTGACAGCTTCATTATTGTCATCAGGTCACAAATATTTAATTAAAGACTTAGACCTTATACAAAAGAAGAAATATGTGAGCGAAGACAACTGTCAATATAAATATAGAAAAAATAATTAAAACTACATGTCTGTTAAGGTACTTCTTCCTCAAACAAAACAATATCATATTGCTAACATTCATTAAATTTTAAAAAAAATCTAATTCAAAAACTATTTTTTTTTCAATGAAACTTTAGAATTTATCGATTAATCTCTTTGAATCTTATTGACAATTAAAATTTTAGATTTATTTCAATAATTTAATTGATTGATTATCAGTTAGTTAATATGTTAATTACCATCTAATTGATCACTGTTCATATTTGATACTTTTTCATAAGAGCAAAAAGATAATTCTTGTATTAATTAGTATTCATGTGTATATTGTTCCATAGACAAAAATATTAAAAAAAATGTATTCAATATGACTGAATGGAACTAAAAAGGAAATGTTAAATTAGGATTGTTTTTTTATTTATCATTAAGCCCTTAATTAAAATGGAACTATGATGTAAGGAAATTTATTGAGTGAAATTCTTTATTATTATTATTATTATAGACCTATTTACCATAATAGAATGTGTAATAATAAATTAGTATTATCTAGATGTTAGATGATACAGTCATGTGATACATGTATAGATACATTCAAATACTAACCGACTGACTATATTAAAATTAAATAATAGGTTAGGATTACAGTCTGTCGATACAAAGTACAGAACAGTTACACAATGTGAAATTCGAATAAAATGATGATGAAATCATTGATAAAATAAATTTCTGATATTATTTAGTTTTGATATATATATATATATATATATATATATATATATATATATATTATAGACGACGGTTTGTATTCGCCTACTTTCACTGGTCACAAATAATTCTACTTTGTTAGTGTAATTAGTTGTCACTTAATGATGACTTATGTTATATGGAATTAGTGCATAAGATAGTACGAAGTCGCCAATATACACGTTTATTATAGAAAGAAAGGTTATTGTTATAAAGCTAATGGATTTTGAATCCGAAGTACTCATAATAAAATGAGTTCTTAAGTCAAACTGGTGAACGGGAATGATATACAATGTACCTGGATGTATATATTTTCTTCGGCTCATTTCTTCAAACAGCTGTTGAGAAATATTAGTATTAACACATATGAAGTTAATTTCTTCACCAGTCTTCCTTTTCTGTAAAATAATAAACTTGTTATATGCACTTTGAGACATCCGTTTTCAATGTATGTTTGATTGTCAATAGTATTTTATGAAGAGAACATTTATCGTATCCAGTTCAATAGAGAAAATTCGTTTCAATATGGGTTTTCTGTAGTTGCATTAGTCATCACAAAAGAACACTGAGACGCATTTATCATCACAGCCAAATACCCAAGTTGTCAGCATTGTCAACGTTTAATGACTTGGTGGACACGCTAAATTAGAAGCCACATTTACTTAGACTAAATTAGATTCAATCGATTGTCGTGTGACAGGTATTTCAATGTGTTGGATAACGCCATATTTACTTTGGAATTGCGAACCATTTCTATTAGTCGGTTGCTTTTTCTACATATTATGTGGCTTCTGAAATAAGACCAAAGCTGGAAAATAGGAAAACCTTATGACATATTTTGTGTTCTTATTGATATGGTTGTCTTTTTCTCGTTTAATGACACATCAAATGAGAGACTGAAGTGAAAATGAGGTGGTGAAGTCAACTGAATAATTTAGGAGTGGCTTTAGTTTCTTGGCGTTATTCCTGAAGAGTTAATTCAGATAGGATTCCGGTTGACTTATTGAAAACAGGAAATAACTAATTACGATATTCTTAAGTTAGGAAATCTCTGTAATTCATAAAACCTCTTTCCGTAGTCGAAAGTTTTATCCTCACTAGAATGCTTATTGATCTTAATAATTTAAATAAAGAAATGATTGATTTTGCACGGTCATACTACCAATCATGTAGAAAAAAAAGACAGACGGGATATATCAAATTATTCAAAAGAAGAAAGCCGAGCTAAAATCTAGACAAGTAGCAAAGTGGATAGGTAATAATGTAGTGAACAGATCACGAGTTAGGTCAATCGAATGTATTTGACTCAAAATTACAGGACTTGTTAATAAAATCTAACAATCAAATAGTAAATACGTAATTTGCAAAATTTCCATCAATTGTCTCATAATGACTCAGACTTCATTGTTCTTGCATTTTCATACAAATTGGATTCTGTTCCCATTCTTTACTGTCCGATCCTCTTGTCTCTCTGCTGCCAGACCTTCTGTTCACGACTAACATCATATACTACTTACGTCAATGTAAGTAGCACACACCACAATAAGACTACCTGACAATAAGCGTCCCTGAGAGACACTAGTAATAATTGTTATATCACAATCATACGGAATTGGTGAAGTGAAAAATAAGCCAAATCTAACTGATTCGATAAGTTTATATATTTTTGATAGTGTTAAGAAGATAAAATAAAAGAGCCTGTGCATATATATATATATATATATATATATATATATATATATATATATATATATATATATATAAAGATCCAGAAATCACAATTCATTTTTCCGAAATTTTTGTTTGATTTTAAAAAATTCCAACATAAATAGAAATTCGAAGATAACGTAACTGCTACAGTGAGTGAAGTGCGTACGTGGATAAACAAAATAATTGACGACAGCTAGTTAAAATCCATCACAGATATGAAGATCATAATATATATATTTGGAATTGATCCATTAGAAGACTGTGCTTACTGGTTTCTTCTTTTTAGTAAAACGAACTTAATATAATATTTTGTGCTGAATTTAATTTGCTTTTATTGTTTCTTACTACTGTACTTAAAAGTGGGAAGTGTGAGTTTTTCTTGTATACTGTATCTATGGTGAAAGTAATTGGAACAATTGTATACGCACTCGATTATGATTACTATTGCTCATAGATATATAAACTTAGTTCAAGTCCAAGAGAGAACACCGACTCAGGGACGAAACGCACATCTTGGATTCCACTTTTGGCCAGCATCCATCTCCTTATAATGCTTGTGACTTAAGGCAACATCGAGGTAATCTACACAAGATGGACATACGCCAATAGGAGACTGATTAACTGCGGTTCTAAACGTCAGTGAGAAGATTCAAACAAACAATACAAAATAAACTTAGTCCATTTAATTCTTACAAAACAATACAAATATGAGTGTTTTTAGTTAATTGTCCTTTTATCTTTGACACTTATCTCATATCTGAGGAAAGTTCTTTGAGAAAAGGTTTTACTCAAAATATAGAGAGAACACAAATTTATTAAATAGGAAAATTAGCTGAAATAAAAACACGGCTATGGTAACACCGAAAAATCCAAAAATCCCTTGCTTAAAGACTTACAACCTGAAAACATACACAGCTGATTCTGAGGGTTAGTAACACTAAAATAGTACGGTGTCATGATATGATCATTCTTTTCTCAGTCTTATAGAATGCTTTTTTTATTCTGAAAGCCTTAATATGAGTCCAGCACTATTCAAAATATGGTCCATCTGCTAAAATGTAATGTTACCAAAACGCTCATGAGCGAATATTCATAGTTTTTGTGTAGACTACTCTTAACAACCATAAGTCAAGAATTAAGGCGTACCGAAACAGTGCTTCATATCATATTGACATTATGTTCTGTAAAGGAATGAAATCTTGCTCGGCAGGACTCAGATTTTCTATAAATGTGCTGACAATACATTAACTATCGTCACAGAGGTTGACAGAATATCAGTAATGTGTCGAGTAATTAGGCAATATTCCTTATCAGTCGGGCGTCCACAGTATGCGACATAATACCAAGTGATTTAGTAAATGACAACCGAATTGTATCTATGTTTACAAAGAGCCTCATTTACACGTTCAATATTGATATAAATCATATGGATTAATTTCAGGTAAAATACTGGTGAGTTAAACTACAATAGAATCAAACAGATATTGGATACCAAACAATGGTTAGGAGGACTAAGATTCACTTCTGTTATTGAGGTACGGGAACTTGGGCCGATGCATATATGTACCTGGTCCTATGTTGTAGCTGACTGACTGAGCGACCTTAAAATTTATTCCGAACAGTAATTTTGCACGCCACATTAGTTTTTTAGTCCTTTTAAGACTAATTATGGTTACACGGTCCGTCAGAAGTATCGAATGACTCCTTTGAATTCTTATCGTATCGTGTAGTCTTACAACCAAACGGACGACCATTTGTCGTATATTACGTCACGTTAGCCAGGATTACGTCCTTTATAATTCATCACACAAGTTTACAAAACAATATAAGTTAAGACTTAATCAACAAAGCAAATTATCCGCTAGCCTACTACCCATACAGAGGTTACACTATTAACCTCTGACGGTTCGAAAATACCCAGAAAACGCTTGCGGGCATCGAATAGAAGCTTCTTAGAAACATCTAGGAAAAGTCACGTTCCTGATTCAATATCTACATATACTACTATATTTCGTATGGTCCCCGAAAACCAAGGTCGTGTGTAACTCGATAAATAGTCTCGTTTTTCTGTACATAAACTAACCTTGTAATAAAGCGTTCTTTTCGAACTTCTCGCATTTTCTCTTAAGTTCATGTTGCCATGTACATTGAGCCAGGGAGTTATTAGAAGCAGCGGTCATTCAGCAGACTTATCAGTTAATATTGTTAAGTGACATAAGGACACAACAATTACTACCGAAAGCGATTCACTATTTCTAAAATATAGTTATAGGATTCGAGTGACTGGTAATCTAAGAATCACCTCAACTATCTACCTACCTATATAACAACTATTAACAGACTGTATATTAAGCATGAGTCAGTATTTTATCCCATTCCTTTGGCGATCAACGGACTTTATCTTGACAAACCAGATTATCAGCCGAAATCTGATCTATTTATTAAAGATATGTGTCATGGTATTGACAACGTTTTAGACAGATGAGCTGAAGGAGATAAACATACTTTCAAATTAGAAGAAAAAAAATGTGCACAGTTTTATTAATTAATAGTGACAGACATTCAAGTGATCATTGGGAAATAAATTTTTATTATAAAAGCATGGTTAAAATTTTATCGTAGATAATTTAGTCACATTTATGATCATTTTTATTACTAGATGAAGCTCTTTAGTTTCATGCAAATATACAAAGTTATGTAAGTCAATTATTAAATAAATTAGGTACTTTGTACAGAAACCGACCGGTTTTAAATCACTTTTGCAAAACAGAAGAACGGTGTTTATGTTTGTGAAAGATATGAGGAATTGAAGGGAAGAGGCAAAGAATAATTAATTAAATCTAACAAGAAATCAACTATAGTTTAAGTGTAGTCTAAGTCAAAAAGGTTCTACTATAGAATGCAAAGTATAAAATAGTGTGAAAACATAGTCAGGGGATTGAATGGCAACTTGGACCTCCTGGAGCAGAGGAGGTTAGGGTTGTAGATGCAATAGAAGAAAGAGGATCTGACAACTGTCTATCAGCTGGCGCTACACTTGTAACCAGAGAACCAGAAGTAGCAGTATTTGCAACAGGCAGTTTCAGAGACTGAACAGGCGTTTGTACACAAGATGAATCACAGGAACTCGTTACAATATTTTTTTGGTTTGAAGGCACAGTGTAACAGGGTACTGAGTTTACAGCCACACCAACATTAGATGATATACTAGTGATACCACTGTTACTAGTGGGTGGTAGAAGTCCAATATTTGTATTATGAGTAAGAGGATTTGGTAGATTTTGATCAGTCATATTTTCATTATCATTTGGATCAGGTGGGACTAACAAATAAGTGATGAGATATTCAGGATAGGCTTGTTCACCTCTGTATATGACATACTCAGAGAAATTGAGTCCACCTGCGCTTGGTCGACCAACAATTGAATGGTGGCCCGGGGGTGCATGAGCTACTTTCATGGCATTGAACTGAATGAATGACCGTCCTAAAGCAACGCGACATAATAACAACTGACGTGGACAAATGTAACATGAACGAGATTTATGAGCTGGGCAACCGGCTCCTCCACCAATTCCATATACATACTAAAAAAGATAATGATAAGCTAAATAAATAATCTTGGATTTAGGATAGGAAAAGTAATTACTAGGATGGAAAATGGACATATTCACTTGGAAGCAAATAATGCGTAAGCTGTAGAAGATTACTTATTTAAAGCATTAAAATTGATTACCTATGTAACTAACTTTCGTTACATATTGTATCTAAATAAGTTTTCAAGGTCTTATCCACGTTTTTAAGATTTGTAATTAACGAATGCATTTTTTGCCTATTCCTAACTTTTGAGTGGAGGCCAGTTAATACGAAAATTGCCTTGATTGGTGGTTGTATAAAAAATATGACACATCTTGGTTACAAAAATGATAATGTGACAGGCAAGGCTCGACATAACATTTGTCACACTTAAAAGGGATCTCAGTTGCACGGCAGTGACTAAGTTCATAACTTGGTGGTGTATACTTTTGTACTAAAAAGAGTCGAGATGTTAACATCAAGAAACATAAACTTGGGGAAAGTAGTATTTAGAGTAACTGTTGTGACAACAACTAATGAATCACATGATGAGTGTATAGAATGTGGATATACACATGCATGAATTGGGATTGTGACGATTACGTACGCAACGGGGTATAAAAATAAATATGCAAAGTCGTAAACACACACCGCTTAATGACAAGGTACAGTATCAAAATGAATAAATTAATTTTGAGCTTGTAACTCAGTCGTAGGAAGAAAGCCAGGGGCAGCCAGATCAAAACATGGCACAAATCCATGAAGTCACTGACAAGTGGATTGAGCCATGTTGTTAGGTGTAGACTACCTGGTTGGGATCCGTGAGATGATAGCGACCGATGGTTAGAGACCTTGAATGACATGGCTTAAAATTGTTGGCAATGGTGCAGGTGCATCAACTCTTTGTGTTCTCCCAAATTCTAATCTTCTGAATTCTTCATGTCCCTTTCTTTTTTCTCTTTCCAAATTTATTTCACTGGATTATACTCCTTGAATAACATCTTCGCACCTTAATCTTTCCGACTACTACTTATACTCTTACTACCTTTTCCACTACGGGATTTGAATTGATAATTGTGCTAATAATGTGGTATGGCAACTCGAAATAATGTACGTACGTACGAAGTTCTACGTTGTTACTGTCTGTCTGTCAATGTTTAAGGTACTGAACAGACATGTCTTAATTTCAGAAATACTTCAAGTGATGGCGACATATTCATTTCTTGTATCATTATGGAACTAACTCAGTTTTACTTTGTTCATTGATATTTTTGCGAGTCATTCTTTGTTTAAGTGAAATAGTGATTACTGTTTTAAACTATAATTATCGAAAAATCCAGAAATTGTATACAGTCCATCAATAAATTTGAACAAAGCACAAAGAATAAGATTCGTTGGATAAACTGAAGTCACTCTAGTTCATAAATTCTCATCAGTTGTACACTGCTCTACTTTACATGACATGATATTCAACATACAAATATGGATCAATGTCAAACACTATGTGCAATGTGCCATTCTTTAGTGTTTATAAGTTAATGTAAAATGGGGAACACTCGTTTTAACCTCATTGTCTAAAGAGTTTCAAAACATTGTAGTAACCATATTATTATTTTGATTTGAGGGTAATTCTAGCTAACAAGAAATCTTGAGATAAAATGAATTTATTTCATTTCGGGAACCATGATCTTGCTTTATTTAAACTTAATTTTTACTAAATTCAAGTGTTCAAAGGGATGACAAATGACTAGCTTCAGAGTGTGTATACTGATTAGTATAAATAAAATTTAAAAAACGAGAAATTAGGATGACTATTTTAATGTTAAAGTGTTTTCATAATAATTTATCACTTAAAACAGTGTAAAAATATCAATTCTATGTAAACAAACAAAAAAGAAATAGCGTGAGAGGTTTAAGGACTCGTCCTTAAAGATATTTTTGTACTTTGAATTGAGAGTATATATTGGTTTTTATATTCGATGAATTGTAGGAGAATAAACAATATATTCATATTCCTCACCACCAAAAGTTAATTAAAAATCACAGATCGTTGTGATCGAAGATGTTTGCTATGGTATAATGATAAAACTAAATACTTTCACAATGTGAGTGTCAAATAGTTTTCCATTCGTAACCAAATGTAATAAAACCAACATAATGTTCATCAATAAACACTGGCTACTGACCAATTGAAGCATGAAAGTCGAACTATTCGAGTCTCAATATATTCAGTAGCTCAAATATTAAAGCACTCAAAACTTATCTATCAGATAGCATGTTTGGAACTTCCCTAACGAGACGAACCGATTGATTACGTCAAGATCGCATAAGATGATACTTCCAAAAAAATCAGTTTGTTTTACGGCAAATACATACTAACAAAACCAGAACACATACAAAAATGTGCTCCCCTATGCCCTTGTACGGCCGAGAGTGGGGAGATTCAGCTCTCCCTCTGGAAGTGCTCTCAAGTGGCCATGTGCACACAACCACTGCCAGGGAAGTTCTACTCATTGCCTTCTCACAGCGGGGGTGTTGTTTACGAAATTAAGAGGAAGAAAAGCGAATGTCCGGTGCTTTAATCGGGTTGGTGGACACGTAAAGTCCATGTAGGGGAGTTGGAAAACCCTGATTCTAAATAAATGGTGCACATGGGCTCCAGTATCCTACAGAAACAAATGGCGTATGAACCTATTGTTGGTCACTGGTTACTATGGGACTGAATCTCCTCTGCTCTACTGCTTTGTGGATTAGACCTTTTGGTCAAAGGCTCGGGGTGGGGCCCCCTAAGAAAACCACTTGCCTCGGCTTGGGTACCCGGGGAGTATCCCAACATCTACACAAATTGAATTATTTATGTGGCGCATATTTATTTGGTGCCTCCTTGTTCCAATGTTTATGTGTTTAAATAATAATACAAAAATGTCACTAACAAATGGAGACAAAATTTTTTATAAACATTTACCTGATTCGATTTAGATGAGTTCTCTGCGAAATATATACCAGCTCCAAACATTCCACCAATATATGCATAGCGTTCATCAAACCCCTTCATAACGATAGACTGTAAAAACGGGGATCCATGAAATAGAAGTCTTTCGTTATAATGCCCAGAATTATCTTCAGCGATTTCAGCACACCGGTGTAGATAACGATCCCATAGACGTTTATTTCTAATTCTTGCAACTTTTAGTATACGATATCGTTTGTAAATCCCACCACAGTTATCTTTATGTTCTCTTATTGTGCTCTGAATCTATGAGTAAAAGGAAAGAATTCAAGAAAATATATTCAACAAAGAATAAACGTTAATCATAATCATTACACATATTTATAATAAAACTATTTTAATGTCAATGTACTTTATGTGAAGTCTTACTGTATTTTATGACTGACAACAGACGGTCATATCCACGCTCGAAAAAGTAAGACAATCGAAAAAAAATAGCCAAACATTATTTATTTGAACACATAAATATTGGTACAAGACGGCACCAAATATATATGCGCCACACAAAACAATGAGAATGGGAAGAGAAAAAAGAAGGTAAGGAGCGTAAAAGAAAGAAAGAGAAGAACAATAACGACCACAGATTAGTGTAAGGTAGTGTAATAATAATAGTAATGACAATAATGAATTCAAACCACTAACGGTTTCATTTAAATGGCTGGAATGTAAAACAAGTAGCTCAAAAAGGTATATCAAAAATCGTTAAACTACGGTTCTGCAAAGACATAAGTAATAAAAAATTTTCTGGATGCAAGGGATTCACTTGCAGTGAATTAATATCTCACAAAGTATGCTAAGAAATAATGATATAGGAGCATCACCAGCTTGACAACTAAATTTTAATTAATAGAAACAAACATGTTTCGTAACGCTAAGAATATTATCCATAAGGTTTGCCGATACTGGTAGATAACAAAAATTATAAATAATTTCTATTGAAGAAAATTACACATAAAATCATGGTAATAAAGACTAACTCTAAATTAAATGATAAAAAGACTGATAAATTCTGAAATAATCACACTGTGTTACTTAATTTTACCTGTTCCTCAACAGCTAAGAATTCTGAATCTGTACAATCGATTTCTATCATCACAGTGTTTTTAGCCGCTGCTGCAGGAAAATAGGCAGGACCAGTTGGAGTGGCTTCAGCTACACCAACGCCATGAAAATGAGTTGTTATTGGACTTGTAGAATGTAGACTAGGGGAAGGGTATAAGGTGCTTGATGATTTGCGAGTATCATTACTGGGATCTAATGGGGACTGTTGTGTTGTACAATTAGAGCGCCATTTCTGTACGCCTTTGATAATTTTATGACGATGTCCATAAACAGTTACACCAAGTTCTTTCAGCTCTTCGTGACCCATTTCTAAAAGTATATCCATTGTTACCTGGTAAAAAGTAAAAATATCGATCCCTATGAAACAAAACCACACTAAAAAAAGTGAGAAAATTGTGCAGTATATAGATGGAAGTGGACTTAATTTTGCTGTAATTAAAAAAATAACCTGAAAGAAATCAAAACATAAGGAAGTATATCTCATCATAAGTTCAGAGTAATACGTCAAGATGCTGTAAATTGTGAGACAAAATTCTGTATTTACTAACGCGAGTAACGGGATCAAGAAAATGATTATTATTACTAGTAAGTTTGCTAAGTGTAATAAAAGGTGAATAAATCTGCACTAATCTGATCGATTACGAGTCATATCAAAAAAGTTTACAGTTACTGATAGCGTGAACCACAACCGGCTAATCAGCATCCACTAAAATGGCTCTAACCAAAAATTAGTAACGTAGCGGACTTATGTTGCGTTTTTTTTAGTTTTATCCCAATCCAAGACAGGATTATATGTAACTATATATTTTTAAACCGTTTTCTACTTTCTAAATATACACAAGTATACAGCCTAATTGAGATCTTGGTTGCTACCTTGACGTGATGGTCGGGCTTGTCTGCTGTAATAACTCAACCGAGCTATATTGCCCGGAACACAGGTTCCTTAGGGTCTACCATGACAGACAGGTCGGTTGAGGAGCGGTATGACTGAAAGCAGCAACTTAAGGTCCGAGGTCGAAGTCGTACTTCTATCTGTAGACGGGTGTGTCAGCGGTAAGGTGCTTTCCTTGGACAAACAGTATCTGCAGCAATGGCGCCTTCTCACAACGGAGGGAAGCGGTTAGAGAAGGTGGACCCTAGACATGCTACACCTTACTTTACTCCACGGATTTCCGCCGCCATAGTCAAGCATTTTGAACTAAAAACAACTCTCAACCAACATCGAAGTAAGACTCTTCGATATAAACGTCGAGACAGTTCTGCACAGAGCTGAAACATGGAGAACTATTACAAACACCGTCAAAAAAGTACAGGTACTTATGGGCAGTAGTTTACACAAGATACTGCATGTCCGTTGACCGGATACCATCAGCAACAGACTACTGTGGGAAAGGACAAACCAGCTTCCAGCTGAAGAGGAAACCAGGAAAAGACGCTGGAAGTAGATAGGATATGCATTGTGGAAATCATAAAACCGCATCACGAAGCAAGCCCTAACATTGAGTGCTGAAAGGAAATGGAAAAGAGGAAGGCCAAAAAACACACTTGCCGAGAATTGGGAGCAGACGTGAAAAGGATCAATAGCAACTGTAAACAACTGGAAAGGATCGCCCAGGACAAAGTTGGGTGGAGACTGTTGGTGAGCGGACTACGCTCCTCCATGAGGGGTAACAGGCGTAAGTAAGGTGTCAAGGAAATGCTTTTCGATTTCACACTTCCATCGTCTCACTTTTCAGGAGTTGGTCTTCTACTGAGAGATTCACTCGTTGACTTGGAATACGCAGATGATATAGTTATGTTTGAAGAAGACACTGACAAGATCCAGAATCCTTTGATCACCTTAAGCTAAAATACAAGCATGTTTGAGATGCGGTTCTCCCCCTCTAAGTATGAAATGTTACTGAGGGAGTGGCTTGGGTAATCGCCTGACTTAGTGATAGGGAGTGAAGTAATTGAACACATTGATCGCTTCACTTATATTAGGAGTCCCATCAGTCCTGACAGTCTGGTGTCTGACGAAATATCGACACGGTATCAAAAACCTCGATTGGCATTTACCAACGAGTGCCACTCGTGGTGTAGGCCAGATATCCGTCTTCCCAACAAAGGGCGAATTAACTGCGCAGCAGTTCATTCCATTCTAATTTATGGATGTGAAACATAGCCATTAGGAAGGGAGGATATTTGTAAGTTACTGGTATTCGATCATAGGTGTCTTCGAAGTATTCCTCCTGTATTTTGGAACCACGAAGTAAGCAATGTCTAAGTTAAGAGTAGAGTACAAGGTAAAGACAACAAGTCGATTGATGAGCTAGTAAATCTTCATCAATTCGGGTGGCTGGGACATGTGTTACCTATCACAAACCACTGCCTACCTCAACGGACGATCTTTCCTGGTATAGGAGTAAGCTGGAAGAAGGATAAATATAGGCAAACCAAGACATGGCATCAGTTCATAAAGTCACTGACAGTTGAACTTAGCCATGTTAATAGATGCAGACTACCTGGTTGACGTCCATGTGATTATCGTAAACAATAGTTGGGGACTTTGAATGTCATTGCTCAAAATCATTTGTAGTGACGCATGTGCATCTATTCTTTGTATTCCCCAAAATTCCTCATAAATTCTTTGTTTCTATTTCCATAATTTCTATTTTATTCTCGAATCGTATATTCGATGTCAAATCTTTCCCATTACCACTGATACTATCACTAACTCTACTGTTCTGAGATTTGGCCTGGCAAATTCACCTCTCTGTGGTAATGAGGTATGGCAACTTGGACCGATGTACATATGTACATGTTCTACGTTTTAACTTAATGACTGACTGATACAGCTTAATGGAGAACCTATCTTATTTCATTTTTCTATATGTATAACGTAAAGGTGACTAACTGATACAAACTCGTTAAATTTAACACAGTATTACATAACTATATAAATCAATGATTACAAAATAAGTGTACAATCGTAATAGGTTAAATTTCATGATTAGAACTTTAGTTAAATCACTCACTAATTCCTTTTCGAATAGTTCGACCAACTGACCCAAACCGAGGGACATAAGAAAATTCGCCGTCGTTAGTTTAGCATTACCTGGACAGCTTGAGTTATTCAACTTAACCAAAGCCATATTTGATGAACAGACTGGGTTTGAAATATTTGCAGATGGGACAATTGGTCCCGGCAAATTAGACTCGCGACCTTGACACTCAATTCGTGGACCGATGGACATAGATGGTAATAGGTTACTAAAAGATGTTTGCTGAGGTGAGGATGTGTCCAAGTTAGATGTAGGTAAGGTAGTAGAATTGAACGACGATGAAAGAACATTTTCCTTTGAGACTGTTGTAATACATGCAGTCGTATGAAGCATTACATCCAATAGCAAAGATTTAACGTCATCAGCTGTCGCTAGTTCGAAAGGTGTTTGGTCTGGAAAAAAACATAGTTTGTTATGAGGAATTGTTGTATGAAATAAAAGTAAAATAATCCAGTTACTAACCAAACAGATACAGCGAACTATGAGCCACACTAAATAACCCCGACCGAGTTTGATGCAGAAAAACAGGGAGTTTTATAGAAAAGTTTAACATAAAATTGAGAATTAGCAACTGAGAGTTTCATGGTGCTAAATTAAACAATAGGCGCACAGTCTAACAATTTACAATATTGATTAAAAGGAATACAGTTCTGACTTATTCAGGTCAAATGATTAGGAAACAATGTATTTTAATTGCGGAACTAAGGTGTAACGCAATATCTTCTGACACGTGATTTGGAAACTAGATTCAATAACACAAGAATGAATCATTGAAAAATAATTTCTAACCCAGGCTCAAAAAATCGGAAAAACAAGCGTTCTGAGAATTTATTGGTGTTTTGACTAATGAGGACACAGTGCAAAATGCAATATTGATCGACAGAATTCCATCCGCACAAAAGGACTAGAGAAATATGTTATCAATCACTAATCAGTGACCGCTCAATTGTGAATATCTGTCCCATAGGACATCAGCGCGACCCGAAGGGCTCAGAGACATTGTCCCTAACTTAGAAGCCGGGTTCGAATCACACAGGGAGCAGCAGTTTACTCAAGACTGCAAGAACGCTTTAGCGACGAGTATCAACGAGCACGAAACATGAATCTAGGAGTTTTTTGTTCAGACTATTTACTAGCACCCAACATAATTTGGATTGCGTAGAGAAAATATGATCTCGAAAATGTGATGTGATTAACTTTATCTGGCCAAGAAACTATGAGAATTAGGATTCACCGTTTGGAATTCTGTAGCGTGAATATAATGTTTCTAACTTTAGCAAAGTGCTAGTAGCATATCAGTCGACCTTCTTTGCTGTGAATAAAAACACAAGTGAAGAGGTTATGGTATTTAATTACCCAAAGGATGTTTGTGTCAAAAGTCATTTCGATGTGAAGAGTTCAAGAAACCGTACAATATTTCGAAGTAAAGAGGTCTGTAAAGAAAGTTACATTCAAGAAGGTCAATGCATCATACTATGACACCTGGTGAATAGTGGCAAAAACTGATATCATTTGAAGATTACTGTGAAGTTGTTGTTTAGTCACTGCTTTTTAATGAATAATAGCCAAGCTGGATTAATTGATTCCTATTTTAAAGAAATTAATATAGAAGAATAAGGTATAGAGCGGATAAAACAGAATGACAGGTATAAAGGTAGTCAACGGGGAAACTATATATATATATATATATATATATATATATATATATATATATATATATAAACGAAGAACGAACAAACAAACAAGAATTAAATGTTATATCCGTTTACTTGCTAAATTTTCCTTGTTTCAGTTTAAACTGTAATATTTATCTACCGTATTATTAATATAAATAAAAACCTTCATTGTACAATAAGCATATACACACAGTATAAATGGTTATAATCGATAATATAGTACCACCTAATACTAATCTTCATTAGTTATAATAAAAACAATGAATGTTTTGCCTTTTCTTCTACAAACTCATTTATGAAATACAGGTATATGTATTTATATTTGAGTCACACATTTTATGTAAACGTTAGCGATACATCTCAAATACTTAAATTGAAGTGGGGCTGAAGTCAGAAAGTGTAATCTAATAGTTGGTCACATTTAAAAAGTTCACTTGAAATTGTAATGATTTTATGATTTAATTTGACCACAGTACACTTCAACGGCGTATAATTACCAATTCTAGATTATCCTGTAGAATTATTATTATTATTATTATTATTATTATTATTATTATTATTATTAATGAGCTTCTTTTGTTGAAGTGAAGAAATGATTCAGTCAATAAAAGTGACGGAATATGAACAAACATCTTTGAAATTGATCATTGTTTTGGATGAGCCTGAAACAATGATGATAAATGAAATCACAATTTCCTAATGATAATCAGATTATATAATCAACAGATTTTCATATGAATTTTATCAAATGACATTATTCATGACTTAGAAAATATGAACGAACAATATTAAATGAGACTTTATTAAAAGAGAAGCTTATTAAAATGATAGATAAGCAGATTAACGGACCAATTCAAGGGTGCTATGGAAACAGTAAATTTACACAGAACCTGTCATAATTGTCCAACAGCTCAAATTACAGCACTTCACAGAGAGAGAGAAAGAGGAAATAATTATAATAGGAAACAAAGAAATTAGAATAATGGTATTCAAAACAAACTAAACACAGAGAATGGGGCTTGGAAATAAGGAATAAAAACAATGGATAAACTTATGAAATAAAATTTAAATTGATGTATTACGAGATAAATAATTAATACATTTGTCACTGCAACCGCTTTTGAGCCATGTCACATAAGGTCTCCAATCAATGTGATTATCTTGCAGATCTCAAACTAGGAATAATTTCATGAACTAGTCTTATGTCTAGCTGGGATTCGCTTTCTCCTAGTCTAGATTTATGTTAGAAAGGATAATACATAAAAGTAGGTAATGGTTAGGAATGTAAGACGCATGTCCCAATAATCACAGCCGATGAGAATTAACCGATTCACCACATCTACCTGGTAATTCATACTTAACGGCAGTATTACTTACTCGATGGTCCTACCATACACAAAAAACGGGTGGGAAACATCTACGACCAAACACTAGCAAATTATGCAAATTTTCAACCTTTGTATGTCATGTTTATTAGTCAAGAAAGTGAAAAGTTAACCAGTGCTTCATACACTTGACTTTAGCTAAAACAGAAAACCATCTTTCCTGATCTAAACTTCCTAAAAGTTAAGTAACCTTTATTCAAAAGCTCGTCAAGTACTAACCCATCCAGTTTGAAATAGCGCCAAGATGAGTGAAGAGATCGACGCGCAGAACTAATTAGCCAACCGCATTGAGAAGAAAGATGTAAAGTTCGAACACGAAATTAGTAACATGTTTACACACGCAAATTTATATGCATCATAGTACGTACATCGAACAAATGGACAGATATCGGAAAATAAAACATCAATTTCAGCTGCCACTCTTCGTGTAAACATAAAAAGGGGAAACCTCTCAGGGAGAAGCAAATGAGTTGATATAATAATATAAAACAGCCGTGAAAAATCAAAAGAAATGAGTGCGAATAGAAAGTCGAAAATATGGGATAATAATACTCAAAAAAACACAAGTATATGTACAACTGTAAATAATTATAAGCATATCAATTACAGTACTCAGTCACTTAATAAAGTAGTTTCGCAACACAAATGTCAACAAAGTATTGAATTTAATAGAATTCTAAATACCTTTACCAACAATTTTAGTGACGAGAGATAACTACTTTATATATCATAACTAAAACTTAGTAAATATAACTGAACAAAAATATAACATACTTTCTTGATTTCTTATTTTTGGGTCTGCTCCATGAGCTAGCAGAAGAGCACATAACTGAGTTCGTCCTTTTTGAGCAGCTTCATGCAACGGTGTATAACCCCATTTGTCTACAGCATTTACTGAAGTTCCATAGCGAATAAGAAGTGCAGCTACATCAACATGACCATATGAACTGGCATTATGTAATGGGATTAGACCACCTTTGTCTTTGGCGTTTACATCGGCTCCTGATTCCAGTAAGAATTCTAGTGTCTTAACGTTTGGAAAAAAAAGATTTCAAAATATCAAGTAAGTTTTCAGATTTTTGTCTTTAAAGTAACTTTATTTCAAGATTTAACGAAAATTTATTATCTGATAATTTCTTACGAGTAGAAAAATACGGAGAAATACTTTTTCACGATATGAAGTATGGTTACTACGACTTAGTACTATGACTAGTATTTTGTGGATACGTGTAATACAAAAGTGCTGTCAGTTTTTTACAACTATGAAGATCATTTTACATTAGTATCCTTTGTATATAATCCATTTATTTGTCGGATTATTTTCGAAACCATATTTAGAATGTACTCGACCACCGTTGTGTGTAAATGGTACTGACAAATCGTCAGGTTAAAAAAGTTTTATCACAGCGTTTAAAGTTTTTTTAGAGCACATAGATTTTAGTGGAAGTTCTGAAAACAAGGCTACCACCCAATAACAACTTTTTACTTTAATCTATACACTCATTTCAATCAATCAGAATATTTCATAAATACAGTTAATTGTTGCCGATACACTGTTCGACCAGTTTAGGAATCTCAACTAGAAGAGATGATTGTTGATGAAAGTGTTGTAGTATTCAGTAAATTACATTGAAACAACACAAAATAATATTAAAAATCATGCATGCATTTAATATAATTGAATATAAGACAAAGCTAAATGTTTCTATCTTCAAATGAAAATAATTTACTTCAATATTATTATAGCCTGCAGCTAAATGAAGCGGTGTTGAATTTCTTCCTTGAGTATCACGACAATTAATATTTTCTGAAGTTACTAATCGTTTTATTTTAGTTAAATTCCCTTTCTTAGCTGCTTCTAAAACGGCAATATCTCCGCGTAATAGATCATAAACATCACTGTCTGTATCCTAGAAAAATAAAGGTCAATATATAAAAAGATATTACTATATACAGAATATATCTACCCATATTTCCTAGTGTATAACTATTGAAAAAGCTATATACTTCATCATTTGTGTCGTGCTTTTATATGGAAATATGTTTTTAATTGAAATTCATCAATTTAGCATGAAACAGAATCTTCGAAAAAAACTATTTATCTACAGCGTCAGAATATCACTAAACTTTTTGTAAAATTGAACTTTATCCCAAACAAACAGATGAAGTGAAAGTCATAATTTTAACCGAAATCCTACTTTATTGTTGATTTTTTTTCTGGTGGCATGACTACTAATAGGACGATAAAGAAAAAGTTTGTCAATGAATCATTCAGCTAAGGTCCAGTTAATATACTGTCACAAAATAAAACTATATGACTATTAAGCTCAACAATATGATCATTTAAACTTAATATTATTATACTTTTTAGGACATTTGAAGTGGTCAAAATAGTAAGTATATATATACCACCAAAGGCTTCCTTCACAGGTGATTGAATATTTTACGCAGTAAGTGAGGGCTGATAATTTATTGTTGTTTGAAATAAATGTTGATATAAAACATTGATCAGCATCTATGAAATACGACCAAGTGTTAATAAGGTAGTTCATTTTCTGAAAAATTAACAAAACGAGTAACGATTAATAACACCTACCAATGCCTGCAAGGAAAATGTGAATATTTTAGTTTAGTAGATTAGTAGAAGTGTGCCGGGTATTTTGTCATAAAAACCAATGTACACTATCAATATATATAAAAACAGAAGTATTTCAAGTAAAATCACTGAACTGTGAAGAATAAAGATATAATGTAATGAATACATACTTTAACCAGATCTATGGGAGTATGACCATCGCGATTCTTTTTCAACGGATCGGCACCATGTTTGAGCAATAATCGACAAATCTCGAACTTGCCCTTAGCCGCAGCCTCGTGTAGAGGGGTGAAACGCCACAAGTCAGTAACATTAACATTGGCTCCATATTGAATAAGGAGTTCAGCAACCTTTTAAAGGAGAAGTTACCAAACCATTATTTTGTAACTACGGTTTCAATTACTAGTTCCGTGTAATGTCATCAGATAACAGGCACAAACATGTATCATATTATGCTATTTTATTCCTAACTCATATTATTACTTAATTTTTTACTACATGAACAAGCTGTATGATTAGTAATAAAACGGTTATACACTTAACAGCAATAACCATAATAATGATAAGCCAAAAATACACTTATCAATATTTTACGGGAAATGAAATGCCGTCTAATAATATCCTCAAGGAAAACTGCATGTCATGGCAGTGAACATCGAGTCTAGTATCAAACGATAGAGTGAGTAACTAATCATCTTTACAGAAGTATTTGAGCCTCATTTAACTGCTTCAAGTGCTTTAATGTTACTCAAGATCGTCATGTACATAAATTGTCAAGAAAGTTTAGCAAAGTATCAACCAAATTCTCAGTATTTAAAGTACTTAGAACCTTTATATCAGTTTACTGGGGTCAGCATGGTCTTAGTTATGTTATGTTACTTTAAAAACAACCCTTCTGGCAAATCATCCAAACCTGACATGGGATTTGACCGATATGTGAACAGAGTCAACGACATTATTATATTTCAGTCAGTCAGTCAGTAACAACGTAGAACTTCGTACGTACGTACATCAGTTCTAGTTGCCACACCACATTAGCATAGAGATGCAGTGGTCGATTCAAATCCCGTAGTGGTAGAGGTAATAAGAGTATAAGCAGTAATCGGGAAGATAAGTGCTTGGAGATGTTACTTAAAGAATATAATACAGTGAAATAAATTTGAGAAGAGAAAAAAGAGGCAAGGAGGAATAAGGAGATTAGAATTTGAGAGAACACAAAGAGTGAATGCACCTGCGCCATTGCAAACGACTTTCAGCCATGTCATTCAGGGTCTCTAACCATCGGTTGCTATCATCTCGCGGTCCCCAACCAGGTAGTCTACACCTAACATCATGGCTCAGTCCACTTGTCAGTGACTTCATGGACTTGTGCCATGTTTTGGTCCCGCCGCCCCTATCTTTCTTCTAACTTAATCCTATACCACTGAACATCGCACGTCAAGGAAGTCGGTCGTTGGGCATATGTAACACGTGTACTAGCCATCTCAACTGATGAAGTTTCACTACTTCATCAATTGATTTGCCATCCTTACCTAGTACCCGTTTCCTAACAACTGCATTACTTACTCGATGGTCCCAGGATATACGAGCAATGCTTCGAAGACACCTATGATCGAATACTAGTAACCTACGAATATCCTCCACTCTTACCGGCCATGTTTCACTGCCATAAAGTAGGACGGAACGAACTGCTGCGCAGTAAACCCGTCCTTTGGTTGATAGACGGATATCTCGCCTACGCCATAAATCACGCAAGTTGGCAAAAGCTAGTCGAGCCTTCTGTATCCGTGCTGAGATTTCGTCACACACCAGACCACAAGGGCTGATGAGACTTCCAAGAAAAGTGAAGTGGTCGACACGCTCAACTACTTCACTCCCCATTATTAGTTCGGGTGTCGATGTAACCCAATCCTGAAGCAACATTTTGCATTTCGAGGGGGAGAATCGCATCCCGAACATGCTCGCATTGTTGCTTAGAGTGGTCAGAAGACTGCATTTTGTCAGCGTCTTCGCTAAATAAAACTATGTCATCAGCATATTCTAAGTCAACAAGTGAACCTCCCGGTATAAGTTCACCCCCTGGAAATCTAGACGAGGAAAATGTTATCTTTTAAAGTACGTCGACGACAAAGTTGAACAAGAATGGGGAGAGTGGACAGCCCTGACGAACACCACTTGAGGTAATCAATTCTGATGACAGTTCGCCATAAGCTCTTACTCTACCAGTTGTGTTCGAGTTGAGAGCCTTTATAAGGTTAATGTACTTCTTTGGTACTCCTTTCAGTGACAAACACTGCCATAGAACCTCACGATCAACAGAGTCGAATGCCGCCTTAAGGTTGAGAAATACCACCATTGTGGGGCGTCTGAATGTGTGTCTGTGTTCTAGAACCTGACATAGTGTGAATATCTGATCTATACAACCACGTCCAGGTCGAAAACCGGCCTGGTTTTCTCTAATCTGCTCTTCACGAGCTTTGATTAGGCGTCGAAGTATTATTGAAGCTAATATTTTAGACACTATATTAGTCAAACTGATTCCTCTGTGATTGTCACAAGAGTACTTTTGTCCTTTCTTATAGACTGGCACAATCAGTGATTGAGATCAGTCAGATGGGATTACGTCCAGTTCTCAAATTCTACCTAAGACCTCAGTCAATCTCACTGCTAATACTGAACTACCATCCTTAAAAACCTCAGGAGTAAACCCGTCAGGGCCTGCTGCTCTCCCTCGCTTCAGATTTCCTATGGCTTTTTCAACTTCGTAAAGGGACGGAGGACCTACATTAACTTGCCATTCAGGTTGACTGGAGATCGTGGGAAACCGAAGTGTGGCTGAAGGCCAGTTGAACTGATCCCTAAAGTGTTCTGCCCATCGATCCAATCTCCTGGATTGAGAATGAATAATATGTCCATCTTTCTCTGAGATTGTTTCGCTAACGGTCGGGTTCCTAATTCCGGTTTCCTTAACGAGTCTGAACAATTGTCTGCTATTACCTATTGCCGCTGCCTTTTCCATCTCTCTTGCTTTCGCTACCCACCACTGTTCACGATCATTGCGTAGACTTCTTGTCAGCTTGCGCTTAAGCTGACTCCGCTCTTCATTATGTTCAGAGCCAGATGGAATGAGTTTCCGAGCATCTATCAGTGCGATAGATGCTGCTGAGATCCAGTGTTTCTCCCTAACTTTACGGGTTACCGTACTAGCAGATATCGTTGCTGTTTCCACAGCTTTTCGGGTGTCATTCCACGCTGCCTCGGGGTGGGCATCACATACATGGCTGCCTAACTGTTTTCCTAGTTGTTCCTGAAATATAATCTTAGCTTGACTATCATTAAGTAGGCCCCTAAGAGGTTTCCTTGCAGCGTCTTTCCGACGTCCAGTAAGACGCAGACAGATACGCGCTCGTACTAGATCATGATCTGAATCTAAGCATGTGCTCCAGAATGAGCGACAGTCTTCTACCGAGCCCCTCCATAGGTGGCTGATAGCGATGTGATCTATTTGGGTCCAACGTTGGGACGAATTAGGGGGTCTCCATGTTAAAAAATGTTTTTCCTTATGCTTAAAGTTAGTATTTGCAAGGAACAGTCGGTTATCTGAGCATAGCTGCAACAGACGGTCGCCATTATCTGTTCTTTGAGCCACGACACTATAAGATCCACCCAGGTGTCTTTCCCTATCGCTTAGTTTACCTACTTGAGCATTAAAGTCACCGGCCACTATTACTACATCCGAGCGCTTAGCTTTTAGGAGAAGATCGGAGAGCTTTCTGTAAAACTCATCTTTTACATCCTCTGAGCTGCAGTCAGTGGGAGAGTAGGCAGAGACGACGAAGAGGCAACGACGAGTGTCCCTATCTTTCCGGATTCTTACTGTTCCGTTCAGTCGGACAGCGCACAAACGACTGTCTACTGGGATCCACTCTAAGAGAGCTAGTTCTGCCCTAGGACTCAATGCTATACCTACGCCGGCGAGGCCACGGGAAGCAGAATCAGGGCTTCCAGATACACGAAGCGTAAATCGAGTCGGTTCTTTATTTTGGCATGGTGAGGTCAAATGAATGACGCTACTTGGATCCTGTATGCGCGTTTCGGAGACGGAGCACATATCGATGACGCGAGATTCTAAAGTTTTAGCTAAGGAAGCCTGCTGTTCTATTTGGCAAAGTGTTCGTACGTTAAATCTCCTACGTGTAGTTTAGGGCGCGGTTTCAGGAGACCAGGAATGGCGTTCCACGTACTCGAATCGTTTGCCCTAGCGGTGCGAGGTGATAAAGAGACGTGAGGAGGGTTAGTCATGGAGATAAGAGAGGTATTAGGAGGTGTAGGAAGGATTTGAATGTGACCAACTTGGTCTCGTGTGCTGTTACGGGTATGAGGGCTGATATCACTTCCCGGCTGCCCACATCGTGGAAGGGTATTTCTTGAGGAACCTGAAAAGGAAATTGGATTTGTGTTGGTCTTAACGACCTGGGAGCGTGACCACAGAGCCCAAGGGACAACTGCTTGAGGCCGGTCGCGCACGGCCTTTTCGTGGAAGGTTTTTAATGTGTTAGCTCCGTTCTTCAAAGGGCCTTACCGCCGGAGACGGAAATCCGTGAGGTAAGGTGAGGTGTGACATTTTCAGGGTTGACCTTTTCTAACCCCACCCCTCCTTGTGGGAAGGCAGCATCGCCGCAGATGCTGGTTGTCCGAGGGAAACACCTTACTGCTGTCAGACCTCTCTACAGTCAGCAGTACGACTTCGCCCTCAGACCTTGAGTTACTGCTCTTAGTCTTACCGTTCTCCAATCGACCTGCCTGGTACGGTAGAACCTACAGGAACATATGTTCCAGTCAATATAGCTCGGTTGGGTCATCACGATAGGCAAGCCCGACCACCGCGTCAAGGTAGCAGCTTCGGTCGGTCAGTCAGTCTCAAACGTAGATCGAAGTATAAAAATGCATCAGTCCAAACTGTCATACTTCACAACAAAACAACAAGAGGAAACTAAAAATACGAAAATAGAAGTTATAGTCATAATATCCATATAAGTAAAACACTACATACTGAGAACGTAGTTCGAAAAGAACGAATATAATTGAGGAACATCTGTATGAAACAATGTTCACACTCAAGATTTAGAGAGATAAAAAAGTATGAGACCTGACAAATTAATGTAACTGGAATTCCAGTATTCCAACTGCCAAGCCACTTCCATTAGAATTACCAGTTGAATAACTCAGTTGTACGAAATTTGTTACTCGAAATAACAAATAATTTTTAGTTAAAGTTGCTAATCATGACAAAATTTCAATTAATATACAATGAAACTTGTAATCAGCATAAATTGAAAATAGGTTTGCTGATGAAATTTTAGGTGCCTTACCTTAGCATGACCATAAGAACAAGCATTATGCAGCGGTACTAAACCACCTTTATCTTTAGCATGAACATCGGCTTTGTACTGTAACAGTAATTCTACGATAGCTAATCTATTATATCCAGCGGCGAAGTGGAGAGGTGTTGAGTGTCGACCATCGATATCACGACAGTTGATTAAATCCAGTGGAGCAGTAACAGTACACGACTCCGATGATTCAGTACACAATTCATTTGCAGCACCATCCGGACAAACAGAATAATGATGTGTTGTTATAAGACGACGAACCATTTCTACATCACCGGATTTAGCTGCTTCTAACAACTGTAGTACTATATCCGCCCAGCTGTGACTTCCAGATGGGGAGACATAATCAGTACTTGAAATCGGAAGAGTAGTAGTGGTGCTACGATTAGTAGACGAAGGATTGTTAGGAGTAGGTTTCTGAGAGTATTTGGGGTCATAAAACATATTTGAATTGTCCTGTGAATGAGGTCCAGAACAAACTAAAAATGGAATAACTTGCTGACTACAAACAACCGTACTTTGGGTTTTCTCTGCATCTAAATTTAGATATGTGCAATGAAAAGAAGAAAAAAGTTTAAGTTGAAATTAAACAATAGATTTATCATGTTAACCAGTCAGCCGCAACGTGAAATCTGTACGTATGTACATCGGTCCAAGTTGCCATACCTCATTACCACAGAGAGGTGAATTTGTCAGGCCAAATCTCAGAACAGTAGAGTTAGTGATAGTATCAGTGGTAATGGGAAAGATTTGACATCGAATATACGATTCGAGAATAAAATAGAAATTATGGAAATAGAAACAAAGAATTTATGAGGAATTTTGGGGAATACAAAGAATAGATGCACATGCGTCACTACAAATGATTTTGAGCAATGACATTCAAAGTCCCCAACTATTGTTTACGATAATCACGTGGACGTCAACCAGGTAGTCTGCATCTATTAACATGGCTAAGTTCAACTGTCAGTGACTTTATGAACTGATGCCATGTCTTGGTTTGCCTATATTTATCCTTCTTCTAGCCTACTCATATACTTTTGTCGTGTACTCATGATTGAAGTTTATATGTTAAAGACTTCACTAAGCAGTAATATTAGTCGAAATAAATAGTGGGTATTGAAAACATTGGTTGTTTACGTCTAAAGACAATTTGTTTGCAAAATATTTGAAGATTCATAACGCAAGTATTGTACAATAGGATATGTACATGAAAATTATTAGTGATCATCGGAGTCAGTTAAACGCTTTAGTTTCATGAAACATTCTTTGGGAAAGTTTATCAACTGTTTTCTTGGCAGTGTTACAACTGATCATGAAGTAGTAGCCAATTTGCGAGATTTTGACCTTGCATAATGGAATTCAAAGCTACTGGGTAATATTCGTCATTGACATTACTTTGTGATCTGTCTCTTCTTGACCAGCTGGATCAGAGTTCTATTAATTCAACAACCAGGTATTAGTAACAAACCTTAGCGCAAAGTTGGTATATGAAATGGAGATACAAAAGATACAGCTTGAAACACGCTAAAAAATAATTGCCTCAGAGATTAATAAAATGTTATTACTCAACCCTTAGATTTAAGTTTTTTCTGGACAAATAGCACATCTTTATTAATTGGAAGTGAAAGGAAAAAGTATTGGTACTCAAATAAAAGATGGAAAAGTTACCTGGCGCTGAAGGTATGTGGGCTGATGAATCAGTGACATGTTTTTCAGTGGGTGATTTTTGTGAAGAACTCAGAGTGTTATTCACTGGACTAAGACTTAATTCTGCAATAAGACGTCTGACACACTCAGTAGAAGCCAAAGAGGCAGCGGTATGACCTCCTGGTATAGTAGTACAACTTAAGTCTGCGCCAAATCCCTGAACTAAGAGCTGTATGATATGAGAATGTCCATATTTAGCAGCCAGGTGTAAAGGTGTGAAACCATGCCAGTCCGCAACGTTTGGTTCAGCACCACGCCGTAACAAACAAGCAGCTGCCTCAAGATATCCGTAACGAGCAGCTAAGTGGAGAGGAGTTTGTCCCTCAACATTGCAATCTGAGACCGCAATACCTTGATCGATAAGCCATTCAATCAACTGTCTACCCAAGACTGGAGAAACATTACGATTAACTGAGTTGACTGACAAGTCTTTAGTATACTGTGTATGAGATATAAGTTGTTTATTTTCTGGTGAATGAAATCCAGGATAAGAACCTGAACCAAGGTGAAATGTTTTCGTCACGGTCTGCTCTCCTGAGTTGGTTGCACAACAGGCAGAATGAAGAGCAGTGTTACCGACGAATGGGTGTCGGAAATGAAGGAGATCCTGATTAATTTGAACAGGCATAGGTAGAATGGATTCTTGGTGTTGACTTGAGGACGATACTGAAGAAATATTACAATTTTTCTGATGCATGCACTTCCCGTCATGAATTGAAGAACAAGTATTAGAAGGAACACTAAAATTGACTGATAATGGTGGGGCGATTGGATAGGCGTTGCTTGATATGGTGTTAGTGGGTAAAGACAGCAATTTTCGAATTTGATGGATGTCTGCATTTTGACAAGCTTCAAGAAAAACATATCCTGTAAAAGAAAAAAGTGAACGCTATATTAATTAAATAATTTCACAGATGCAGAGACGTAAAGAGCGAGTGTAAATGAAGTTTCTACCAAAGATTGACTTTATTAAGGGTATGGAGTAAGTCATTTGTAAGTATTATTATTGTTATTATTTAAACACATAAACATTGGTACAAGGAGGCACCAAATACATATGCGCCACATAAATCATTCGATTTGTATGAGGGCTTTGATACTGCCCGGGTGCCCGGACCAAAGCAGGTGGTTTTCTTAGGGAGGCACACCCCGAGCCTTTGACCTAAAGGTCTGACCCACAAGGCAATGGAGTATCACGAGGAGATGCAGTCCCACGGTGGCCGGTGACCAACGATTGGTTCATACGCCATTTGTTCCCGCAGGATACTGGAGCCCATGTGCACTATTGGTTTGGAATCCGGTTAAAGCGCCAGACATTCGCTTTTTGTCCTCTCAATTTCGTAAACAACACCCCTGCCACGAGAAGGACTTCCCTGACAGAGGCTGTATACGCGTGGCCGTGTGAGAGCATTTCGAGAGGGAGGGCGGGCCCACCCCACTCTCGGCCATACCAGGGCATTCGGGGGCCATTTGTAAGTATAGAACGTTGTAATCCAAGAAAAGGTTTACCGACTTAAAGGAAAATTCACAGTGTATCGATACATATCTCTTCAAACACGAACGTTATAGATGCTTGATTACCGATACCTTGGAATTATACCACAAACACGGTGGGACGACTGATGGGGAAGCTGCGTCTGTACACTATGCTTAAACAACGGTTAGGAAACCAGTGAATGAAGTTGCTACTCTGGTCAGAACGAAATGATAAGAATATTGGTTACATATTCTGGGTCACAGTCTAATTCGAGAAGAGAGGATATTTAAAATAGAATTAGAATAAAAGAAGCTTGAAACTCTTAAATCATAACAAGTTTATATGGATTTCAATAAATGAGTTGAGTTGTATGCAGAAAGTAGTTTTTCTAGCCACGTCTAATAGAAAGAGGTTGGAAACTTATATGTGAACACCTGAAATCGTACTTTATTATGACTAATTCTATGTAGTTTGACATTTTGAAAGTGAATTCACTCAACTTTACTTCCTTAATTACACACGATATAAGTTCCAGGACAAAATAAGACAATTTTCAAACATATCTAAATATTTGTTTACAACGTAAGCTGTCTCTATAATATTATATTACAGGACTGAATGGAATACCGTACTATATGGCTATTTACCATCGGATAAATCGTGGGTTAATGGCAGTTCAAGTACTTGGAACAAAAGACGTAGTGATTTAAACTTATTAGAAAGCTTTCTTGATAACTACACCGAATAAATTCAACAACCGACAGTGAACAAAGTACCCATATGTGTTTTGTGGAGCCTTTCTTATGAAGAGAAATAACACTTACACAGAATAAGTTTACAAAGATATACTAATTGTTGAGTTACTACATTTAAATAATTAATTTCATTGCGTGGAACATGAGGTCATTACAAAACTTTGGTAAACTAAACATTCCGTCTAAAAAAATTATTCAATCCATATACGAACTATGTCGTATCTGTGATCAATGATCATAAAATTCGAACCCTAGCTTTCGAATCTAATAACACCTTTAGTTACAAGGATTCATATACATAAATAGTGGTGTCACAGAATAAACGTACCTCGATACTCAAAAAGCAATCTCTGTCTTAGATCATTATTCGGTACCAAATCTAATGCAGACTTTCCATGGCAGTTTGGTTGGGTTGGATTCGCACCATATGCCAAAAGTAGAAAACACACTTCTGCACGTGATTTACTGGCTGCTTCATGTAATGGTGTATACTGCCATAAATCAGCGGCATGTACTTGAGCAGAACCATAACCAGCACTAATTAACAATTCACAAACGTCCAAATGACCATAGGAACAAGCATTGTGCAAAGGAATAAGACCACCTTTGTCTTTAGCGATAACATCAGCTCCATTTTTTAACAAAATTTTCACAATTTTTGTACTAAAAGATACAAATCAAAAGAGGGGTTTAATCAGGTGTAGTGTGATGAAATTCTCTCAAAGTACATTATCATCAAATAGATGAATGGGATTAATCCTACTTCACTTAATCAAAAAAAGCATAACATATTTAATTAGAATTTATTCAAGTAAGCTCTTCTAGAAAACGAAACGACTACTTATTCATGAAAGTATTCTTGCCCTCAAAAATTGCTATAATGTTGAAAAAACCAATAAAATATAATGTTTTGAAATAGAAATTTGTAAATCTCGTTAACGGTTGTCAAGTTACACTACTTATGGCTTTCAGTACGTCCTATAAGTCGTTGTATAACATTAGTCAAATTAAAATATATTTGGTATTAGATGTGTATGAAATCTGCACGAAAAGTTACTCACCAATAGAGAAAATAAGTTGGCAGAGATAACGGTAGTTTTTGCGTCAATACATTTTTGTACAAAAACGCTAGTAATCACTATGAGCAGAGTGGAATTAAGCAACTGAAACTTCCGTTTAATTAAAACTATTTCCTTATCCAATTTTTTGCACTAGCATGATAAACTTTCATTAGTAAGGGTTATACAGAGCAAAACAATGCACGCGACTGATATTACTGAAACGACTACACGAAAGGCTTAAAATTTAGTGTTCGCTGTTTAGACAGGTTTTCCGAAAGGAGCACCAGTCTTGCACAGGACCATAACAGTCGTAGCAATGTAACCAATCTGAGCCCAGGTTTGAGTTGCACAGAGAGGAAGTCAGGTAACATACGGTGATGACTGTCCCGGGAGTTGGTACTGTCGAGAGACAAGCTAACGTCTGTGAAAAGCTGCACGAGGCGATCACCCCTACTTGATCAGCTACCCAAAAGACTGTCTGTTTAACAATACGATATCTGTCGAACACGCTTTTTCAAGATCATTTAATTGATAGTAGAATAGAGCCTTGATTGCATGCTGGTTACGATCTGTCGATGCATAGCCAAAGATTACGGAAGAATATCCTTTTCCACGCTAGTTTTTCTTCACTTTCGTGCGGCCTTCCAACCCGACAGCACATAAATGATTTTCACTAGAGATCTAACTGATTGGTGTCACCTATGTCCTGGCGCCTAGCCAAACTACAAGTAAATACAACAAAGTCTATGGATACGCGCACGTGCAAAACAATTTTCGAATCAACAAATGGAGAACAAATTTGTGACGTTTCACTTGAGTAATAGTCTTAGAGATACAGAATACGTTGACATCAAGACTTTCCGAAGAGATAGTAAAACCTATATGTTGTCCGAACTCCATCAATGTGTGAGCACTGAAGATCAGTTTAAATGACACACGCGGTTTCAGAAAAGCTTATTAGAATGCCGTATTTGGTGGTAGTATTTAAAACCCCAACCAGGATAGAACGTTTACCAAGGGTAAGCCAGTGAGTTGAAAAATGAAGGTAAAAAAGAATAGAAACGAAGCGAAATAGAAAGTTAAAATGAACAAAAGTTGCAATATTCATTATGACTAGGGCTTGTAAAAATAGCTAGGTGGAGCGAAAAGAACGCTTTCTTCATAACTATGCTTTATCATCTACAAGTGTTCTTATTCATAAATTGAACTAGGATGATGTTAGAAACAAGAGAAAACAATAGTACACGGTTGTTTTGATTCTCTATTAAAAAATCTGGATCTATGAGATAAAGATGATATTAAAAAGACAGAACAGTGAAATGATAGATTACTTACCGGTTATAACCAGCAGCTAAATGTAATGGTGTAGATTTACGACCATCTCCAGCATGACAGTTTACATTTTGTGGAGTCAACAGATTTATGAGCTTTTCTTCATTCCCACTTCGAGCGGCTTCAAGTAGTTCATCTTTCCTATACTCTCCAACCAAAGCTAAACGGGCCGAACCCTCAGCCAAATCAACAGGGGTTTTGCCATCCAAGTTTCGAGCGTGGGGATTGGCTTTTGCCTAATTTAAGTAGAAAAAATGTACTACTTACTAATCCATCAGCTTATTAACTTGAACAGTAAAAAGTACAGTTTTAATATGTTCAGAGTTAAAGTACTACGTTGCAAATGGAGGAAACAATTCTGTTTTACATTATTCACAACTGAATGAGGAAATAATTCACATCAGGATCGACCATAAGCTTAAGTGCTTCAATGGTAATCCTATGCTTCACTGTAGATACTTTGCAAGGAAATATACAATAGAAAAAGACAGCGTTTTAGGAGAAATACTACATTGAAATATGGAGTTTAAACTGGGTGTTGCAAGTACTTTTAGTAATTTGGAATAGATGTATGGATGAATGCTTTCTAGTTCGAAAATATTTATCATCGGATGACTCATATTTGGAAACCTGATATAAATATGTATAGGAACCTAATTCAATGGTATAAACTTTGCAACCTCGATCATTACGTTCATAACTAAGATAATTACACAATATAGTCCTTCCTACGTAACAATGATCAGATTTGTACGATATAATTAAAAAGTGAAATTCATACTCAACTTTGTCACAGTGACAAGAAAAAAGGATTAAAACTCGACAATCCTCGAACAAAAATACAACACCAAATGACATACCTGAAGCAACAAAATGCAAACTTCCACTTTTCCTTTTATGGCAGCTTCATGTAGAGGTGTGTAGTTCCAGCAATCTTCAGCATTGGGGTCAGAACCTGCTGATAGTAACAGGTGCACCACATCAACGTGTCCGAATGAGCATGCATTATGCAAGGGAATCAAACCTTAACATACGGAAGAAGTAACGTGAATATTTTTATGCATATATATACAGAAAAATAGACGTATGGTGTGAAAACTGCGTAAAAAGATGTTTGTATCCAACAATGATACATCCAATATGCTACAATCTAATGATCAACAAAGAAAAAGATTTTTGATAACATATACAGAATTCATTATCTATTTTGCGCCGGAATATACATAGATGAATACATGAGGGTGAATTATTGATGCTTGAAAAATTAAATGCACTAGTGTTTATTAGGAGTTATCTGTCTCATGGCTTTGAATCTATCGCGAATCTTTCTTGGGACAAACGAATGATGGTGAATAATGTAAATCACTAAATAAAAGATTTAATCCTAGGCAAAATGCTGACAGATTAAGTACTAGAATGAATGAGTTTATAATTGTACGAAAAACAGAATCGAGAAGTTTTTGAATCAAAGTAGTAGATTCAAAGCAATTTGCAGTCGAACGAAATTATTCTTCAGAAACATGGGGGTTATGTTAAGCGATGTCATCATTATCATTTTTGAGTGATAAAAATACGTCAATTTCTCCTTTTATTAAACAAAATATAAACATTTTGTACCATCATAATATAAGTGGTGAAATTGGGGGGGGGACTAACCTCCTTCGTCTCTAGCAGAAACATCTGCATCGTGATCTAAGAGAAGACTAACAACGTCTCGACGACCGTATCCAGCAGCAAAGTGTAGCGGTGTCGACTTTCGACCTGAAGTATCTATGAGGTTAACATTAACTCCATTTTCCAGTAGACATTTTACAAGAGCCAAATCCCCATTGCGACAAGCATCAAATATTTCTTCATCAAACGAAGGTATGGAATTGTCGTTTTCCGTGTGAAAAGCAGCACTATGAGCATTGAAACTCGTAGTTTGTTGCTCACTGTCGCCAACCATGGTAGTGCGACGATGTGATAAATTGGAATTCTGACTGGCCATTAGATGTAACTGAGTGGTGGAAATTTAGAAAATAAGTATGGAGCTTTGAAATTTAAAAAGTTATGGAAGCGTAATTTTTTGACCAAAAATTACTAACAATAGGATTTATCCACGACATACAGAATTTAATTATCTTCCCGATCAATAATGCCCCATCATTTGATGACAAATCTATTAGAGATGGAGAGAGTAACCATATTCCTGGACATTGAAAGGAGGAAATATGGTAGTAACTAAATAGGACAAAAAATGTGTGGCGCTTTAGGAGCCATATAACTGATAAAATAGAAGTGGTGTGTTTTGAGTGATTGATAATGTTCTTGTGATCGGCTTTCTGTTACTTTTTGTGAGGACTGAGGAACATACCAAACTTGCTAAACGAAAATAAAAAAGGTTCAAGACTGCAACCCAGTGATTGAAAGTCGTGTCTGACCACTTAACCGAGGTAATGTAGTATGAAAGTATATCAGCCTAGACCACATGAAATGTAGAAACTGTTAATTTTGAATTACAAATGTAGCATAAATGCAAGTAATATATAATGTAACCCGATTAGCATACACTTTTGTACGTATAGTTGAATAAAGAGATGAGGTACTGTGATTTAGTGAATATTGATGAATAGTCGTGAATCTCTAGTAATCACGAACCTTAAGGACTTCATTTAATATCACCAAGAACTAAAGCCTAGCCTAATAAGCTGATCGTCCAGCTTGAAGTGGGTGAAACACACACTTTTACAGTGGCTGAGTATATATGGAATCACTTACCAAAAATTTGAAAATAGATGACAATAAGCAGAAACGACGAATGACGGTGAGGCAAAACAAACGTATAGTCTATCACAGAGTTAGTACACTAAATAATTATGAATGTTAGCGACTATGGTTATGCAATTATTTTGAACTGATGGGATATTGGAATGAGGAACATAAGTAGCGCTGAAGCACATTTCTGGCCAGCTTAAAGGTAGGATCTCCCACTTAATCATTTTTATTCGACCCCATTTAGAGTATGGAAATATAGCGTTTCCCTCCTCACTCCAAAAGCATAAGAACACATTGGAACGTATCCAAAGGCGATCCATGAAATCAGTGCGAAGACTCAAATTCAAACCTTATGAAAGATGCCTCGGATCACAGAACCTTTACCCATTACAGTATAGGCGCTCAAGAGGTGACCTAACGATTTATAGCATCCTGAACACTACTGAATATCTCCTCAAACGCCTAAGCAAGCTGAGTTCCAACGCAAACCTTAGGGGTAACGCCTAGAAATTAGACCCAAAATAGCAGAAGGGACTGTAAGTGTACCTTTACTTTCTGCGGATAGTCAAATTCTGGAATTATCTGCCAACCTAGGTAGTCGAAGCGACTTCCCAGGAGTCCTTTAATAAAAGACATGTTTTTAAGGGCTACGGACTGCATTTCATTAAAATTCACTAATATTTCTCTTTTGTCGTTAAATACATATAGGTTCACACTCGGAGGCATCTGTGATCCACTGCTACTAGATACGGAATCCTGTTAAACAAAAGCTTTTACTCCATCCAGAATTATTTGATAAATGAACCGTTCCTCAAAGATCCTAAATCCGCGAACAATTGTTTGCTCAAAAAATTGTTAAGTGGATACTTAATGCTTATGGAAAGCTATTCATACTGAAGGAACACATACAAACAGACTATAGGTAGACTGAACATAGTTTGATCGCCTCAGTCGACTGTTCATATCCAACAGTGACCTACCCTTTAATCGCCACGATTTAATTAACTACCAAAAGTTAGTGTTCATTGAAGAAGAGCACGGAAAAAACTGTTATGATATATATAGAACATAATAACAATCTGAACTTTAGATCTCTTTAAATATGTGAGTTAAAATATACGGCCTTATTTATGAGCATGAACAAGACTACTAAACCACAGTGGTCATAATATGTATAACTACAGTCTTGCATAGTTTTACTTAGACATCTTAATAACTAAACTTTAATAAATGATAAGCTCAATATTTACCGCCACGGAGATGTAAGCCGCCTTAATGGGCAAGGTCAAACTCAGAAACTCAACCTAAGTTTCTTGCTTTGAGTGCAGAAAATTAAGGGTCCATGTCAGTCCTTTTACAGCATGATTCGATGAATCTTTAAACTTTATGGAGTAAGCAGAGGGCTCGAAACCCTCTTAGGAACTAGTTTTCAATAGGCGAATTTACCGTTGATTTAAACCTCAAAAAATTGTACTATTTTTTGTCAGCGCGCATGAGGTCTGCACTAAATGAGTGTTCGCTCAAGCTTTCAAAGGATTGTGAGAGCCATGATGCATTAAGAGCAGATTCTTCTCAATTCTCTATGGTATTTTTACAAACTAAAGATTCTTTTGCACCCGATAGTCCACTTATTTTGAATTCCAAATATGGTACGCTCATTTTTGCCCAGTTATTTCTACTTGCTGTATATTGCACTATTTCGAGAATTCCTAGTTAGTACAATAATTTGAATACGTCTTGTAGCGGTAAATAAATCCCCAAAATAAATAGCCCTGTAAGTTTTCGACATTGGATGCTGACCATATGTTTTAGTGGACTCATCTAGCTGAAGGCGCTCGGTCAGGCATCCGCACCAGATCACGTGTGGTAACGCCATGCTCAACATCTACCGCAATCGCTAGCCGGATTAGATCAGATAATTCCGATATATTGGTAATCACCAAATACACTCTCCCGATCTCCTCGACACTGTCTTTTGATTTCTCTCGGTGGGTACGAATTATATTAAGAGGTGTTGCTGGTAAAAGCGTTGTCAAACACTGAATACCTGCGCCATCTTCAGTCTAATCATCATTTTCTCCTGCAGTGAAAGCATTACAAATTTAGTTCATTAAGGTGGGCTGAGTGGTGTCTATTTTTTAGCTCGAGGATTCTTTCGGTTGACGTTTTTTGAACACGTTCCTATAAATCTATATATTTTCTATTTCAGGAGGCTGTAATTATAAAGTTATATTAGATGATTTCCTGAGTGAGCATTGAAGACGATTCTGTTTAATTCCTTGATTAGACCGCCCAATATGCCGGAAAAAAACTCCAAGACAAATATGCCCTGATGTAGTGGCTGCGCTTCGATAACTAATCATCCTCGAACCGTTGTCGTATAATCTTCAACGATGTTTGAAATCAGAAGGCAAAAAGAAGCAGCTACTACAGTTTATTTAGCAGATAATTCGGACCAGACAGCAGAGGCAAAATGGATGAGCAAGCGAACTACGGTTGTAGCAGTAGCAGTAGCGAGTAGTTGTAGTGAATGGGTGCAAATGTACACATATATATATGTATAGGAAACTGGATGAGTCAGCAAATAGATTAAGCAGTTAATAATGAAGCTAGCAGAATGAGTACATGCGTAGACGCTAAACAATGTTCAAGCATATGTATTTCATACAAGCACAATAATAATGACAGTACAACAAGTTGTTTTATCATGGATGACTTTGTCCATTAAGTAGGTCAACAAAAGACCTTGACTGAACTAAACTCGATTGCACGTGAGTCGCTATAAGTATAAAACAGTGAAACTCGGGTCCTTTTCAATGCGGAGTGTGATGCTGATGTCTCTCAGGAAAAACAAAATGGAGCGTTTATCTCTAATGTTCAAAACTGAGGTTCTGAACTTTCCGTTATTAAGAAAGAGGTGAAAATGTCAATGGCACTCAGGATTTTTAGACGTTATTGTCTGACACTTCTTACTTAACGATCACAAGTCAACAAAATCAGAACTATGGAATGACATGACGCGAACGCATGTCTAGATTAAGTGTTGCTGTACAGTAATGAATGGTATTTGAACTGACAAACGGCCGTAGAAGACACGTACTTGAACGGGATCTGATGCAGATTCTTGACTGAGCACCATCAGCTAAGAGTTTGTCATTTAAAAATGGAAGAACTTTCGGGTTACCTCAAGCATTTGATTGTCCTATCAAAGGCTTGGCTAATATAATGCCTTCATAAATATGAGGAGGCTTAGAAATTGGTACGATAGAAAAGATAGTCTGCTTATCTCCCATCCAACTTTCAAACAGGTTACGACGTCTATTCGTACTGCTGAATTTGGAATGTCCCATCCGATTCTACTTTAGTATCCTGTTTTTGAGGGAGGTGGATTCGTCTTTTTGAATATAATTATTTTGTAGGCACTTGGTGACCTTACGGCTTAGTACATCGGAGACTGGGTCACATAGATACTTTTTTGGCTTTGTTAGATGAAGGGGATGCGCAGAGAAGCTGTGTGGACGTTCGCAGTCTACTCAGGTAGAACGGGGATAATGACACCTCATAGCTTACATTGACGTCGTATCTCACGGTTAATATATAACGCGAACTACCCTACCGAGGTATCAAGGGCCTGAGCCCACTCTAATGACCATAACGAACAATTAATGCTTTAATTAAAAACCCTTTTGGTGAAAATAGGTCTAAGAAACAAAGTGTGGCTCCTGATATATGAGCCAGTCATCGGCGTTTGATTTTCTTTTCCACAGTAATCACCCTCGACGGCGGCAATTTTCAACAAATCGTCTGACGATCTGCGATCCATCGCCTGAAACACAAGTGTTTAAGACTGATTGGTGAATTTAGCGTGCACGATAATATATTTCAATACATCATATTATATAATGTTACCTCGTTAAAAGGATGAAGTAAGGGTGCAACAAACTTTCATTTTTAATACTTTTATAGAAAAACTACCAAGATCATTCTTTTTGAAATAAAAACATAGGAAATATATTATTTATTTATAACAATCTACCTAATGCACGATTTATTCGAAATCAGCAAGTCAAACCTTGGTATTGATACCTAAAAAGGCACAACAGTAACGAATTATTGATGGTAATAATATAATTATCATTTTGTCATATATAAATGGCAATTTAATTTGATTTTTCACAGTTGTCAACGTGTTCTTTTAACAATTGTTAAAATAAACATTCGTAACAATCTCTTTGTTCCAAACAGGGTCTGATGTGGCAGCGCTAGTTTCGAAAAGGGCAGTGATTTTTGTACTTGTGATTATACTTGCTTTGGGTACTTACTGCACTAAAATGCATTCTTGGTCTGCTTTAACTAAGAGTGCTTTGGTTAAAGTTTGAAATTTTTTGCTAAATTTTGTCCTGAGTACCTTTTTTAGTCCTTGACTAACACTTGTGTTCACATTGTGATCATTTTTCGTTTTTAAACCTTTTAAATCTAATTACAATGGCTGGTAAGACTCACAAATTTGGGCAACCAAATTGTTTGTCCTCCGTTGAGGAGGTGATGCAGTGTGACAATTGTAAAAAGTGGTACCACAAATGTGCACACGCCTAAGTTCGACGGCTTATAAAAGATGCTCAAAGCCTAACTCGCATTGGCTTTGTATGTTCTGCTGTTCGGATAAAAAGGTACTAATTCAGGAGGCTATGAGCCTATTGGCTTTGGCCTGCAAGAAAAACGATGGCGGAAGCACTGATAACAGGAGCACTGACGATGAAGAATGTATCAGTGTAGTAAGCGCTGCTACTGGACCCGTTAAACACCTGACTGTGGTTGACGGGAACGTGAAATTTCCGTCGACATTAACGAGGAATGAAGTGTCGCTTGATATTGACATCGGCAGTCATACACCTCTAGTCGAAATAGAAGATCCGGATAAAACTGTCACCGTTCCACATAGTCCAGGTGTGGATGCTCTGAGTGGGGACAAATGGACTTCGGTAAGAAGAAGAAGAAATAAGAAGAAAAGGGCTGTAGGCAAAACGCAGCTGGTCAGCAAGACATTGGAAGGGATGTTATCAGAAGAAAAATCCTCACTGCGTGACAAGACAGATCTCTCTGATAGATCAGTCATTTTTCATAAGATAAGAGAATCTTCAGATACAGAACCAAAGGCAATATTTGAACATGATCTCAATCATATTAAGACAACAAACCACCTGCTCACCGTGGACTTCTGCCAAAACGATGTGCTTAAGGCTCTTAGCACCCTAAACATGGAGAAGTCAACAGGACCAGATGAACTACACCCTAAAATCTTGAGACATATTGCCCAATATATCGCAACCCCACTGACCGTGATATTCAAAATGTCACTTGATCAAGGTGTGTTACCTATGGACTGGAAGGACGCAATCGTCACTCCCATACATAAAACAGGTCCACGACAAGTTCCTTCGAATTACAGACCTGTAAGCCTCACTAGTGTTGTAATTAAAATACTGGAAAGAATAATCAAACGGACCATAACGGCATTTATGGAAACCAATAACTTGCTGAACATGGCACAACATGGTTTTAGAAAGGGTCTATCCTGTACAACGAACCTCCTTATAGCTAAGGAGTTCTGGATTATTGCGCTAGACAACGGAAACTCAGTGGATGTTGTCTACATAGACTTCAGTAAGGCTTTTGACAAGGTGCCAACTAATAGACTGCTATTAAAGTTGGAAAACCTTGGTATTGCCGGACCTCTTTTAAAATGGATTAAGGATTTCCTAGTAGGTCGTAGGCGAAAAGTAAGAATAAATTCCAAGTGCTCCATCTGGAGACCAGTACTTAGTGGAGTACCTCAAGGTTCCGTCCTAGGTCCTTTACTTTTTATAATGTACGTTAATGATCTTACAAGTATAGTACAGTCTCCAATGTTATTATACGCTGATGATGTAAAAATTTGGCGAGTAGTAACTGGAGACAAAGACGCATTTACTCTTCAGGCAGACTTAAATAATATGATAAACTGGTCGAAAGAGTGGCTGATGCCTATGAACTCGGAAAAGTGTGTCTACATGCACTTGGGGGATTCAAAGGTTAATACGTACATTACAGGGGATGTGTCATTACCAGTAGTCCGGTCTCATAAGGATCTAGGGGTGACAGTGAGTAATGATCTTAAGACAACGGCCTATTGCCGGGAGGTCGCAGTTAAGAGATTTCGAACCCTCTGGGCTTTAAAAAGGACATTCATTAAGTTAGATACTACCATGTTCACCACAGTTTACACATCCTT